CTCTCACGGATGTCGGTTCGAATTCTGCAAGAAATTTTCTTCTTTTATGGAACACCGGTGGTTCTACTCAGATGCTCGTTCGTGCCTTAAATTATGCATGGATCGGTACCGTCATTTAAGCTGGAAAGTCGTCATGTGAGCTCTGCGTGTTGTGCCGCGTATACCACAAATAAAGAGGGGGGAACATTTCTACTATAAATATAATTATGGAAAGATTTTTAGCACGTGATGTAAATACATTTGCCTCCTCTATTTTGGTCACACGTTTTCTTTTTATCCCATGCATGCCCTATACACAGAGCAATTTTAATATCAAATTTGAATAAATTTTACAGTGTAACCCCAGTCAGTCATTCAAAGTCAATGAGCCGGACAACGAGTTGAGTGTTCAGGTACGGATTTTATTGCCTCTAACATAAACTCAGCGTGAACTTGCCAAGTTTTATTTGTAAAACGGAGAAAAACTCAGTTGATATGCTACTCGTAAACATGAGCTTAGTTTAAGGTCGGATGTCTGCTCCAAATAAAAAAAAATTAAACAAGTGTCAAACTTTATCCCTTTGTTCATTCTCATTCTTAGCATACAAGTGTGGTTTAGAACTGGTGACCTGAAAAATCGGCCCCTTTTTAATGTAAATTCCCTTATGGAAATGATTATGAAAATATTAAATGGGACAATGCCGTTTTATTGTTTTTATAACATTTCTACGACTGTAAAATATTAGGCTATTGTGCCGCTAGGCCGCCAACTTCACAAAAATGATAAAATCAAAAAGTTCTCGCAAATTGATTTTTTTTCTTTTTAATACCATTATAGTCTTAAGAACTTCACAAAGTGCCGTTTATTTTTGTGCCCCCACGTTAGTGGCGGGCATTTAGATTTACCATTGTCCGTCCGTCCGTCCGTTCACTTTTGTGTCGCACGTAACTCAAAAAGTATTTGACCTAGAGTCATGAAACTTTACAGGAATGTTGACCAGCATGTGTAGTTGTGCACCTGGGTATTTTCGTGTGGATATTTTTAGTATTTTTAGAGTTATTGCCCTTGACTTAGTACAATTTTGCAATTTTCAACTTGTGTCGCATGTAACTCAAAAGTATTTGACCTAGAGTCATGAAACTTTACAGGAATGTTGATCAGCGTGTGTAGTTGTGCACCTGGGTATTTTCGTCTGGATATTTTTAGTATTTTCAGAGTTATTGCCCTTGACTTAGTAAAATTTTGCAATTTTCAACTTGTGTCGCATGTAACTCAAAAAGTATTTGACCTAGAGTCATGAAACTTTACAGGAATGTTGATCAGCATGTGTAGTTGTGCACCTGGGTATTTTCGTGTGGATATTTTTTGTATTTTCAGAGTTATTGCCCTTGACTTAGTAAAATTTTGCAATTTTCAACTTGTGTCGCATGTAACTCAAAAAGTATTTGACCTAGAGTCATGAAACTTTACAGGAATGTTGATCAGCATGTGTAGTTGTGCACCTGGGTATTTTCGTGTAGATATTTTTGTATTTTTAGAGTTATTGCCCTTGACTTAGTAAAATTTTGCAATTTTCAACTTGTGTCGCATGTAACTCAAATAGTATTTGACCTAGAGTCATGTAACTTTACAGGAATATTGATCAGCATGTGCAGTTGTGCACCAGGTATTTTCGTCTGGATTTATTTAGTATTTTTACAGTTATTGCCCTTCACTTAGAAAATTTTTGCAATTTTCAACATGTGTCGCAAGTTACTCAAAAAGGATTTGACATAGTCATTAAACCTTATGGACAGGTTGCTCAGCATATTTAGATTGCACCTGGGGCTTCGCTTGTGGATTTATCCAGTATTTGTAGAGTTATTTCCCTTGACTTAGTAAAAAGATTGACAGAACAGTGGCGAGGTGGGGGCACCCGTGTCCTATGGACACATTTCTAGTTTTTTAATAAAATTCCTACAACTGTAAAATTTCCGGCTGCCAGGTCGCTGGAAAACAAAACAAACTTTCTGAATATGTATTTTTTTCTTTTTATGACATTTAAATTGAACTGTATTTAAATCTTAATTCAGAGTCATTCTAATTTGTTAGACAAATTTCTATAATTTTTTAGACCGCTAACTTTACGCTGCCAAGCCGATGGACCGCTAGGCCGCCAACTTCACGCCCCAGGCCGTTAGACCGCCGACTTCACGCCGCCATGTCGCTGGGCCGCTAGGTCGCCAACTTCACACATCTTCTTCTAATTTATATTCTAATTAATATGTAAAACGAAGGTTCCTGTAAGTTTCCTATTATGATATTTTGTTATAAATTGATTGCTGGCTTGTTGGAGAATGTTAAACAATTTATTTAAAGCAGCTTGCCTCCCGATACAAGATAATATTCGTAAAATGTTTGAAAAAAAAATATTTAAAAGTGAAATATTTTGAAGTATTTACACATTAAACGGGAACCGCTATTTTTCGGGCCTTTCCGTCAGTCTTCGGACAAGGATATTATGAATAATAGCCGAGGATGTTCCGATTGACTATACGGCACTGACAATCCACGGACATTACCAAGATGAGGCCAAGAATAACTTTTAACCCATTACCGCTTGAGCATTTTGTGAAAAATGGCTGTTTTTATTGAAAAGTCTCCCGTTACAAGTTCAAACTGCTATTAAACTGTAAAAACTGCTTCAATACTAATCAAACTTGTCACAATTGTTGACTGGACCAATGCCTTTGGAACAACATGCTCAGTCTTCATGTTACCATGGCATCGAGGGGACATCTCAAAATTGCCAAAATTCACTATTTTGCGTTGATTTTTCTCCATTGAAACTGATTTCAAAGTGCTGCAACATCTCAATGGATTGAGATAGAGTCAAAGGCTTTTCAGCATTGGTTACACGTTACCTTATGATCGACCTTGGGTCATTTTTAGCATCACACAAGTCCGAAATCTTCTTAGCGATAAGGGGGACTGCCGCCCCCTTCAAACCACCAAAACAGAAGGGGGCACGTCCCCCTTCTGGCAACCCCCTGATGTATCTTTTGTAAAGGAGGCGGCGCCGAAAAAGTAGTCACTTTTTTAAACTACATTTCTCAAACAAAAACAAGTGTTGGGGGCCTAAAGGCAGTTTTTCACCATTTTAGACAACAAAGAGAGGGGGGAGGGTGAAAAAGGCGTAAAAAGGCGTATATATCTGGTAATGGGTTAAACATGTTTTCATTTATCCTTATTAATATAGTTCAGTATTTTTCAGGTTCATCGTTGGACGAATATGCATATGGCTTATACAAGATACTATCTACAGGATCCAATGGAACTGTTGTATACCTGAAGAGATTTTAACACGATCCAAACTATATGCATATATTTGTTGAAAGTTGTCAAATACAATGCCTTAATCCTATTCTGTTGTTTTGGTTTCTGTCTTGTAAGATTATAATATGGGATAAGTGAATCACGATATAGAGCGAGTAATAAGAAATGGGAAGTAACCACTTCACCACAACATCTTGTATATATAAGAGTTACCGGAGATGATTTTATGTTTTCATTTAAACTACTAGTATATGCATCTATTTTGCTGCTTAAGGGGTTAATGTAATCAAATTTTTAACATGTAGTAACATTTTAAATATACAGTGTTTGAAATTTGAAACCCCTCGATAATTATTTTAACAAAAGGATAAATGTACAAGTACACAATGTAGTTTAAAAAATGCGAATTATCTCGACGGCTGGAGTTTGTCGAAATACATGTACTGCATAGAAATATTAGAATCTTATTTCACTATTTAAAATGTTTAACCTATTTGATCCAAATGACATTTTTATACAAAGCCCATGAAATCTTATTCATTAAAGTCGTTTACAATGTTTATTGAAATCTGCATTGACATACTATTCTTACATATCAGTCACTACATGTAATTAAAATGTCCTCTCCGAAGAAAGAGGAGTTTAAGTGTATTGTCGTGCACAGCGTCTGTTAGTCCGTCTGTTACATCCGTTCGTACGTAGAATGTACCTTGTTAGACTTATAATGGCCTGTAGTTGTAAGATTACTTGTGAAGACGTGTACATGAGATCATGTCAGTCAATTATGGTCAATGTCATTGTTTTCTTCACAACTAAAGTCTAGTGCGGTCAATAACTAGAGCATGGTTTGGCATTCAGTCAGAAAATTGGCATGTCTTGTTGATGAATCCTATTGAGTTTGGAGTAAGTCTGGCAAAGGTCAAGGTCACCTAGGTCTTGCCCACTAAACTTGTCCGGCAGAGAATGCTTCGGAGATGTTATCTGGAAATTGGTGACGAATAGTAAGTGACCAAATACCTTCTGAGGTCATTTATTAAAAAAACACATCAAAGCCTTGTCAACTGACCACCAAAAGCTTGTTCGACCATTTTTTCTTACAGTCTTAAAAAGGAATGATGAGTAAATTATACCTGCTGATTTTAAGGTTAGTTTGAACAAGTTCTTAGTCCGCTTCACCTTGACATTGTCAATATTCATTTTGCTATATATTACTATTCTTACATTCGTAACGAAGCTTATAGTTATGGCACCGTTCCTTTCTTGGTAGAATAATCAATGTTGACCAAACTCGCATTGCATTCTTGCCGATCAGTAAACCTGGGGCTAGATAAACGGCAAGCTTTAATTTAAGCCTTCATATTATTCGGCATATCATTCTTCTGTGCCAAAGGCTTACCAAAGCTTTCGTTGTTAAGTGTTCATTTCAGACAGCCTCCCCGCCACTGCTTTCATACTAGAATACCACAAATTCTTAACAATTCTCCCATTTACATTGGGTCAAAATAAGTTAATAATCATAACATGATCATTTATATCTATGTTCATGTAACGTTATGTACAGAGTAGGTCCTGTTTTCAATCCGTTCAATACCGTATTGAAAGCACCAGTGGGAGAATTTTATTGACTCGACGAGAATGCCGAAAAAGTACATCACATGTATAAGCAAAATTACAAAAAAGATTTTTAGAGTATTTTTTATTATTTATCAAGAAACAAACAGTTGGTTGGCAAAATAACGCATTTACAAAAAAAAAAACAAAAAAAAACATAAACTAAAACTATAGCGTTTGATTGAGTATTTGACAAGCAGACATTTTATAAATACACAAAATATTCTAAAACATATTTTATTTGATTAAGTACAATGTATTTTACATCCTGTTAATAATATTTCTTCTCTTTTTTCCAATTCAATCTTATTTAAACTAACCAGTTCATCATTTAAAAATTACAAAATACAATATTATTGTATGAAAGGAATATTGAGAAATATTGTTGAGTTAAAATGCGTATTTCCCTTTCCTAATTTTCCCAGAAAAAAATATTTTTCACTGCAGTGAAACATATTTTCCGTATTTTCACCTGTGTCTTGTCGGACTACTTTCTTCTTAAATTCAGGCAATACACAAAAGGAATATTGAGAAATATTGATGAGTTAAAATGATTATTTTCATTTCCGTATTTTCTCTGAAAAAAATTATTTTTCACTGCAGTGAAACATATTTCCGTATTTTCACTGGTGACTTGCCGGACTACTTCCCTCTTTAATTCAGCCAATACACAAAGTTAATTAGAAGTTTTGAGATCTGTATGGTCAAAGAAAAGAGAAAAGTATAAATTAAACAGAAAATTCAAGTTTTCATTTACTCTCAGTTTGTGATATGAAAAATATAATATTTCACTTGTGACTCCCGCCACTCGTGAAATATGTATTTTCATACCACCCAATGGAAATCAATGCTGTATTTATAGAAACAACTTGAATATCCTCTATTTAATGTTAAAACTAAATTATAAAGTGTGTTTGAAACACTAACAATTACTTCTCATTCATAATTTTCTAAATAAATAACAATGCATTTAATGCAATGCTTCAGTGTAAAAATGTTAAAACGCCCACAATAAACAGTTTATACTTGAATGGCACACGATTTCATGTATAAATATAAATCACGAAAACCTTAACATTCCATATAATGTCACAATCAAGCAGGTGCGTGGTTTGATATTTAACATAGAGATGCATATGGAAGGACGGACAAGTGTTGATTTTGTCCCAATGTCATGTCGAGATTTTATAACTTTTTATTTTCATTTCTACATCTCCATGATAGAAATATGAAAGACATATGTATTTGTCCTTGAAGTTCAGTTTGGATAATAATGTTGTTTTTTTTTTCGAAAGGAGATTCTATGATGAAACGTCATGTTCAGTGTGCATGTTGTACCAGAAGCATTTTGATGTTGAAGACGAAAACCATACTTATAATATAAAATATAGCCCGAGGAAAAATATTGAAATAATTTTAAAAAAAACGTATGAGCAAAAAATAAACCAGTGCACTATTTGATAAAATACCGAATCTAGATTTAGCAAAGGATATCAAAGAATGTGTGAAACGCACTATGAACTATTAAAAATATGAAAGCTTTTTCAATTCCTCGTTTTAAATATTTGTTGTTGATACACATATATAATTATAAATTACGAGATATATTACATGTATATGACTGAGTCTTTTTTTGCAATTTAAATAATGCCATGATATGTAGCATTTGATGCACTAAGTTATAAAAGTATCTGTTCTGTTCCATGTACATATATAATATGTACAGTAAGTATGTTTCTTTGTTCACAAACACTATATTGCACCAAATAACTAATGAAAACAGGTAGATAAACTTATATAATGAGGTATGTGATTGGCCAATCCAAAGTTTTAAGCCTATAACATCTCTTCCATGATTGGTTGTCGTTCATAAATTTAGCCAATGGTAATCCTGCAGCTGAAAAAGTGGCTTTATCCGAATGTATTAACATGTATGCGGTGTCTGTCACGAACATTGACGTCCACAAAATGCAATATTGTTGGGAACACGAGGTTACATTTGTGTTCTTCTAAAGTTGAGGTCTCAAATCAGCGGTTTCTTTGTCGAGGCTAGACTGTAAAATAGATAAGTTAAAGTGTTATCATGAAGCATAGACTAAAAAATAGTGACAATAAAGTGTTGTTTACGCCATAAACAAAATGAAGATACCGGACTCATATTTCTACATACATTTTAAATTACGCGATCTGTATTATCATAATTCTTTGTTGTCTGGTGACGTAGTTTTCACAGTATAATCTAGCTCAATATAGATTATCTTACAATGTATGTACAACATTACTATTAGTTATCTCTAAATGGGTCAGTTTTATCAATGTCCGCTCTGACCGATTTTTTACATGAACTTTTGTTTGAGTAAACTAGGAAAATTTATTAAATTTGAATTGTGTGAAAAACGATACAAAAAAGGATAAAATACTAGATGAATATTTAATTCGTAAGATTACTTTTTAAAGCTGCATGCTTCCTGTTGAGCCAAACTATTTCAAGATAATAAAAATTCATAAATGATAAAAATATTTAAAAAAAATATACTTAAGTTTTAAAAATGTGAAACTATTCAAGATTCAATAATTAACATGTTATGTGCGATCAATAACTGATTTTGCAGTGTTTAACACTATATTTCTACTGTGTTACTAACAGTAAATCCTGTTTCTGGATATTTTGACCTCTTTTTCAGTAATTAACGTTGGTTGTAAGCATTGTTTGCAATGAACCAAGTATTTTCTTTGTTCACTTCTCAATACTTGATCTTTACATACATTTCCTAAATCTTCTTGAAAATTAGCATGAATCTTGAGGCATGTTGTTTTAAAATATTATTGACTTTAAAGATTAACTAAAATTTCAAATGAAATAATCTTTTAAAATTCATTTCGTTAATCCATTTCTTTCTATGTGTACCTAATATATTAAGATGCTAGTTCATGTTGTTGAAATGGTAAAACTTGAGTAGAAAGAAAAGGGTATTTGAGGCACTGAGGATGAAAAAGGTTCTGTTTAAATAGAGTTTAAGCATGTATATACTATGCAGGAAACATATAACACATAAGCTTAGAAAGCAAAACAAGGGGTCGTACCAAGAGTAGAAAATCCCTTTTTACGTTACAGTACTAGGCCGCCTGGCCGCTAGACCTCCAACTCCACTTATCTTAAGTTTTTGTGTACAATGTACATGTAAATTGATTGAAAAACTATCAACTTTTTGTCCATTTTTGAGAGAGAACGTGCCTATAAAACAACACCCAAATATTAGCTTGAAATGCGGCAATTTCGACTTTAAAGTAATAACAAATTCGAGATTTAATCCATCAATGTCAGAGCTTGCTACTCTAAGCTTAATTTCAAATTAGGCATTTTATCAATTTTGTTTTCTATGAAAATACCGTTTGGTATTGTTTATTTATTGCAGTATAAACATGATTGAGTTTTATCTATCTATGAACAACATCTACGAAATGCTACGACATACTATGTTAATGTTGTTTTTTGTTGTTGTTTTTTAAATAACACTAACCCTGAAAACAAAACCTAATCATAACGGTAACTATGCATTTCATCGGAATTTACAAGTTGTGACAGAGAAGCTTCAAGGAATAACGGTTAGACTTACCCTGTTAAATATCTTAAATGAATTTGTCCAGCTTTCAAAGTAGACAAAACCGATAACGGTGTGAACAGCCAGCAGTTCAGAACATAGGCGTGACTGCACATTTTGTGCAGGCTGACCTTTGTCTGCACTAGTCACATGGGTAGAACATGTTAACGACAGCAGTGAAAGAGTTAAATAATCTATAAGGTACAGTGAGTATATAAGGTAAGAATGGAAAGAAATATTTGATATACTAGTGGATACATGAATAAGCTAGCGGATGGAAGGATAACAACGTAAAAAATATACCGTTCTTTCTAAACATTTCAAATCAGAAATAGTTCAACCGTATCCAAAACGTTTAGTTTTATGCGTTTGATTTGGACTGGTTACAGCATATTTTTTCTTATGCAGTTTTCGTAATTTTCTATAATTTCTATGGTGTCGTTTTCGGTGCCTGAAAGATTGTTTCGTGTTTCCCGACACCATGTGAACATTTAAGTTATTCGCCCTTGGAAAGCCTTTGTTGCCATTGAATTTAATGACAAGGTTTTTGTTAGTCAGCTCTGAAGGTTTCGAAAAATTTGACCCAAATGTGGATGTTTTATTATCAGAGTGTGTTTTTAATTCCTTTAACACCAGTCCGCCATTGTTCGGTGTATATTCGCGTAAAAGAAGTAAATTATGGTGTTTGAGGCGCATGTACTTGGAAACCGCATTAATTTCCCTGAAATGCATCAAAAAGTGTACTCTTTTATAAGTAATGTAGTTTACTAAGAAATATATTGGAGTTATTTAAAAAAATATTCAGACCGACTTATGTTATATACATATGAATAACTGGAAATATTTCCAATTGAGAACTTTAAAGTTATACATATTGACTTGGTTGTAAATTACATTTGATTATAAAGCAATGCAATGTAAGTATTTTATTTCAGAAATCCCCCTAGAGCTAGATTCATATTTATCTTTATAAATTGTATAATATAAATATATATATAAGCAAACTGTCGAATTTTCTCCTTACACAAATCAGTACGAAAACAAAAGTTTTAACATGTGGAGGACTAGGATCTACGGTCCCAGGCCGTTTTGTTTCGTAAACTTTGCCAAACCCAAGCTTTAACTGGAATTCAGGTTTATTTTAGTACGTAATATTATATCTACAGTATGTTAATAATGATGAAAGACAAAATATATCACACTTACCCGTCAACAACTCTCATACAACAGATGACAAAATGGCGGTCACATTTCTTTGTCCACTTGGTAAAGAAAGAATCAAACTTGTCCGCCATTTTGAAACAGCCCGCAAATCCTTCCGCGGCGACTCTGGTACCTGCATCTATCCCGTTCATACAACACTCTTCAAGAGATAGATATCTATTTCTGACATCATCTAAAAATACAGGCATTTAAAATAAGCATGCAGTTAATGTCTAGAATCTAAAGCAATATAAGATATAAAAATATATGTAACAGCCGCCTTTCTCAATCAATGACAATAATTATTATTAAAGATGTATTTGTTGCATAATTTTCATGCAAAATATATGAGAGGTAGTATCCATGCAGAGTTTATTATTTGTTGTTGTATTTTTTTTTGTTAAACTTCCGCAATATTGCTGTCGCATTTCAGTCGCCTATATCTGCGACGCCTCAAGAGTTAGTTATTTTCCTGGTAGTGCAAGAAGCATACAACATGCAGTGGAGGGATGGGGGTGTGGCGCTGTGTCTTTAACATGCCCACTGATACATGGGTGTTAGTATTTAGGGTCTCATTTGAAAGACAATAATTATTGTGAGTGGTGTAACGATGGCTCGAACATGCTACCTCTGGACTACTTGTGCGGAATCTACTTTGACCCTTCTCTGTTCATGAACATCAGGGTAGGTATAAACAGTTAAGCAAATTTATAGCAAAACAAGAAAGCATGAAAGTAACAAAGCAAGCGAACTCTCTGCCATGCAATATACCATTTGAATTGATAGATCCTACTCTGTCCTTTCATTTGAATAACAATATATTCAACCACAAACATTGGCATGTGCTCTTTTGTTAACAAAAATGTTGTGGTATCCACTAATCTGATAATTAGAATCGGACAGGTCAGGTATCTATACATTAAAATTAAGTTCAAACTTATGAGCATATAGTTCTTTTAAAATTTTGTAATCACAACCCTTACAAAATAATACAAAAGCCATATAAGGAAAATCTGGACAAAGAGCATCTTTCTACCATAATATTAATATTGATTAAAATTTAAGAATTACTAGGAATTAATTAAACAATAGAAAATTAACATTCCTATAGGCAAAATTCTAGGAAATTATATTATTAAAATCAGTGTAACATTGAAACTTACCTTTCATGGACTCGTCATTTACTTGTTCAGCTTTTGCATTAGTATCATCATCATCATCATCATCATCATCATCATCATCATTATCATTATCATTGTCATCGTCATCAGATCTTTGTTTTTCTTTAGTATCAGAATTATGATGGGTTTCATCATCATCGTGATTACCATCGCCATCATCATCATTATCATCTTTATTATCATCATCATCATCATCGTCATCGTCATCAGATCTTTGTTTTTCTTCAGCTTCAGAATTATGACGAGTGTCATTATCATGATGCTTGTCGTGTTCCTTAGTGTCAGTACTCAAATGAGTGGTATCTAAAACTTGAGATTCATTGTCCGGTTTATATTGCACATCATTTGTAGTCCCGGTCAGAGCATTGTCGCCGTCTGCTTTTGTCGTCTGCTCCATATTCTTTGAAAAATTCTGATTTTAAATAAAAAAGACATTGACTTTTCGTTCTGAGAATAAAAAAAACCAATTAGATGTCGGAAGCATTGCATAAGGATCATAAAATAGATTTGAAATGCAAAAAGTCAAACAGGTTTGTAAGTGTCAAATATCTGTAATTTAACATATTAAACCTTTATATAACCAAATACCATTATAAATATTCAGTTTAAGCGAATTGATTTTTTTAATCATAACAAATAAATGTCAAACAAAATTTTTTGCAATGATCCTTATTAAGACTACCTCCTTTCCTAAGAATGCATTCTCTCGTTCTACGCATAGATTAAGAGACCGGGTATACTTTAAAAGACCACCGATTCTGCAAATTCCTTTTTATTCCATCTATCTTGAGCTCACATGAACCCACTGAAAAATAACCCACCTATCTTTTGTCATATTTGGCCTTGCTGTTGTTTTTTTTCCCGTTTATTGAGGTAATAAATGAACGTCGGGGTATTTAGACTTCTAACGGTTGCTTCGGAATTATCAATATTGAATAACATCAATAGTAATTTATTGAACTCCGGAAGTTTACCAACGTCGACTGCCAGTCCCTTATCATTTGAATCCGACGTCGGTTCAAAACATACATTTAACTGGCCTGTGCATAAGCATAAACTCTTTATTTCGAACACCTGTGGGATGCAACTGACTTTCGGATCTTTGTAGAATAGTCATTAGATAACCTGTAACCGATGACGGTACAAAACAAACACTTTTTTCAGATGCCATAATTAACTTAACCCATGTGTAAATATAACACATATTGTATTTAAAAAAAAAAAAAAAAAAAAGTATTGATATACTGGTTTTTATCATTACATTGTTATACATGGTTTCAAGCAAACTTACATTTAATATCTGACTACTTTCTACTATTTAATTAAAATAATATTTTTCTGATAAAGAACGTTTCTCTTTATAGAGCTGTATGTTTTTTGTTTTGTTTTTTTAAATATATTTATTGGCATATCTGAGCCGGTCCGTTGTTCTATATTCCGAGGAATAGTCTGAGGAGGTTTCCTCCGTGCATGCCAACGGATGCTACGGTTCCTCTTACAAAAGGGGTTTTACGTAGGCGGCCAGTATTCCTAAGACGAATATACGATCAAACCTGTTGAGTAATTGTTCTGGTTTGAAATGTCCCAGACATTCAATGGCAGTTTTGATCGTGATATGCTTAAATGTATATATATATAAACACATGGCTGTATCACTCTTTTCAAAATTTAACTAATTTTATTGATAATATTTATAAAGCATATTTTATAAGCTTCTGGTATCAAGTGTTTATCATATCTGGCATTTGTCAGCAAGTTGTCTCTATTTCAAAATATAATTTTACTTGATTATATCTGAAAAATCATATTATGCTTCTGATTATGCTTCCGATATCCGGAGCAACTTATAAAATGTCACTTACGACTGTTCGGATGTGAGCTTTAGTCCTATAATACTATAATTGATATACATGTAATTGTTAATATTATTCTATTACAAATTGTCTGGAATATTTAATGCTCTTATTCAGCCATGGATATGGCGAAAATCTAACATAAAATTACAGGTTTTTGCAATCGATGACGAAGCAAAACCTATTTTATAATATTCTATTTTATATAAAAGTTTTCAAACTCTATTAACTGTGTTACTTAATGACCAGTCATGACGGAAATTTTATGCCAACCATAAATAAAATAAGTTAAACATATATGTTGCATTTATTATCATTTGTGTGACTATGTTGGAAAAATAAACATGTTTCATGAATACATATATCGGAAAAGGTTATTTACTTTAATCTGGACCAAAAATTGTTCTTTAACAAAAACGTGATTATCGAATTAATTAATTAATTAATCAGTTAATCAATCAATTAATCAATCAAGAAATACCTTTCTTATTTCCTCTGCCCGTGGATAGTCTTCAACATAATTGACAGGATCAAAATCATCCATGTCAATAGACGCATGATGACCAAGTCCATCTTGCACCATTTCACTATCGTATAGGGTGTGATTAAAACATTCATACCGGGATTCACCTACAAGTAAAATTATGAAAACAAAATCATTTCTGGGGATGATGCCTAACAATGATTTTGTTATGCATTTATTGGGCTTGAGGATATATTGAAATGGTTGAATTACAATGATTCTTCTCGTTTCAGAAAAAAAACACATGATGTGGCTCTTTGAAGCTTTGCTTTGAATTACAGATAGTAATTTGGAAATATGAAAAATATGTGAGATATACGGAGCCATAATGAATACCTTTTACGTGAAGAACAATCTGACTGAAGTTAAGGTCTATTTATATATCTATTGCAATGCACTAAGGTTCATGTATAAATTCATTTATTTTTCTATATAGGTCTGAGTGTAGCGAACTGTAGCTCGCATTCATCCGATTTTGACTTTCCTTACCATAAAGCTATAAAAAAAACACCTAAAAATCAAAATTATCATCATTTTGTTGGTTACACAAGTAATTTATTTTGTGTAAGAACAACACATATATTCCAAAAAGTCGACATTAACATAACATGTGATAGTTATACATGTCAAACACGAGAGGTTTTCTTAATACATTCGAAGATGAAGACTAAGAAATGGGAAACATACCAATTTCGGGACAACATTCGGATTGCTTTTGTTTTATCCAATCATATCTGGTCTTTGTTAAGGGTATATCTGGTTCCCCACTTCCACAAAATGTATCAATTCTAATGCGTCTAATATCACCGAAGCACTCATTCCTGTCATACTGTTTGGCCTGAAATATTAGGTGCAGATGGTAATTTGCATAATCTATGTGTGTTTTATAAATAGGGGTGGCGTTTCATAGAAAGTTCTTAATTATATCTTAAGACCAAAACTATTTTCATTCCAAAGCAAATGTAAACTTATGACTCTTCAATTTTTAACACATTTTCTCACTTCAGATTGAACTCCCTGAGGAGAATTAAATAAATAAAAGTCTAAAACTTTTACTAAAGATGAATTTTTTTATTGAAACGGTTTTAAGTTAGCCCTATAGTTTTTCATAAAGGACTAAGGATACACTTAGGACTTTCTATGCAACGCACGAAAAGATTACACTATAACTGCGTTAGTGAATTATACTAAAACATTCATCTATTTCAACTATAACGTTGTCCTTAGATTTGCATAATTTACAATCATAAAGCTTTTGAATAATTTGTGTATTGCCGCTGATAAAATTTTATCAAAATTTCACTTTTAACACTCGAGTTGCTTAGATTCCAAAAACGACTTTGGTGTACTTACATAAATAAAGTAATGTAACCCGACTTTCTACAGATCGTTTACAAATGAAATTAGGTATATCCTTTATACATATATCTACTCACAAGTTTACAACAATCGAGTATTTCAAGATGACGTCTTTCTACGGCAATATTGAGTCTTTCCAATTCAAAACTGCTCATTTTTGACACCGTTCGTTTGGACATGAAATCTTCATTATTCATTACATCCTCAACGTCATGATCTTGTGTGACATCACAAAGTAATTGCAGACGTTCGTTGCGCGTTAGCTATTGACAAAAGACATGTAAAACTATGTAAAACTAAATGTACACTTTAAACATACATATTTTAGACAACATTTACGATGCCATTTGTCTATCTCTAAAAGTTCTCTTGGTAGTGACACCATGTCCGGATCTTAAAAATCTGCTACAATGTAAACAATTCTAGCTCTTCTTTAAGAAATTTCAACAATTTGTAACATCTTAAATCATATTGTTGTTTTTATTTTTGTCAGAATACGAACAACATCGTATTTTTCGATTCTATATAGGCTGAATGCAATGTGTATGTTGAAAACAAACAAGAATGTTCCATCTATTCAACAGTTACTCCAAACATTAATTTTGGTTGATATGCAGTTACCTCCCTTGGACTTCTAAAACTTAAAATTTTGACACACCGTCAATCATCTACAGTTTAATATATAAAAAGATTAAATGCGTTGCACAAATGATAAAAGTCCAAACTAACTGACTATCTAAATACTTGATATCAATATGAAAGCTTACCACTTTTGGCAATGCTGCCTTTAATGTAGTCGCTGACGGGATATCTGTGGCCGGGGCCGTAACAACTGAAGCTGAAATAAGGACAGAACACCCCTATTAGCTTGGTAACGAAACAATACATGAAGTGTCATACGTCAATCTGACTAAAGTTCAGATCTACTAAATTATTATTCTTTAATGTTGCTAGAGTTAATAAGGAGATGATTTTAATCAAATTGTGTAATACGTAATCATTTACGCTTTAAAGAAATTAAAGGAACATGTGCAATGGCGATGGCAGTTCTTAATAAGCAGAAAAATATATGTTTGTGTGTACATACCATGGGGGCAGATGGTTCGTGCCAGTGGTCCATTAAATACATCTTCGTTCTCGAGATAGTATGTAGAATTAACATGGACACGTACCCTAAAATAAAACAAAATATAGTAATCAAATTGGTGTCAAAACGTCCTGGATTTTCTTAATTGAAAAGAATTAAAACATGCCTCTTACCGTATCATATCTTGTTTTGCTTTTGTAGTTTATTTTCAATAACGTCACACTTGTTAGCTTATTAAGGCAAGAATGAAATCAGTGTGTTAAATACATATACATATCTAATATTGATGCACTGATTTCATTGCATCCCCTGTTAATAAAGACCGAGATTAATCGATAAAAAAAACAATTTTCGACAAGTGACTTCCAGTTAAACTGGGCAAATTTTTGAAACATTTTTCTTGAAAATGGTAGTATGTAACTTGCCGAAAATGCACACATCCACATGCTGGAGCTCTCCATTTAAAGTGAGCACGTCCCATTGGCTGTTTTTGCTGGGTAGTAACAATAGAAGGACAGTCCTTGGGTGAGTACAACCCATCAGCCTCTGTCATCCAACTTCCAGCCCCACATTTCTCATCGACCGCGTCTATCGATACTGTAGCGTCATTAAACTTGTACTTTCTTGCTGTAGTTTGAACGCGGACTGAAAAATAATACTTTTTCAATTTGAAAACAAAAATCAAAGTAGAGACAATTGCGTAAGTAAGTGCAGTCCATTAGGTCTACTTTAAAACGTATTATTTCTATATTCTCCAGCTACAGTACTTATACTTCAAGGTTTTCTCCTCAACGTGCAGCTGATCGGCTTTCCTATTTTGTTATTTCAGTCAAGTGCACGTTGATTTAATATTCGTTTTATAGAATTCAATTGAAACAATTAAACAGATGCAATAAATAGCAAAACGTTGCTCTGGAAACTAAATGGAAGATATATATTTGAATTATTTTTGGGTTAAAGTACGTACATCTATATTCATGCTCTGGTAGATAGCCCTGTATGGCACTCCTGAGATCCAACCTAAATAGAGCTCTTTCTCGGAATCTGTTCTCCGTTCTAGAAAATCCATCAGGTAGACCCCTGTGCCTTGGACACTGGGGGTTTATATGATTCCCAACAACCCCTGTGATAAAAAATAGTGATATGTTACTATAGGTTATAATTGTATGTCATTAACTAATGTTATAAAACACGAGCTAAGGTTTTATTTTTGTGACCTTTCCAAAACAAGAAACCTCAATTTTTTCAACCTGACATATAATCCTCCCTTAAGTGACTTAGTTAAAGACTCATTTTGGCTCAGAAGTGATTTAATTTGTCTCTTTTTTTATTGTTTGTGTCTTGTCACATTTTTCAAAGTTATACTCATTAACCACATATACATAGACAATCTTGCAACTATTGGCAATCGGTATAGTGAATTAGTTGTTGATACAATAAAATATATCATATTTATTATTTCTGAATGAAAAACAAATCTATCCTTTCAATCATTAACTTAAATGCATGTGTGCGCGAATAAATGTGCCCTAAATTTTGATGAATACCATATGTAAACGCTCAGCACAACATTATATCTTAATATTTAGAAGTTATGCATTCATCTATATATTCGGGTTTTTTTTATTTTGTTTTTTACATTTAGAATTGCCTTTTCAATTCAAAAAGAAATCCTGCCATAACATTAATTTTTCAACCTGTTAAAACAGCTACATGTACGATATACATGTAGTTTGTACTAACTTTTGCCAAAGGGCAAAAGGGGTCAACACCCGCTACACCCTCGCCCCGCCTCTTTCGCGCATGATTACATAAAGGAGAAACCACGACAAACGAACAAAAAAAAAAAGATGTGAATTCTAAACAATAATAAGAAAGTAAAAATTAGTTTTGGTATAGGGAAGCATTTTTATCAATATGTTATAGTATATGCAATGAACATTTACTATAGGGACAATATTGAATATTGTCCCATTGTATTAAATGTCTGTTTGCCATTTAAAGTCAGAAAGCACAAGGCGAATGCATACACCACAAACAGGCATGTCAAACCATTGTATTATTATAATCTGCAACCGGGCTATCCTAAAATTTTCCATTCAATATTTAACAATACAATTAAACGCCGTATCAGAAGATTAGCCGAATTATCAGCAACTATCACGGCTAAAAATAGCGCAAACACGAGTGAAGAAATTAATAAAAGCTATGTCAACTTTAAAGCGACACGCCTTCAATACAGATTTTTGCCAATTTTTATGAAAACTTTAAAACAAATTCTAATGCATACATAAAATTATCTTATGTACAAAATAAGTAATTTTCTTTATCTAACACAGAAATACATAATTTTAAAATGTAAAGAAACTTCTCTTACCACGTTCATGGGGTTAGTTTTTTGTGATAGAAATAGTCAAATAGTAATAATAATAATACATTCTCTTTGCATGCATTGTGAATACTTGTACATCTGTAAATCTATTTTTCATTCGTTTGAATTTTGGAATATTTATTTTTACGCATTTATAGGCACATACCACTTTAAACATACTAATTCACACAGTACTATACGAATTTTGTCTGAGATAGACCGACTTACGTGTTGAAATGCCAAATAAAAGTTGTAAAAAAAACAACATTAAACCCTTAAGTTTATATTAGAATATGGAAAGGTCACAGTTTTTTTCTGTGTCCATACAAGTGTATTGTATTCAACATAATTAACAAACTTTTTTTACTTTGAAAACGAAATACAAACATGTCTCTTGTTTTATGCTTTAAATTCATTATATATTATTATAAAAAATAAGTTGAATCTGAAGAAGCGCATGTAAAAAATTCCAAATATCATCATTTGTGAATTCACATTTTATCAGCAAATAAACAGAAAAAAAAGAAAGAAAAAAAGATGCATGAGTACATATTTTTTTTTTTTGTTTCTGTAAATAACTTGAACCGTTTTGAAGAAAAAAAGGATGTTCAAAATCAACAGCCAACTTGCAACTGTTAAAAACGTTTAAAAAATTCAGTGCTTAGTTTGGTGTATGTCGTGCAAGTGTTTAATTATTTTCAACCGGCTGCCTGTGACCTCACAGCCACATTTCTCCGCTTTGAGTTCGAATTTCGCGTAGATTCGGTTCACTTCCTTTCAACAAGGAAAACAGTCAGGTTGTCTCGTGGAAAATCATCAGATGAAGTAATTTTAAACACAAGAAAAAAATCTGAAAATGAAATATTTTTTATCAAAAGTAAATAATATATATAATTTAACACTTACCTACGACTAAAACTGTAACGATATAACTCTGAGATGACCAACTAATCATACTATTAAATCAGTAACCTTATAAATAAAACTTCTTAAACCTCTGCTTAACACCCGCAAAATTAAACTATCCTTTTAAATTTATTTCTTCGAGCTTTATTTTAAGATAAAATTTGAAAATCTTAGATTATGAAACTCCGTAGCGCTTATGATTTTAAGCTACAGGCAAACACGGCGTTTTATACCCTGCGTGTCTACACCATAATCTGCACTCGTGTACGGCGCGTGGAGGCCAAGCGAGCTTTCTTTTGTCCGGGGTTTGAATAACTTGATACCATTTCGTCATCCATCACTTGTTCTTTACATTTTCATGACTTCTTTCATTTTTTTTCTTTAATCTGCAAAACGGAAAAATGGCACAGTTTATGGACTCGCCGTTACTCATATTATAAAATGTTTTATTTTGTTAAAATATACTATAGACACATAGGCCCTATATATTCATTTTATTCGGTTTATCTCTTGAATACAGATATGGGTATTTTATCTTATATTTAAACTGTTTAATTTAATATATTTAACAGATTATGATACAAAATGCACATGATTACAAACAAATTTTACTAAATTTCAAATTATATAGATCTAATAACTGAATTGTATATAATTATATACTTTACAAAGTATATGTTTTTACAGTTACGAGAATATCTCGTATGTCGGAGATCTTACATAATTTTAGAAATAAACGGTCTGACATAAATACCAACATTTTGGCATTAGGGTTTGTTTTTGTTTATGAGACGCGACGCGACTCTTTTCAAGCTTTCCAAATGAAGAAGGATGGTGGTGGTGGTGGTAGTTGGTAGTTATCACTCAGGATCACGGAAGTAAGCCACAATGAATTTACCAGAGGACAATTCAGTCACCGCATTGGTCCTGGGCAGGCTGTCAAGCAGTTTACCCGTACTCTTTGCCTTCAGTTTCGCAAGGAACTGATTACTTCTGCACATATCAGAGCAGAGGTACAGTGCAAATGACCGTATAAAGGATTAATGAGCAATCACAACGAAAGTAATCTGCACCGTCGTCCAACGCTCTACCTTTGAACTAACCGGGTAGTGCTATGAAGCAGGATCGAGCATGATTCCAACTTCATATTTTCATCCTCGGCTAGTGTCTTAGGCGGAATTCGAACCTTTTGGGCATGTTCGTGGTTTTAAATCTACGGGGCTATATATTTGTGTATATGACTTTTATGTAACATGTAAAAGCTTTTGGATGATTTTTTATAATTGGTGTTTGAGTGGGAATTGAAAAATTATATATACATGTATTACACTTATTCGGTAAAATGTGGACAGTCGCTTTGAATGATTAAAATACTGTATGTACCACCAGCAATAGTTAACTTGTCTTTATTAAAGATTGTGACAAATTTTCAAGAGAAAAAAAAAGAATTCCGAGTCAAAGTCTTGTCTCGTTTTAAAGTATGACAAAAAAGTACACACGTGTAAATATCAGGAGTGTATAAACGTAATATGCATGCATGGATTTTAATTTTACTGTGTAGGCCTACGTACAGTGTAAAAACTGTAAAAAAATTGGATAGACCACATCAGTGACATTTTGAAAAGAAACAAGTGTAAAATTATTTCAGGCACCACGCTATCAAGATGTTTATATTTACTTATTTGAAGATTTATATTGATACATGAAGGACATACTATGTAAAGCAATGTATATACATGTACATTGTATTGAATTGAATGGAATGTATACCATGAGTTATATAGCAGCAGCCCCCCCCCCCCCCCCACACACACAAACACACAACATAAAAACACCACCACGCCCAATCCCCTCCACAGAAAAGAAAAAAAAAACAATACAAAAAGTAAATAAACAAATCATGAGTAATTATGAATTTAAAATGTGTTCAAAGTTCAACGCCCTCTCGGTTTTTAACACGAGAATTCACAGTTACGAATTTTGCGATATATAAAGCTGGGGTAAAATAATTTAATCAATTTAGTTTAAAATATTTATATTCTTCCGACAGATATTCTGACTATAAAAATGAAACCTTTACAAGATGGTTTTGATGAAGAGGAAATGAGTGTAATTTTATTCCGTATTTCATATAGATATTCCCGTAAGCTTTACTATAATTTTATCGGCGGATTGTTTTTATCTAATGCCAAAAATCGCCTTGAAACTTTGTTTTCTGGATAAGTTCCTGGTCATGGAATATAAGCATTTTTTTTCGTTGTTTGAGAAACTTATGTTTTACAATGATAAAGAAATTAAACAACTTTCCACAATCAGCAAATTGTGTCTTATATCTAGCACGCCACTTGGCAATAGATATTCACATTTTTTATTTTATCTCAGCGTCTATGTTTCTGAATATGAAAAAAAAAATCATAGAAAATTACTAAGTTCCGTCGTTGTACATACAACTGTAACGCATTTTGATCCCCGATCATGACTGGGACGGAAAATAGCGACCTTTTCTGAATTTTAACGAACATATGGTGCCAAATAGCATTGGTGATAAAAACTTGTACGATGATGTATTCTGACCTTAATATTAAACCACACATATCTTTATCAAAATTTAAAATGTAACATGTATATAGCTGTTGTCTTTTAAGTTTATATTTTATAGACATTAAATTAAATCTGTTGAGGGCTGGAGCATAAGAGTATTTATTATATACTTTATAAATGAAATACATGTACATTGAGAAATATTGATGAAATAAAATGCGTATTTTTATTTTTCTCATTTTCACTGTAAAAGAATATTTTTCACTGCAATGGAACATATTTTCCGTATTTTCACTGGTGTCTTGCCGGAATACTTTCTTCTAAAATAAAATTCAGCCAATTCACAAATCAAAATGGAATTTTCTATTAATACAAGATTTATTTTCATCTTCTGGTATGAAAATTATCATATTTTACTCGGGGCTACTGCATGCCACTCGTGAAATATTTATTTTCAATCTACTCGATGAAAATAAATCCTGTATTTATAGATCTTCTATTTATGTACGTTAAAAATGTATGTTAAATTTTTAATTCTGTACAGAAATCACAACATTGTGAGAGTTGTACAAAAATATATTACAAATTACAAAGTAATTTAAAATTGCTTCGGCTGTAAAACACCTAAAGAAATTGTTTAGAAATTTAAGAAACATTTTGAACGTTTGGCTGAAAAAAAAAAAACCTATTGATTTGTTTAGGTGGCCTTACTCGAATTAAATTTTAAACTTTGATACGTCATAATGTAGACTAGATTTTATCAAAGAAAAAAACGTTGTGGTACTTTTTTCTCACTCACACAATTTTGTGCATAATAAAACAGGCACTTATCTAAAATAATTGTATCTGTGCTCACAAATACACGAAGTGCTTTTTTTCCTTAAACATAATTTTATAATAAAAAATATCGTCTGCGAAAAAATTTGTAGAGTTGGCATGGATTTTCATGTTGTTCAGATTAAATATTCATATTGATGATGTACACAGCAAAAAAGTAGCTTCAAACCGAAATACCGATACACGCAAATTCAAGAATTCTTGTATATCACGATTTGTTGTTATTCTTTTAAGTATCACAACAGTAATTTTCAAGGATTTATGAAACACAAATTCAAGTCGGGTGGTGTAAACCACTTTTTTTTCGTTTTTTTTTTTTTTTTTTTTTTTTTTTCAGTTTCAGTTCCTTAGATAATCGTCTTCTTTGTAAGACAGTGGAATCAAATCATCAACTGGAAATTAAGGACGAAGTCGCTTTGTAAAGAACTAAGAAATATTCATTTGTGTATAAAGATCTGACCGTGAACAATACCTGCTTGCTAGATAGAAAAGGGGACACAATTCAAAAGACTGGACAGGCTTACTTGCCCTTGACTATAGTCTTGTGTCGACGTGATACATACACAGACATTTTATAATCTTAACATAAAGTTCCTCATACACTTTGTGAATGAACGGAAATAATATAACAACATGGACTTCATATTTATAAAACTTGATAAAAACTGTATTTTAAATTGGAACTGAACTTTTTTGAAGGTCTTTGAGAAGATATACATGTAGAATTAAAAAAAAGGTAATAACTGTGCAAAAAGACTATCAAATGATTTTCTGTCTTTTAGAAACGCATTTCAACTTTGAAAGTGAACAAGTATTCCAAGTTTAAAGTCAACATGAAATCCGACAGGAGGGCGGTAAAAATAGCTTCCCCTTTTATTCCAAATGAAGAGAATTATGTTAAAGATATTAATAAAACAATCACCTATTCTGCCTTGTGAAATTCCAAGGGAGGGTCAGATTTTAACGTCTCCATATACAATACAACAGAAACTTTTTGTGAATACATGCATGATTCTTCATGCAGTCTAACAATGACATTACAAAGGTCAAATATTCATGGGTGCAAGTTGAAAATTTGGAAAAAGCTGAAAACTTAAATTCATAATCATTTGATTTTACCTACATAATCTAATAGTAAAACATGATGAACTTTGTCATAAAAAAACCTTGATCTTCGAAAACTTGCTACAATGAATATTGATTTTCCAGTTGTACTTGTAGAGAAAGACCCAGAGTTGTCCTTTTTTTCATTTACACCTGCAGACATGCTAGTTGGATAACATAACTCACAAAAACAGCTGGTTACCATCTAATTTAAATAAGATGCAACTTTATATAGTGATACTTTACCGAGATATAGCCCAGCCATGAAAAAAAATATATTCATATACATAGAACTTACGATATATCCAGTTAACCATACAATTTTCAAAGTGCTAAAAAAGGTCAATAACGAAGCCATAGGTAGAGGTAGAATTAAAAGTATTTCCAACTTGCCAGTTTAGGTTCACCTGGTATGGACAGATGGACAGACAGTTCCATTACTTTATATAATAATAAAAAAAACAATACTAGAGCTTTTACTAAAAGCGATTAATACCCCTAGCAGCAACTTTGAACTTTTGAAAAATAAGTGGCCTGACTCAATCTATAATAAATTAAGTATCGACTGTGTTCAAAGATTGTTTTCAATTAATTGCAATTCCAACCACTATCTTCATATAAACTTGCTACGAACCAAGTTTAATTAGAATAACTCATTCCTAACTCTAGTTATTGTCTAGAAACCATTTTCTATTTTTAGTAACGGTGACCTTGACCTCAGGTTGTCCAAATGCAATATCAACCGGTGTCTTCATATAAGCTTGCTACACACCAAGCTTGATTACAATATCTTATTCCTAACTGAAACCGTTTTTCTATTTTCAGCAATAGTGACCTTGACACCAGGGGGTCTAAATGCAATACCAACTGAGGTCTTCATATAAGCTTGCCATTAACCAAGCTTGATTACAACATCTCATTCCTAACTCTAGTTATTGTCCGTAAACCATTTTTCTATTTTTGTAATGGTGACATTGACCCCAGGGGGGGGAGGGGTCCAAATGCAATACCAATAGGGGTTTCGATTAAGATAGCTATTTACCAAGTTTGATCTCCAAACTCGTTATGTCCAGAAACCATGTGGACTTACCAGCGGACGAACTGACAGGCTGACTCCTATATACCTCCTTAAACTTCGTTTGTGGGGGTATAATAATAATCAAACTGTATTGGCAACCGATTACTGCTTTGTAAGCATATTTTTGCCTTTACAATGTATACACATAAATACCTCAAATTTCATATAATTCAACATTGAATAGCCAGTAAATTTCTGCACACTTTGTACATTTTCTTAGTAGTATGAAATTTCAATTTATATCAAAACTTTCCTTGGAAATGCAAACTATAATTTAAACTCTTTAATGGTTCAAGTTATTCAACTATATGCAATTTGAGTTATCTAACTTCATGCACTTTGAGTTATCCAGCTTCATGCAATTTGAGTTATCCAACTATATGGACTTCGAGTTATCCAGCTTCATGCAATATGAGTTATCCAACTAAATGGACTTCGAGTTATCCAGCTTCATGAAATTTGAGTTATCCGACTACATGGACTTTGAGTTATCCAGCTTCATGCAATTTGAGTTATCCAACTACATGAACTTTGAGTTATCCAGCTTCATGCAATTTGCTACTGCTTTAGGGTTTCTTTGTTTTCTGGTCTGGAGTAGAGGAAACCTTCCTACATAATTTTATGTTAAACTAAAGCAATTCACATCTACATGTATGTCCAACAAACAAGTTGAGTTTTATCTTTAACTTTATTTTCATGTTACAATGATGAAGATATCACATGTGACAAAAATAAGTGTAACACTAATTTTGAGTGTATCTGTAAGCTTCAATACACATCATACATCTCTTGTTCTGTATTTCTATACCAATTTACAGTACCTTTTTACAAGACCATAGAGTAATGACAAAAATACGATACAGTTTTAAATAGTTTGTTCCTTTAAGTGTTTATTTTTTTATTATTTCCCATTATAATTGTCATTTCATTTTTTCATCGAGTGTGTAAATCAATATGAAACATGGCCAGTTCTATAAAGATGCACTGAGAGGAAGAATGAAATGGTTCTTAGAACAAAGCTTATGAATCCTCCAAATGGATCTAAATCACAAGCAAATGCAATGCAAGTTTAACATAGTTACAGTCATAAGCAATCATATTTAAGTAGTCTCATGTTTAACCTTTAAAAATTGTTATCAATCTTAATATATTTATTTTGTAATAAAAAAAAAATCAGTATGTTTTCTTTATTGATTTCTATGACAGTGACAATTTACAGCAAAAAAACAATAAATAGCACATGTTATTAATTTAAGCACTTATTCAGTCGAATGACAGCCGGTTTTCAGATTTCTAGAGAAAAATCATTTTATCACATGACATCATGTCACAGCCATCATGTCACAAGATTTTAAGAATGAAATAAGAATTGAACAATTTTGTGATGTAAAGTTCAAGGTCACTGGTCCATTGCCTCGGGCTGTTGTACCTCTGGGCCATCGGGTCTTGGCTGCTCTGGCCCGCCTTCACCTTCTTGTTGCATGGGCTCCTGTGACAAAATATTTAAGTAACAGTTTCAATACATGGCGGCAAAAATATTTAATAACATACTTGTACAATTATGTTACAACAAATTTAGGTAGTCTTACTGCAATGTTTTCCCGCCACATAATTACTCACATCAGTCAATATCGTAATAAATCAGTCATTTCCTGAATGTTATTTTTCAGATCCTTGGTATTCAATAATTTTTAACTGTTTATATCCGAAGTTTAGTACAAAGCGAAAAAGGATGAATGATTGAAAATAATCTAATGCCCAAAATTTTGAAAAAATAACATTCCGGAAATAACCGACTTGCTACAATTTTGGCTGAAGTTAAAATTTTATTGGCAGGAAAGCATTACAGTATGACTATCTTAAGATATAATTATACAATCTTTTCAAATACTTCAGACTCAAGCTGGCATTTTTATACTTGCACATTTATTTTGTAAGGTAGCAGTATAGTTTAATCACATCATAGAATTTTAGCATTTTTTTACAGATTTAAACTCCCAAGCTAAAACATGTGAAAGAAGTAGGTATTTTGTCAACCATGTTCTTAACAAGTTGGCAAAGGATCTTTTTTGAGCTGTTTAAATGAAAACAACTCTTACCTGCTCTAAAGTAACTTTTATCAAATCATATAATTTACCTTTTTTGATATTCAAACACATTGCTAAGAGTTGTTTTTTTTAGCAACATGGATTTTTATCTTAACAAACAAATAAAAACTGCCCTAAGGTAATGTTCATTGTGTGTACATAACAATTTCTGCTATATATTCAAACCAATGTGCCCAGAAGTATCACCAAAAGTGTGAAATTAAACAGACAATTATTCTAATTTTTAGTTTGTATTGGAGATGCTTATTTCATCATCAGGGATTCTCCAGGACAACTTTAAATATTCATCTTGGTAAGTTTATTTAACAAATTCAACTGGCAGTAGGTCAGATTACTTGTCCTGGTCGCTGAATTATTTAACCAGACAATATGGCTGACTTACCTGTTCACCTTCTGGTCCCCCGTCAGCTGGGGGCGGAGCTCTTGATGATCTCTCTTCCCCTTCTATCAATGCTAACTAAATATGGTTAAGGTCTAGATGTTGTAATTGTATAGTAAATAGATAATTAAAGGGAGATAATGAATACCTTACTTATATATTTGATCAAAAATTAGCATAAATTTGTTGTTCCTATTTAGAATATATCAACATCAATATTGTCCAACATTAACTTTCTATGTCTGGACTTGAATACTTGTAATTTTAATCATAATTAAAGGGAGGTAATAAATAACTTTTTTAGTGTCAACCAAAAGTAAAGATTATATAATTTTTCTCTTTTAGGACATAGGAACATCAATATGGTCCAATAAAAACTTTAAACTTTTATGTTTAGGTTAACTTAATATCAGGTACCTATGTAAATTAACTTTATACTTGTAAGCAACAAGTATAGAGCTGGGACAATCTTTACATTGCTTCAATCTGACAAGACTATATACTGTAGGCTCTAATGAAATAAGTGGGCTAAGAAAGTTTACTAATAGATATTGTATGTTTATCACTTGATAAATATGAAACATTAACAAAAATACTCAAGACAATTTAGGGATTTGTTTTTCCCATATATTTTATATTTGTGGGAGTTTAACATATCACCCTTTGTTATACTGTAATTTCCACAAAGTTTTCTTTTTGGTTAGGTTTCTACTAGTCAAACTGACCGACACTGTGTCATATGGCAACATTCCAGCTTTAGTTTAAACAATATTTCAATCATTATTTACAGTTACATAATAAATTAAATAATACTTAATATTTACAGATTGAGCAGGAAGCCAAAAATGTTTTCTTAAGAACTCTCTCTCATTCCATCTTTACAGCAACAGTAAGTGATCAGGTGCCACTCAGAGCACTGCCAGGCACCCCGAGTAGAACCACTTTCCCTCCCCAGCTTCTTCACATGAAAGTACTTAAAGTTCCTGACAGGATTTGAACCCAAGGCCATGAGGAGGAAATAGTTTGAAATCAGCCATGTAAACCACTTGGCAACGGGGCATCTCTGACTTATTAAATAGTATGAATACTTAACATATTTATCAGTGTTACTTTAAAATAGTATAAATCATGTAATGGATACATATTGCTCTACTTTCTCATCATCGTATATTGTAAAGTCCATATCTTTTCCAACAACTCCCAGGGAACAGTTCTGAAAAACAAAGCATAAGTTAAGTATATTCCACAATGCAACTGCAACATTGATCACAGCATTAGGTGCCCCTAATTTTTGGCACCTAGGTTTATACACATTTAAACTTCAATGAAAGTAATTAAATAGAATAGACCCATATAGGGGGCCTACAAAAAAAATGTACATACATGATTCTGACAAACCATTTGAATTCAGTTACCTTAATCAGTTGTCAGGCATATTTTCTGCCCTTTGGGATGTAATATTCTTAAACCCCATGAATTATAAAGATTTTCAGGAAATCAGTTTAAAACAAAAATCATTTCTACTGTCAATTGTCTTTATTATTTCAATGTTGATATCCCTGTAATTTAAGCCTCATCATTTCCTACATGTAACTACTTATAATGAATGGACTTGTCCATTATTTAGGAAAAATTATGAAATATATACTAAATGAATAGCAAACAGTGCAGACCATGATCAGAATGATGGCCATACAGGCTGAATATTGGTCTGCACTGGTCGCATGGGCAGAATTATGTGCTAGCAGCAAGGTAAAGATTAAGGGATTTCCAGCTTCAGACATAGGTAGGTAGGAGGTAGGAGATTTATTCATTATTTATTCACCCACAAATGAATGCCTGAATACAACTACTTACATTATGTTAGCTACCTAACAAACATAATGTATTATATGTAAAAGGAAAACTTGTCATTCTTACTCATTCATACACTAATATTTTCTTCAAATTAAATGAATTTATTTGGACTAAAAAAAAAAACTTGAATCAAGCAAAATATTGTCAAGTATAATATCATATATGATATACAAGTACGGGTACAATGAGCAAAACTTCATATTGTAAAATACTACCTTGTTAGTAAGGTTGATTTCTGATGGAAGAGTATCCCTGAGTGCACGAAGACCATGTGCTACCAACTCTTCTAATGAACCTGTTGTAAATATCACAATATTCATGGGTTTTTTTAACAAACAAAAATAATCTTGTAAAATGTTTGACATGTTTTACCTAGATACTTGAATACTTTAAAACAAGAGCTGGCTATCTGGCTGGAAACACAACTTTTCTCACTGAGAAAACAAGATTGCATGTGAAACCTTATCCAGAAATTTTCAAGTTTAGGAATGAAGTTATACATGACATATTGGCCATTGACAATAATGATATGGTTAGAAGTTCATGTAATTTTCTTCAATTATTAATGAGAAATAAAGTTGCATGAAACTAATAGTTGAGAAAACACCAGATAACTATCAAGAAAGGCTAGCTACACATTACAATAAAGCATTTGAAAGGCTGTCATCTTAGAAACTATAGCCAATTCATTGAAAACCTGAAGGCATTATAATGAAAAGCTTTATTTTGGACACTAATAAAGCACCAGTCTAAAGAAAACTTTCAAATAGTAGAATACGTTGCTTTCCCAATACACTAAATCTTTAAATAAAAAAATGAATTCATGAACAAAGTTTTGCTAAAGTTCATAATTTGCAGGATTAGTGACTTACAATCCAGGAATTTATCTAGATGTTTTTCCACGTATGTTCTAGCCGACTGTGACCTCGCACCAATAGCCATAGCTTTACAATCATAGTAATTGGCGGACGGACATGTCTGGTATATATGTGGTCCCTGAGACTGTAAATTATACAGAAAAATAATTTTATGTTAGAAAAATAATTTTATGTTATTTACAATATATTTCCCTTCATCAACTTTCAACTTCATTAAATCTGATGATACACCTACATGTACAGGTTCTTTACAGTCATACAGTCACTGTACAGGTTCTTTACAGTCAAACAGTCACTGTACAAGGCCTTTACAGTCATACAGTCACTGTACAAGCTCTTTACAGTCAATTTAAAGTTCAACAACATGATAAAATATGATTTAAAGAGGATCTAATACATAAGTCTTTGGTTGAACCTTGATTTCTAATCCATCACTTAGTATATATCAAACATCTGTCATTATGTCTACCATACAAATTAACTGCAGATTGTAAGGATCAAATTTCTGAAAAAAAAATCATCTACTAAATAATACAAATCAGTACTGAGTTCTAATATAAGCACTAACTTGAAATTAAAATAACTATTGGAATTCAAAAATTTAAAACAAACAAAGCAAAAAATCTGTCAGTTACACAATGCCTTCTTACATAATTATTACATGTTTTCTAAACTTTTTATGCTAAAAACACAATTGTACTGCTTTAAAATCAAAGAATAAATAACCTAGTTTTTGACAAAATACATCACCCCGTGGTTTGAGAATGTCTAAACAGCTGTATAATATAGTATATCTCAGCAATAAATAATATGATATAGTCCTGCTTTGTAACATGTGAAGACAATGACGTGTACATGTTGACGAGGTTTATTTTAGAATACAATATAAAATTATGATCCATTCAACAAATTTCATACAAAACAATACAGTAAATAATAAATAGCTTACATCATATCCAGCTATGAGAAGACCTACACCAAATGGCCGTCGACCATACCGCTGTGTGAGAATTTGTGATTCTGATGCAAGTTAAGGAAATATAATTGTATGAACATAATAATATAAATATACAGAATTTCTAATTGTATGAACATAATATAAATATACCGAATTTCTAATTGTATGAACATAATAATATAAATTTACAGAATTTCTAATTGCATGAACATAATAATATAAATATACAGAATTTCTAATTGTATGAACATAATATAAATATACAGAATTTCTAATTGTATGAACATAATAATATAAATATACCGAATTTCTAATTGTATGAACATAATAATATAAATTTACAGAATTTCAAATTGCATGAACATAAATATACAGAATTTCTAATTGTATGAACTTTATATAAATGTACAGAATTTCTAATTGTATGAACCTAAAGAATTTCTATTTATATGACCATAATAATATAAATATACAGACTTTCTATTTGTATGAACATAATAATATAAATATACAGAATTTCTAACTGTATGAACATAATATAAATAAATACAAAATTTCAAATTGTATGAACATAATATAAAAATATACAGAATTTCTAACTTTAAACTCTTTAGAATGTCTTGTGTCTTTTCATGTAGAACATAGATATATTATTTTAACAAAACACTTTGAGGTTCGTAATTATCTTAGTGCACTGCCAGAAAAACTTAACAACCATATGTATTGATACCTTAGCAGTTTAAGCTAATTCATGCTAGACAATTATTCTACATTCCCTTTTATATCTCACAGTGATATATGTAAAAGATTGTGATATCTTTTACTATTTTGATCAATTTTTCTTTATAATTTGTATGTTAGAATGGAAATAGATAATAATTTTTCTTGCATTATAGTATAATAATGTACAGTTTAATGTTCAAATGCTTTGTAATTAATCACTCGGGTCTACCGGCCTTAGTGATTATATTCTCACTCATTTAAACTCAAACCGTGCATTTTTCTACAACAATGCACTCAAAATCTATTTCCTAATTTTATTTTTTCCATAAAAAAATATCGAAACAAACAAATATGACAAATCTCTTTAGACTATGTAATCATTGATATATATATATAAGAAAGGATACTGTTTCCAATAGCTGAGACAAGTCTTGATATAGGCAGGGCCTGGTCGTAGGCATATCGTGAGTTCATACATTCAGATCTCATAAAATTACTGAAATATAATAATTCTGTATTAAACACATAAGCAAAATGAAGCATATATATAATTCATAGTTGGGCAAATCCACATTGAACTTTCAATTAAATTCTGATTTAGAAAATGCTTAATTATGTAGTTTTATAGAATAGAAGATAAAATATTGATTTCTAGTATAAAAAGTAATTTTCAATTGTAATTTTTTTACATTTTCTCCAATAGTAAAATAATATTATATTATTTCAACTGTGTACAAAGAAAACAAATGTAACATGACATTTAAATGTTAACATAAAGAAAGAACATGATTTATATCTTAAATAAATTCAATGTTATCATCAGTTAACTACTGACCAAGGTTAATCAGTTAATCAAATGCCATGAACACTACAGTTGTATAACAACTTCTCCAGATAAACAAATAAAGTAAAAACTCAAAACGCTTCTCTGTACATTACTACAGTTCAAGGAAAATACTTTCCAAGACAAGGTTTTAATTATACTGTTTTGTTATTGAAATATGACTACTTAACTAGTGAGTTACTACTATTACTGGTGTAGGAAAAAACTGTTATAACCCTCTGCAGTTAAGTAAAAGGGGCACTTCCCTTAAATTTGGGAGTAATGGCATGGTATGTATTATTGCAAAAGGGTAACAAAATATATATGTAACTGAATGTTACTGGAAAACTGCATAATTTTGACAAAGTTTCCTAGAAGAGACAGCCTTAAAGCCTGCTACAGAAACTACGGCACTCTAGAGGGACAAGAAAGGGAGTTTGGGGAGAAACCATTTTAACATGCTACCAAATCAGCCAAACTTTTAAAATAGTATTCTTTTTTAACTACATAAACCCTTTTGGAGGGAAAAAAAACAATGAGTTCAAATCCTGCTGCTGTTTAAATTACTCAGCCAAAGGCCACTGTTTAGAGTTGTACCTTAATAATCTGGCATCAGCTGTAAGACCAGCAATAGCAGCTCCCACATGGTCATCTATAGGTAAAATTTTCTTCTGATAAGCTGAAAGTTCTGATGGTGCCCTCTTTAATAAAAAACAAAGTATGACAACATAATTATAGGTAAAATATCAATAAACCTGCTGCTTTATAAATAACACAATTATATGAATACTAAAAGTCCATTTATTCATTAGGACAAAATGATTTCAAAAGGTAAAGCAAAATTTTCAACAATGTCTATCCCTGGGAAAATTGAAATGGTCATGATAATTCTTCTTTGTAAGATTCATTGTAACAGTATAATAACATGGAAATTGTGACTACAGATATCAAAACAACTAAATTTGCAGCATGATTTGTTATCTTTGACATACAAGCCATGATATTTAATTATTATCATTTACGCGTTTAACTTTTGCAACAGAATTCAAATTAATTTAACAATGTACTATACCTTTAGTGCTACGAGAATAGCATGTGTTTTAGACTTAAGGCCTATAGTAGCAGATCCCTGTTTCACTGCTTCCATTGCATATTCTATCTGGTGTATGCGACCCTATCAGTATTATAAACAGAATAAGAATGTCAGTCCTATATATTAAAAAATAGCAATGGTTACCAGATTTTTATAACAGCAAAATTTTAAAGATCTATTAAAATAATTGCGAATAATAATAACAAATTTACGACAATTAAAGACATTTTCTACAGTTTTATGAAAAATTAATCCTTTCATAGAATTTTCTAAATTTTTTGTATGATGAGTAAAATTTAATGACAAATTTAAAAATAAAAAGAAAAATATATGTTGACGTGTTGGATTTCTTGTAAAATGGCAGTTTCCATGGTAGTCGTATATCTAAAAACTGTCAAAATAGCCTAACTGTGTTATAACGAATAGAAAATGTATAAGATAGCTTAAAACACACAACGAGCATTGTTTAATGCAAAGATAACATTATCTAATGATTCTGTATGAAACAAATGATAATCTGGACATATTTCTTTAAAAAATGAGTTTTCCATGTTCCTCAACCGAACAAAAAATGAGAAAAATAAACATGAATTCTGGGAATAATTAGAGATATTGAAAAAAGTGTTTCATAGGATTTTCTAATTTTTTTGTATGTTGTGTAAAATTTAATGACAAATTCAAAAAGAAAAAGAAAAATATATGTTGGCGTGTTGGATTTTTTGAAAAATGGCAGTTTCCATGGTAACCGTATATTTCAAAATTGTCAAAATAGCCAAACTGTGTTATAATAATGTATAAAATAGCTTATTACACTCACAATAAACATAATTTTATACAAAGCTTGCTTTATCTTAGGGTTCTGTATAAAACAAACGATAATTGGAACATATTTCTTTAAAAAATGAGTTTTCATGCTTTTTAAGTAAACAAAAAATGAGAAAAATAAACATGAATTCTGTAAAAAATTAAAACTATCTTTACGTAAACAAAAAATGAGAAAAATAAACATGAATTCTGTAAAAAATTAAAACTATCAAGAAATTTCTTTCATAGAATTTTCTACATTATTGATATATCAAGTAACATTTGATGGTGGATTCAAAAATAAAAATAAAATATATATGTTGACGTGTTAGTTTTTTGTAAACGGGCAGTTTCCATGGTTACCGCATGGTTACCGCATGGATGTCAAAATTACCACGCTTTCTTAAGAAATATCAGTGTTATACTAAATGTATTGTCAAATATACAACAAAAACATGTTGTAATAAAAATTTCTTTTTCTTTTGATGTTATATTAAGTAAATGATACTGAATATCTTTTTAAAACATATCTAGGGCCATATTATTTTTTTTCACTCGACTAACATACCCCAACAGTAAGCAAGTATTCAGAAATTTACAAAGAAAATAATGACATTTCTTAGATATTGTTTTGTTTTTTTATTCAACACTTTTAAAATATATCATTTTAAACTTCTTTGCCCAGTTGTCTGCCAGTAATCAAGTCGCGACGCACTTTCGTCACTATACCACAAGTGGGTGGGGTAACGCGCGCAGAATTATCATCAATGCTGTCTTACTAATGCTTGGAGAAATCCTTTATGTGATGTTGTCTAAACAACCTCTTATTCTTTTGAACCGATCTCCTTTTGAACATTTAGAAATATCTATTCTGTATTATTTACTCATTATTTGCTTATAGCCGAAATTTAAACACTTATCCGAATACTATTCAACTTGACCTTCATTTTGAAGAGTAATTATCCGTGATTATCTTTCTTGGAAGCGCATAACGATGCGCACAAAAAACTACCGAAAACGTCTTTAACATAGTCTCAGACTGTAATTATTATGTGTGTGAATTAAGAACAGAAATATATTTATTCTATTATTATTTAAATTAGTATCATTCATATTAAAATGAAGATTATTTATAAATCATATATATTATAAATAAAGTACATGAAAAAAATACCTGTGGACTCCACACTGTAACATCATTGTCATACTGATTACGAAACTGAAAGAAAGAAAACAGAACATAACACTTCAAACAGTATGCATTTATCTTTCTGAGATATACCAGCACTCAAGATAAAAGTTTCATTTTATCGGATAATTAATATAACTTGAATGGGTATATATTTTGTTCCAAAATATTTCGTTTGAAACTTTTGACCCGTATAAACACTTTCATTCAGTTAGTCATTAAGATTTTGTGCACTGTGTTTACGGCCATTTGTTTATCAGCTGTATAAGAAACATGATTAAATAAAAGTATTTAAACATGATTTTTTGAATGTGACAGTTTGACTATTTGGTTTTAAAGGTATTTCTTTCTTATAATAGTTCATGAACAGCTCAAAATTAATATATTTATACGCTGACTTGCATGTTTTATCATCTTACCGAACATGCTATGGGTTTATGAGAATTTTTGATATAATGTTTTGCCAAGAATTAAAAATATCTCAAAGCAACATCAGTGTAGTACCGTATGGTACTGGTTACGGGAGTTGACGGAAGGTTCCAGACCAACTGGAACTAGTGTGTTAGGCTGACAGTTGGGCGCCATATTAGTGTAATAAATAACTAAGAAGAATTAGGCAATTCCTAGCTTGGCTGCGATCCAGACGTGGAAGGTCCAGTTACTAAAGTAGTGTACAGAAGCTATGTTTCAAAGGAAGTCAAGTGGTTATAGACCTGTCAGGAATGTTCCTTATTCCAGTAATGTTGTAGAGAACTTTTTAGCCCCAGCTGTTCCACAGATGGTGTATCCGATGGTTCCTGTAATACATCAGCCGGCTTTTGGGTACACTCGGGTACCTCAGTGGGATCAGCAGCCAAGCCGAAATTTTCCTGAGAAACCGGAACACCAACACACTCCAGGTAAGTTACCAGGTCAAGAATGAGTGTGATGTTGAAACATCTTTGCCCAGCAAAGTGTTTGAAACATCAGGTGCGGTTGGTCCAATACCACCACACCTGCAGGAGGTCTATGACACCTCTTGTGGCAGCCTTGATGAAGGTCAACGGATTCAATTAGCGCAATTGCTGATTGAGTTCCAAGATGTCTTCATCAAGGGTGAACTTGACCTTGGTGACTTCACTGATGAGGAACGTGATACAGATACCGGGGAGGCGAAGCCTGTGAAGCAAGGTATGAGGCAAAAGCCTGCATGCTTCGCAGGGGAAGAAGAGGCCCAGCCTCAGGAAATGCTGAAGGCTGGGGGTGTACAAGATGCCACATCCAAATGGGCATCTGCTCCAGTTTTGATAAGAAAACATGACGGCTCTGTGCGTTATTGCATAGACTATAGGAAGTTGAATAAGGTTACAGTCAAAGACGTGTATCCTTTGCCTTTAGTCGATGATTGCATGGACACATTTGCTGGCAGTGTTTGGTTTTCAAAATTGGATGCCAACTACGCATTCTTCCAGTTGAACATCAGAGAAGGCTTTGGTTTGTGTGGTGCCCCAGCCACATTTGCCAGAGCAATGGAGTTAGTCCTGAGAGGTTTGACATGGAAGACAGTCCTGGCATTTCTCGATGATATCATCGTGCTTGGAAGCAATTTTGAGGACCATCTCTCAAACTTGCGGGAGGCTCTTTCGAGATTTCGGAGGCATAAGCTAAAGCTTAAGCCGAAGGAATGTATCTTCTTCCAACAAGAAGTAGAGTTTTTAGGCCGTAAAGTCGGCAAAGACAGCATTGCTTTGACAGAACATGACATAGCAGTGGTGAAGGATTGGCCTGTTCCAAACAGTGCCAAGCAGGTAGAGAGGTTTATGGGGTTGGTAAGCTATCATAGAGTGTTTGTTAAGGACTTCTCTAGGGTAGCAGCCCCATTGTACGCCGTCACAGGCAAAGCCAACTTTGTCTGGGGCGAAGAACAAGCAGAGTCATTCAGGACTTTGAAGTGCTTGTTGACGCAACCTCCGGTGTTAGCGTTGCCAAATCAACAGGGCGAATTTATCTTGGAAACGGTCGCTTCCAATGATTCGATTGGAGCAGAGCTCTTGCAGGTGCAAGAGGGCCAAGAGAAAGTTGTTGCATTTGGTAGCTGTGCTCTTACCAAGGAGCAACAGGGTTATTGCATGACCAGGAAAGAGCTGCTAGCAGTAGTTCGGTTCACCAAACAGTTCCGACACTACTTGCTAGGAAGACCATTTGTGGTCAGGACTGACCATTCTAGTCTGAGGTGGTTGATGAATTTCAGGGAGCCACAAGGGCAACTGGGGAGATGGCTGGAAGAGCTGTCCCAGTTTAACATGGTGTTGAGACATCGTGCGAGTCGCGAGCATTCCAATGCTGACGCAATGTCAAAAATACCACTGCAAAGTGGGACATGCCGAGGTGGAATTGCTGGTGCGCGGCTGGATCAGTTGCCTGTGGTGGATGTGAAGATTGTAAAAAAGCCCATACCAATTGGGTCAAGTTCTTCACAGATGTAGATGAGGTGGTACCGTTGGTAACCAAACCAGTGGAGTCTTCGGATTCCGGTTTAGGTGGCCAGCAGGGTACCAGGGTTTCTGTCATCTACGGGATTGATTTTCATGAAAACCAATCAGATGCAGATGGCCAGCCGGTCCTTGCCAATAAGGTCGGTGAGCATGGTCAACAGTCCCTCTCTGAAGGCTAAATCTTCAGTGGAGGGGAAGAAAAGGTAAGCATAGGTTGCGTTAGAGACCGAACATCTGATATCAGGGCCATTCCTGATAATGTAGATGTTCCGTTGCTGGCACAGATTTTAGAGGATATTCCCTGTGGCCAGCAAGGATCTCGGTGCCCAGTGCCGGGATGTTTTGAGGATCTTACCCAGAGACATGCTATGGAGGCCCACCTCCCTGGCATATTCCAAATGTGTTTGACAGGTGAAAGCATTACGAACAGAAGGATTGGTGCTTTGAAGCTGGTGATCAGGTGGTTATTGGGGTCTAATAGCACTTTGTTTGACCTGGTAACTTACCTGGAGTGTGCTGGTGTTCCGGTTTCTCAGGAAACTTGCACCAGTAATCACAGGAAAGCAGCGAAGGAGTTCTGTGAGGTTCTTAGGGTACCCTTGCCCAAAGATCTCACCCCAAAGGTAAAAGGTAATGCTGTGACAGTTTTGTTGCAGTGGCGCTGTCTACTGTCATTGATATCCATGCTGGAAAGACACCAGGAAGACAATCTGAAAGCCATGTTCAGCTTGTCAGCTGAGGAGTCCCAACTCCTTAGCTTTCCTAAAGTGTCTGACAGCCATTGAGTGTCTGGGTTTGAGGCTTGGCTGAAATTGGTACGGTTCAGTCAAGTAGGCCATGTTGTCCAGCCCTCTGGCATCATGGTCAAGTACCAGTACTGGTATGAACCGGGAAGCTCTAGTCTGCCCTTGGACTAGAGAGGCGTCAGTGCTTGGTTAACTTCCTGGAGCCACAGACCCCTCCTAAAGAATAGGACGGGGAGGAGTGTAGTACCGTATGGTACTGGTTACGGGAGTTGACGGAAGTTAACGGAAGGTTCCGGACCAACCGGAACTAGTGTGTTAGGCTGACAGTTGGGCGCCATATTAGTGTAATAAATAACTAAGAAGAATTAGGCAATTCCTAGCTTGGCTGCGATCCAGACGTGGAAGGTAAGTCGATTGTTTGTATTGTCAATCCCTTTATAATCAATCGCGACAGTTCTATATCATTTATAGGACTAGTCTAAACTGCAATGATAAAACTTAAGTTGTGAAAAAACATGCTGACGTTAAGTGTCATTTGGATTAAACATATTTACTTAAACATCATTGCAAAACAAGTTCTTGCAATTTATATTAATCACTTTCGAGTCCGCTTCCTGGAATCAACTGGTGCCATAAGAAGAAATATTGTTGTGAAACAATTTGTGCTCGAACCCATGATCCCTGGGTTGAGAGGCAGACATCTTTGACTTAACAATTAGGCCACTGGCACTGCTGGCGCTTCACTTTAACATTTATACGGGGAAGTCAAAGACCGGGCCCGCGAAGCGGGTCCGGGCTTTGGCTTGCCCGGCTATAGACTACACGTGTATATTTAAAAGAAAATCAAATAAAAAACAATTAAAAAATATATAGAATTCTATACCTATCAATGAAATTTTCAGTGTCAGTTCTAGTCGGGCGCCGCCATTTACAATGTAACTCAATGATAAAAGGCGGGTATTCCGATAACGGAACAAATCTCAACTTTTCGGATAAATAATAAACGTCGAGTGTTCCGAGTGAAAACGGAAGCGGTGCATGTAATACCGAACGACAATTTTAAAACGGAAAGAATGAAAGGAATTTTTTTAACGACTTCCCCGTTCATAGGATTTGCCTAATTTCATATTATATTGTGAGCATGTCAAGTAGCAATTACGTATGCCATAGAACTAAAAGATAGTTAAAAACTTCTTGAAATGTAAAAAGGTGGGGAAACAACATGATAGACTCTATAACGTTATTTACTGAATGTAAATGCATTTGTAAACATAAAAATAACAAATTAATGAAAGAATGTAATAAATAGTAATCTCTGTTTTTCGTTTTGAACTGCATTTTGAATAGATAGCTTGTTAAAAATGCCAAAATACCATGATTTTGTGTTATTTGCCGGCGTCAATTTCGTTTATCATGGGAACACTGTTTCTGTCTCCTATTAAAGAGCGTAATGAACACAAAGAAAATTAAATGAACGAAAGAGGACATAGTCCTAAAATAAGATAACCTAATCTTTATTTATACTCGGTTAAAATAATCATAATAACACTAAATATAAAAGCTATTTTCCGACAAAATAGACTATTTTTAAACATGCAAATCCGGCAAAATTGACTTTTTTTAAACATGCAAACAAACAACCTGTTATTTCAAAAAATAAATTAAGATCTATGATAAATGCTGTAAAATAAATTTAGATAGATATCGACCTGTGGACAAAATAATTAATTACAAGCAATGTCAAAATATAATACAAAAGACTAGAATGTATTTTATGTACACAGAAGCTAAGAAGCAAAATTAAACAAAAATAATCAGCCATGGCTCAGTACTAAGACTGACCCAAACACCAACATGCTGCTTGCGCATATATCATCAGCAGCAATTAATTTGATATTTATCCAAAGAAATAAAATAACAGAAATATGTATAAATATAAAAGTTAATTTGAATTGTTTGTGTGGCATTTGCTGAACTTGACTTGACCTTAAAACTGCAATAAGACGATGTGGGGTAAGATTATGAGAAAAATACTAGAGTGTGAGACATTATAAAACTAACTACGGTTTTTTAAAAAATTTAAAAATTATCCCCAAATTAAATTCTGGAAGAGCTGATCAGCAGCTACCACACACAGACAAAAAAGTGACGTGTCAGAAAGCTACCCCAGCAGGAGCTACAGTCTCCCATCTAAGATACATGCGTTTTATATTAATATAAGTTTACATCATAATTATGCCACTAAAACATATAGTCCATTGGTAATGTGCTACTTACGGCTGATCAGTGACGGCATTGATATGCAGTGTTCTGAGATAATGGACATTGATATCCAAGAAATTAGCACATATAAAGGCTTATTGTAAACGAACCATTTTCAACTAAACAGGTGATATGTGTCAGTATACATAATGAATTGCCGGGTGACACATAGCAATAATAATCGACATTTAAACATATATAGACAGGTTCATGCCCATTTAATAAAAAAATTAAGATATACTGGTTTTTAATATACATGTATATCAAACTTAATCAATAGTAAAATATTACAATTAGATGCAAAATTTTTGAGGATGATCATGGGATCACCTAAAACCCGTGACAATATCTAATTCCGTGACGTCCGTGACGACATAAATCCGTGACATGCACCTAAAATCCGTGATACACCTTTTTACATATAAATAATACAATGCACTTAATCCGTTTATCATGCATTTATTGCAAACTACATAAAAACCGTCTTCTGGCATTCGACAAGAACAAAATACTTTAAATATGTAGATTATCCCACGCCATTCGAATGCTCGTGAGACCGAGTGTCGGTGGGAAATGACTTAAGTTTATCCGTTTCTAAACATCATATAATAATATATGCTATAATTACCTTTTTATAAGTATAATTTTAAAATAAATATTAATACATATGAATGAAATATAATTCATATACATTGTTTGCCACTAAGTGAGATTTGTTTTATTAAAAAGTAGATTGTTTTAAGATTTTCGTGATATAACATAATATTACGATTATTCTGTAAGGTTAGTTTATACGTGTATATAATTTCGGTGAACATTATGCTCAATCCTTAATTACAACTCACAGGATTTTAAAAGTAACGATCCATTTATTATAAGTAAGCGTAATATACAAACATTATAATTTATGCTGTCCTCTTTCTGAATATGTAGCACGGGAAAGGAAGTGTTACGCGAAGGATGGAGTTCTTATGATAACTTGTTCAGGAGTTCTTGTGATAACTGTCACGAAGTTCATCGGAAAACATATGTATATACTACAAAAAACACTCGTCAAAAATGGTTATTTTCATCGTTCAAAAATGAGTTTTAGGTGCTAAATTAAACTTTAATGATTAAGCTTGTCTTACATCTTGTATTATGTGTCAAAAACTAATTCACAGGCCATTTTTAATCGCCTCTTGCTTCAAATCTGGCAGTTTTCAGAAAAATTTTCAAATTATTTGCCAATTCACAAGTATTGACCTGTTTATTTCTGGTCTTCATCCTTGCCATACACAATTACATGTACCTCTTTGTAATGCAAAATTGCAAACATAAAGCACCGGCTAACAGATTTATACCCGATTTTTCAAATATCCCGGAGTTCTTGTGATAACTCTGAAGATGTCACAGAGTTCTTATGATAACTTTGAAGTTTGTTATTGCCAGTGTGTTTCTTGCGCTAAATCACGGCACGTTTTGACGTTTATTATTATTCAATGAAATTGAAAATCATTGCTCCGCCGCCTAGTGAGTGATTGTACTGTCCAATTCATAAACGGTCTTTTCCAGTATCGTCACATTTTCAATTTTGTCGTTTTGGGCGTTCTTTAGGGATTTCGTTTTCTCTTTTTCTGAAATAAACTGCTATCTAATTAACATCTCGTATTATCTTCATCCACGTTACAAAACAATATAAAACATAATAAGCTATAACTCTACAAAATAGTCACTTTAATTTCTGCTACTCGAATAACATAAACAAATCTTTTTCATAATAAACACCTGTTGGGTTACTTTACCGCTCTTCAATTTCAACAAATGGAGGAAAATTGCGAAACGTAACGTGAAACTGAAACAGATATTTCCCATATTTTGCACATACAGTCAATCACGATGCCTGGACATAGCAGTAAAAAACAGTCTCAAAGAACTAAAGGCAATTTAAGGGTAATTATATGATTATATTGAGTTAAACTATTGTTATTCATTTTGGAATGTTGTACATTTTTCGGATAAGTATCTTTTTCGGATAAGATTAAATTAATCAGATTTGTAAGAAAACTAAACTGACCCTCTCATGAAGACTAGTTATCTATTCAATTCATATGCTCAAACCGGTGATATATTTATAAAATATGTTTAAATTTCTTTAAAGAAATTTGTGAATAACACATAAATTTTGAAGAGGGAGAGTTTCTCTCATTTAAGTTTTAACAATTTTTTTGAAAAAGGATCCAAAGTAATAATTCCATTTTGGGGAAAAGGATGAAGAGAAATTGGATATTGATTTGGCATTTATCGCTATTTATTATATTTTTGTTATGAATATTTAATAAGTTTCGTTAAAAGGTAATTACTTTAACTGTAAGTATAATTTTTCAAATAGAGTGCAGTAATCAGTCATTTATTTTCTGTAATCATTGACACAAAAAATTGACATTGATTTTGCATCTATCTCTATTTATTTATATGTATCTTATGAATAAGTTGCATAAAAACTTTATGAATTTATTAACTATCATCTGGTTACACAGTGTTTTTTTTTCACCAAAATATTCGGCGAAATTCGGCCCCATTCCCCCCTCAAAATAGTATGTTTTTTTCCCCTCTCAAAGCTGAAATTGCCCCCCATATGGCAGCTAAAATTTGCCTGCAATGAATACCATTTTTTTTGCATATATTAAACTGCCAAAAAATGTTCTATTTTAAGCCTGTAAGACTTACTGTTAAGCAAAGTTGTTTACAAATTGTTCGCAGGAATGTAAGGGGAGCTACTCCCGGTGTTCCAACAAGTTTAACATGCGACACTTTAAATTCTGCTGCCAATATTTTACATCCGTATATATTAAGAAAAAGCGACGTATTTTAAACTTGTGTTGCAAGAGTTGCTCCCCTTTTCTACTCACTGGAAAGAAAACAATGTCACACAAAAGTAAATCTTACATTGGTAAGTGGTGTATTAAAATATGCATTGGATTCTTTTTTGTTTCTCCTCATTTGTGAAGAAATAAAATTCCCCCTCCTATTGCATTTTCCCCCCTCCAAACGGCACCGACCCCCTTCCCCTAAAAGTGAAAAAAAACACTGTGGTAATTGTTTAGGTATCTATCTACATTTATTGTATCTTTGTTATTTACTACATTATCAACTCTCAATTTCTATATTTTTTCTTTTCATTTTTTTTTTAAGTATTTTAAGTCATTTACTCATGTGCTCATTTATATAAAGAATGAAAGTAGTTTTAAAAAAAAATAATTTCAAAGGTTTAGAATATATTCTTTCAGAGCTCCAGATAGCGTGCGTATAAGCGTAAAATACGCATAGAAAATCTAAAATACGCATCACTTTCAAAATTCGTGCGTCACAGTTACGCACAACAAAATGAAAATACGCTCGTATGTCAAAATTTATGCGTGAAAGAATAGAAGCGTAAACATTTGATATGTAGAAAGAAAATGTTTATAGCATAAAAATACAATATATTTCCATTTTATTGCATTGAAAACTTAAAATTCTGTTGTCAACAACGCATGTTAAAAACGAAAGTAGCAGGAAATACAGAAGGGAGGTAACTCCCGTAGGTCAACCAAACTCCCAAACTCCTCACAGTGATTACCTCCCTTGGCAGAATTATGCCGAAGAATTAAGGGGAGATCACTGCGTGGAGATTGTAGGTCAACCTGTGAAATTATTGATGAAATTTGTGCCAGATAATCATTGTAGGAGTATTAAGTTTGTTTAGGCATCTATTCACATGCTTATGCCTAAATATAAACAAAAATATATTTTAATTTCTTAAACTTTTGTTTTTGGAACAAAAAAAACAGGTTTTTCACCTGCAGTTTTGTACTCAATATTTTCGTACCCAGTCTACAGTTACGGACAATTTTCTCTCAGACCAATACTTTTTTTTAAGGAAAGATGAAAAAAATCTTGTTTATGTTTCTTTAATTCTAATTTCAACTATAATTGTTCAAACTGGAGTACATGATAAGGTACATGCCAACAGAAATAAAGAAAGAAAAATATTGACTCCTAGAAAATAAAATAATTTCAGGGCTTCCACTAGTGGAAGTTTGGGAGTCATTTACTCCTTCATTTTGGCTTGTGACTTCCAAAAATCAATACTTTTCCTTCTTTACCTATATTATTAATGTGACTTCCAATATCAGAGATTTTGAAGTCTTTGACTTCCAAATTTTGAAAATGAAAGCCCTGATAATTTTGCTGTGTATCCTAAACTAGAGTTCCTGTATACTCTGGAAGTCTTACTTTACATGGCATGTTTTGTATTGTTTCACATTAAATCAGTATTTAATTTGTAAAGGTTTTTCTAAAAAAAGAAAATAAACAAACAAACAAACAAAACAATAAGTTTAATTTGTTTATACAAAATGCTTTTTTGGCAGATTTTACCCCTTAAGTTTTTCAGAATTTGCATTTTACCCCTCACTCTTAATTTTGAGGGGTAAAAACCCCTTGGCCAAAAAAATTATCTGGAGCTCTGTTCTTTAAAACCATTAAGAGATATTAAAGAGTTATGATTAGTTTTATACATTATATTATTACATCAACTTTTGTTTAGCCATCAAGTAGTAGTCAAGCTGCAGAGTTACTTACATCAGCTGGGACAGCATCCACAGGATTTGTAGGATTTGGCTCCAGCCCAAAATATGTTCCTGTCAGCAGTGCCTTGGACGATATGGACACAAGTCTAGACTCTGATTTTAGGCTGGTACTTAGAAAACTAACCAAAAGAGATGCAACAACAAAGATAAAGGTATTTTGTGTCAATATCACAGCACGTTATCAGTATCACAATTTTAGGGTAGAAAATCAGCAGGAGAAGTGATAAGTTTTAAGTTTAGATTACCTGAAAAATCAAAAGCAGGTACCGTAGAGTATAGACATATTGCTTTTTAATGAAACAAAATTTTGATATTTTTTTCTTATATTATAGTACCTTCATGAACTGGAAATATCCAAACATATTACCAGGAGGTGTTATTTGCTTTTTTGAGGATAGATTCTACATTACCAGAGATGTATCAATGGTGCTTCTACTCTTCACTCATTGAGCAAGTACATGTACCGATACTGATACTGAATTACTAACACATATATATAGAACCATTACAAAAGAAACAACTGATTCTCTAGCATACACATGTCAACACATGATTAGTGTTTCTGTTTAATGTAAAGATATTTCATAACAGGGTTTGCAAGAGTTTGGAGAGCTTTGCAGGGAGAAAACTGAGGAAGACCTGAAGGGTGTTTTACCATTCTGGCCAAGAACTTATAACAAGATGTCCCTGGTAGGTCTAGATAATGGTTTCTTTATTCATTTATATATGTACTTTACTTTATAAATTCATTGAAATAAATCTCTACATGGCAATCAATATTATTTTAATTTTTTATGGTTAAAAATGGTTTAGTGATGTTATTTATTTGTTGAGTAGGGACGTACATGGTTAAGGCAGTTGACTTCAAACCACTTGCCTCTCACCGCAGATTAGAGCTGTGCAAGTGTCTTTGGATTCTTTCATGTGAGAAAGCTATCCATCTAGCTTACGAAAGGTTGACGGATCTACTTAAGAGCCCATTTGTGCCTGAAATAATGCAGCGAGGGGTACCTAATTTCTTCCTCCATCAGTAAAAATGGAAAGTTGACTATATTGTGATGATGCAACGTAAAACCCCCCCAAAAAATTGTTGACTTGTTAGTCGAGGTTCAGAAAGATTTTTTACTGAAAGTGAAATATGGTGAAGCATCTGTAGTGTAATACAGTCATCAAGACTATGTACATGTCCATATGGCATAGATGGTTTTCAAAGAAAATACAACATAGACTCGTTCTTTTTACAGGATGTAGACTATAGAGTGAGAGAAGCTGCCCAACAAGCCATGTCAACACTTGTTTCACGTGTGAGACGTAATCTTGCTCCTTATCTACGTAACTTAATGGGAGCTTGGTTACTAAGTCAATGTGACACATACCCAACAGTAGCTAGTTCAGCACAGGCAGCTTTCCAAGATGCTTTCCCTCCAGTAAAACAGACAGAAGCATTGATGTTTTGTAAAGAAAGTGTTCTTGAGGTATTAATTTGACTTGTAAAATATTCAAAATGTTTTTGATATCATTTGCTGGCAGTTGCATATCAGATAGATGGTTGATTTGTGTGCAAAATATTGAAGCAGATTTTAAGATTGGTCTGGTTTACATTTGGGTGATAAGATTGGTCTACATTTGTGTGATATAACTTGATGTTGACAAATGAAAAAAAAAAGCTTTAATACATTCACTTATCAGTTATAAAAGGCATTGTTAAATATACTCTTAAATTAAATAGTAATAGTGCAAACACTTAACATAGTTTAATGGTAGCTGTATTTTTAAAGTGTAAGATTTTAATTGTAAGTTTCATTGGTTTCATAACATGCAGACTTCATGAAAAAAGTCTTTTGTTTTACATTAAAAATTACTTGTTTTTATTTTCTTTTTCAGTATTTAACAGAAAATCTTATAACCCATACACAACAAACCTTGAGTGACCCAAAGTAAGTAAAGTTTGAATAATTCTGTGAAAAATAAATCCATTTACTTTAACCATGCCCAAATTTAACCCGTTTTTACATTTAACTAAGATAGATTAAATGCCAATTATTGTCGACATTATGTTGATTATTATCTTATGTTTTCATAATATTTGTAAGTTGTAAATACCAGTAATCAAGGTTGAATGCCACTATGTAAATTTTAGAAATAATTTGATTGCTGATCTAGATGGCCCACGTGAAAAGTGACCTGGAAAGTAGCCTATTATGTCATATATGGCTTAGTCATAAACTTGCTGTCTGAAAACCTCGTGAAAATATATGGAATTTTATCATGTTTCGTGAAAACATATTCCATATTTCAGGCAAACAAAAAAATATCCTCTATTCAATTTTCTCTTCAAGAAAAAAGTAATTTAAGAATACATCTATTTGCTATGTAATTCAGTGTACAACACGCAGTAAGACATTGATTATTTATAGGTGCATGATGTGGTTTGAATTCAATACACAATTTATCACAGCCATAACTGTCTTGAAAAAAAAATATAACCAGATAATTTCTGATGATAAAATAAATAGCTGAAGCTACTCATTGCCAAAGAGAAACATCTTAGAAAGTATGAAATGAATAGCTGAAGTTACTCATTGCAAAAGAGAAACATCTTAGAAAGTATGAATTGAATAGCTGAAGCCACTCATCGCAAAAGAGAAACATCTTAGAAAGTATGAAATGAATAGCTGAAGCTACTTATTGCAAAAGAGAAACATCTTAGAAAGTATGAAATGAATAGCTGAAGCTACTCATTGCAAAATAGAAATATCTTAGAAAGTATGAAATGAATAGCTGAAGGTACTCCTTGCAAAATAGAAATATCTTAGAAAGTATGAAATGAAAAGCTGAAGCTACTCATTGCAAAAGAGAAACATCTTAGAAAGTATGAAATGAATAGCTGCTGCTACTCATTGCAAAAGAAAAACATCTTAGAAAGTAGTCTCAAAAGTGAATATGAGTTTTGGCTCTGCCCACATTCATATTTATTTTCATATTTGTTTTTCACATATATGATATCTATTTGGCTGATACAGCAACATATTTCTTGGGTAAAATTAAATGATTACGTAAATTTATTCTGTTTTCATTTTTTTAGAAGTACAGAGCCAGAAGACATGGAAAATAAGTATAACAGAGTGTTAACTTCCTCCTTATTGGCTATAAGGAAGCTATTGTCATCACTTCCAGCCAATGGGATTGAGCCTCTCAAACAGCCAATTACTTCGCTTCTTGATAGTGCTAAATTTTGGAAACATGGAAAAAGTAAAGTGAATATGGTAAGAAACATCATTCCGTCTGATTGACATTAAAACTTTTGTTTTCAGATATGTGATTCTTTGTATTAAGTTTTTTGTTCACAGTACATGTGATTTTTCAAAAAGTTCTAACAGATATGGCATAAATATTGTATATGGTCCCTAAGAAGGGTATGTCTTTAATGTCCATAAAGTTTTTGCTCTTATATATTTTACTGAAGTTTCAGTAATAGAAAGAGCATCGAAACACAAGGCTATCTGATTTGTATGAGGGGGCGTACTCGGCGTAGCCCCAGAGTATGGGCATGCTCAGGAGTGTGGGTAACTGATACCTGCATTCCAGCTAACGCACTGTGCATGTATATGTATACGATTTAACTCTGACACATTTTCAACAGTAAGGTCCCCAAACTTTGATACATAAATTATCAATGAAGGTTAAGAAAAGGAAATTAAAAATTGAGTAAAGAATATTATTGTATTATTATTGTATTTCAGGTGAAAGGTGCAATGTACTCCGTGCTAGCTGGACTGTGCCAGATGTTACCGGATGTAGCTAATGGTTATGTAGCAAAAATTTCACCTTTAGTACTTCACAACCTAGATGACAATGATGCTGCCATATGTCCTTATCTATGGGAGGCAACTCTGTCTGTAGTAAATCATTTACAGGTAATGTGAAAAATGCAAATTCATGAAAAATAAATATTATTGAGTAAAATAAATGTGTTTATAAATTGTTTTATCTATTATTTTAAGTTTGAAAATATTAATTAATGTTTAATAAATGAATATTGCTGATTTTCTTTTAACTTGCAAAGTCTGAATCAGACAGTTTTTAACCTTTTAGACTATGTTGGGCATTTATGATTTGAAATGCAAAAATTGTACATACTAATAATGGATGTCAACATAAAATTCAAATTAAGCAGAAAATAGTTCAGATTATTTTTAAGGGTTTTCAAGGGTTTGCTGAAGAATGTACAATATTATATATGTGGAAATTTTTAGGAGAAAAACTGTCAAAGTTCATTGCATTTAGTACAAGTCACAAAATATTATTATTAATTGTACATAATGTGTCTACTTATTGTAACATTTTGTTTGAGAAATATTTTCTTGGTGTTGTGTGTTTCTTAATTATAGTTTCATATCTTTAGGATTGTTGGGGTCATGTTAATGTGCAGAAAGCATTTTGGCCCAAACTGAGGAAAGTGCTTGAGACAGGTTGTCATGGAAATGCTGTAGTCATAGCAACCAGTCTTCTACCATTGGTCAGTAAAATTCCCCCTGACCTGTTCCCAGACAAAAGCAAATTTTATGAGGAGTTTTTCACATGCTTTAAACTGGGGTAAGTGTCTCTCTAAAAGATATCTTCAAAATTACAGTTAAACCTGTGTAAGAGGCCACCTCCAGATAAAGATCACCCTGTGAATAAAATGTCATCAATAACTGTTCAGGAATTTAAAAGAAAAAAGTAATCCCCAAATAAAGACCACTTGTATATTAAATAAGGCCATGACTGTTTGGTCTCTCATTTAGGCCTTTGTTCACAAGTTTGACTATATGTCAGGAAAGTAAGATTTTTGTTGAACAAATTGATTTATTAAAACATAAATAATTCTACAAACTTGTGTTAAATATGAATGAATATGGATGAAACCATTGTTTTGTAAATTTTGTATGTTGTGTAAAAAAATCACTTGGCTAAAGCTACCAAAAAGACAAAGTACAAATGAGAAGTTTTACTAAATCATTTAAATGTTAATGCTGATAAGATATTAACTTGCTTATGCCATCATGTATGCCAAGCCAGCCATCTGAGGCTTAGTGGTTACGGTCGTTAACTTTGAACCACTTGCCACTCGTAAACTTTAGATTCTTTCATGTGAGGAAGCTTTCCAGCTAGCTTTCTGAATGCCAGTGGTTTTACGCAAGTGCCGTTTTGTGCCTGAAATAATGCACCTGAGATCTTCCTCCACCAGTAAAGCTTGAAAGTGACCATATGACTTCTACAGTGTTAGTGCGAAATTAAACCCAACCAAAAAACAAAACAAAATGAGTAAATACCTACATATCCCCACAGTGTGACCATATTCTGTAATCGTGTTAAATTAACTGAAATTCCTTTAAAGTAAAATGGATTGTTCCAAATTCAAAACAGGGCAAGTTCATTATGCAAGTTTAGATGGGTATTGATTAAATAATCTGAATGTATCAAATGATTTCTTGTAATGACTTTATATAATAAACTACAGTAAGGATACATGCGTGTATTACAGATTAAGTTTAGGAAGTGTACAGAAAACTTCTAGTGAGTGTAATGCTATGGTGAGGGCCTATATGGAATGTGCACACTATGTTATCATACAAAACTCTGGGAAAACATGGGCATCAAGTTTACTTATAGATCAGGTAAGTCTGAACCATTGTGGAACAGCTATAATGTGAAATAATTAATAACTTAAATAACCATTTCATTTTGTGCTGATGGAAATTTTTTATTTCTGTGGTTTATAGCTTTAGAAAATTACTTTCAGTGATGCATGTACTTTAAAAGACAACATACTTTCTGTTTTAGATATCCTCTTCTGTACTTTTAGATATTATTTTAAACTCTGACGAGATACCAAAGATAGAAAGTTTTTGAGAAATAAAAAACATAGCATTTCTTTATGAAAGGCGAAATTTGTCAGTACAGTTGATCAACTGCCAAGATATGATCAAAAATGAATTAAGATTGGTGTAAAAAAAACAGAAAAAAACAAGCCAGCAAGCAAACAAAGTGTAGTTATATCAAGGGTATTAATATGTTAATTTTTCAGGTTATGCCACTTGTTGAAGCCTCATTATTAGAGGTTAACTCCTCCCTCTTCAAGACACCATTATATACAATGATAGGACAGCTTCTTAATGCCATAGAAAATACTGATGATACATCAATGAAACAAGCAAGTTTAACATTCTGGACTCACCTTAAGAGCAGTTTGGAAGAAAAATTAACTTCAACTGAAGAGTTTGCCAAGGGAGACAATTTTGAAGACAGAATTGTCTTCCTTGTGAAATGCTTATTTTACCCCCAGACGGAAATGAAACAGAAAGTCGGGAAAGTGAAGTTTCAGTTAATTTCAGATGCAGAGAGTCCTAAAAAAGTTCCTAAATTTGAGAATTGGGCAGGGAAGAAAGTGGAATTGGCTGAAAATGTGTCAAACTTTGTTCAGGAATTGATACTGACAGCTTTTGAGCTTGCTCATAAACACTTTAGCGCAAGCCATTTAAGGATATTCGCTCAACTGCTGGAATATGACTCATCAGATAAAGTGGTTGCTAAGGTGATAGCTTGTTGCCATGGTGATGTAGAGACAGAAACCACCTCCCATTATTTTGTGTTTGAGATTTGTATACCTTGGATACAGAAGCTGCAAGAGACGGGGGAAATTGGACCGGAGTTTACTCATCTGGTTCAAATTGCGTGCATATTTCTTTCAGTTCTTGACCAAGAGTCTGTGAAACTTTTATTGGATAATCTTTCCAAGGTAGGAAATAATGAAGTTTTTTATATTGGAAACAAATGTTTTATTTTATTTTCAATCCTCATGGCTTTAAATTTTAGAGATAGGTGCAACCCATTTGTAATTCAAATTTCTCAGTTATATGAGTTATAACTATTTCACACCATGCCACAGAAATGTGCTTGAAATTATAACTTTTCATTTAATGTAACAAGTAGAAACTTTTCTGCATATATTTGGGGAAAAAAGAGAAAACGTATTTAAGCAAAAAGTTTAATCTCTCTGTATATTGATTTCTGTCAAAAATATCTCAAAAGAATGAAGTTATCTGTAATAATTTTTTTTAACAACTTATAGACATGTAAAGATTTGAGGTCACAGTATGTTCTGTTAGAGAAGTTGTTCGGATTAGCATTATCCAATCCAGCGGTGCTTGGGTGGCTTCAGGGAGAAGATTTTGGGGAGCAGTTGTTATCACACTCTCGTGGGGTGTGTGACAGAGACATAGACGAGACTTGGAGCGAGGAGACTACCATTATACTTGATATACTCTCTCTAGTGCTGGCCACAAGAGTGGGAAATAACAGTAAGTCTATACAGTTTAATACACTTGACATGTTTAGAACATTGAACATTTAAGATTACATTGCAAGTTGTGTTTTGGACTTTAAGCCAATTTTAAGAGTAAATTATTTCCATCAAAGTATGTAATTGATTAAAAACATTATCATTTCATAGGCACTTTTTATTTTCTGAGTTATTGAATTGGTACTCTTTTTCTTGTAAAAAATTGCTGTACACATACTGCGAATTCACTTATATTCGTGGGCATGAAATTTTGTGGTTTTATCAAACAGGGCCTTTTCGTGGGTTCTTAAATTTGTTGATTTTCATTTTCTTGTAAAAAAAATATAACCTAATGAAAAGTAAGCTTACAATTAATCGCCGCGCATGTTTACTTACCGCATGAACATACATTTATCTGTACGTATCACACAGCGCTTGTCAATAATCTAATCATTGCCGCTAGGCATAACATAAAGATAACAGTTACTGCCGATAATTGACTGCAATTAACACATCTAGATGACATGATATGCAGCTCCATTGTACATACTGCCCCTGTGATTCGCTGATGTAAACATTGCATAATTTAAACGACCCCTGACACGTTTTAACCAGGGAGTGTAAAAAGTTTACATATTTGACAGTAACTACACACAACATCACATCGACTGTGTAAATTTACATGCATATAAATTAATATGAGTAAATAAAACGAGATTGTGCGGATATATATTAAGAAGTCGGCAGCGTCTTTGATGTTTACGGAATAGCAGTCGCACAAATACAGATTAAAATTCATTTAAACAGGATCATTTAAAGACGACAAAATGTTGTACAATTCATCTGTTTAAGTGATTGTTTATTATTTTTTGTGTACTTAATTTATGACATTAATATCAAAGATTTCTTTAATTCTATTAACAATTAATAAGAGCAAACTGACAATTTATATTAGCGCTAAATATTGCACTGGTTTCTTATTTTTACTCGATAATGTCAAGTATTCTGGATAACACAATCAAGTAGCCTACAACAATTAAGCAGTCTCAGTGATGTGTATATACGACCAAAATTCAGAACATATAAACTATTTGCTTTCAAGTTTCTTAAATATTGCAAACCTAAACTATTTATAGATTTAATCTGCTACTAACCTGATTTAATAACTGTATACCATCATAACACAATAATCGACCGGAAAAGCGGCGACGCATGTATAGAATAGAGATATGGTTAGAAGTAATTGTTGGGATAAAATTTCGTCGGGTCTTAAATTCGTGGATTGACCTACCCACGAAAACCATGAAAATTCGTGCCCCACGAATAATAATGATTTTACAGTATATTTTATGTTATGCAAAAGTATTCTGTAACATGCATGCATTTTTATTCAAGAATTACTGGTACCTAGGAAGTATGTGGATGGTCTATTGGCAGTGTTGCAGTTGCCATTACAAAAACTTGCTACAGCAAAAGGGGTTTCAAACCGAGCTGAGTTGGCACTCGGATTTGTCTCTCGGGCTGCAAAATGTTTCTTTTCCCAGTACAAGGTAGGTTTAGCACTACTCTTATTATACCCCCAAAAACGAAGTTTGGGGGGGGTATATAGGAGTCACCCGGTGGTCGGTCGGTCGGTCCAGACGTCCGTTGCATTTTCCTTGTCCGGAGCATAACTTGAAAACTAATGGTTGGAATTCAATATAACTACATACAATGGTCAAGCACATTGAGAGGAAGTGCAGTGCACAAGAACCATAACTCTATCTTGACTAATTACAGAGTTATTGCCCTTTGTTACTTTTCCTTGTCCGTGGCATAACTTGAAAACTACTGGTTGGAATTCAAAACAACTTCATACAATTGTCAAACACAATAAGGGGAAGTGCAGTGCACAAGAACCATAACTATCTAAAGTAATTACAGAGTTATTGCCCTTTGTTGCTTTTCAATTGCCTTCTTTTTTTGTCCGGAGCATAACTTGAAGACTAGTGGTTGGAATTCAATATAACTACATACAATGGTCAAGCACATTGAGAGGAAGTGCAGTGCATAAGAACCATAACTCTATCTAAAGTAATTACAGAGTTATTGCCCTTTATTACTTTTCCATTGCTTTCTTTTGTCCGGACCATAACTTGAAGACTAATTGTTGGAATTCATTATAACTTCATACAATGGTCCAGCACATTGAGAGGAAGTGCAGTGCACAAGAACCATAACTCCATTTTGACTTATTACAGAGTTACTGCCCTTTGTTTCTTTTCCTTGTCCAGAGCATGACTTTTAAAACTACTGGTTGGAATACAAAACAACTTCATACAATGGTCAAGCACAATAAGGGGAAGTGCAGTGCACAAGAACCATAACTCCATCTTGACTAATTACAGAGTTATTGCCCTTTGTTACTTTTCCATTGCTTTCTTTTGTCCGGACCATAACTTGAAGACTTATTGTTGGAATTCATTATAACTTCATACAATGGTCAAGCACATTGAGAGGAAGTGCAGTGCATAAGAACCATAACTCCATCTTGACTAATTACAGAGTTACTGCCCTTTGTTACTTTTTCCTTGTCCAGAGCATGACTTGAAAACTACTGGTTGGAATTCAAAACAACTTCATACAATGGTCAAGCACAATAAGGGGAAGTGCAGTGCACAAGAACCATAACTCCATCTTGACTAATTACAGAGTTATTGCCCTTTGTTACTTTTCCTTGTCCAGAGCATAACTTGAAAACTACTGTTTGGAATTCAGTACAACTTCATACAGTTGTCAAGGACATTCAAAGGAAGTGCAGTGCACAAGAGCCATAACTCCATTTTGACAAAATACAGAGTAACTGCCCTTTGATACTTTTCCTTGTCCGGAGCATAACTTAAAACATACTGGTTGGAATTCAAAACAACTTCATACAATGGTCAAGCACAATAAGAGGAAGTGCAGTGCACAAGAAACTATAACTCTATCTTCAGTATTTTATAGAGTTATTGCCCTTTGTTCTTTTTCTTTGTCTTTTCTGGACTTATTACAGAGTAATTCAATTAAACTTCATCAATGGCCAACCACATTGAAAGGAAATGCAACATACATGAACCACAATTATCTTTAATTGCCCACAACCATAACTCTATGTTTCAATTCTTTTACAAGGTATTCTGTTACTAGTAACATCCTCATTTCCGAAGCAGACTTGTGGGGGTATTAATCACATTTAGTGATAGTTCTAGTTAATTTAATTGCACACTTGGAAAAGTTCACTTGTTCCTTTTAACTAGAATTTTTCAATGGAAGTTAATGTTATATCTAGCCTCGCTCTTGTTCATCATTAGCAGGCTGCCTCTTCCCTTTAGGTGTATGGTTCTGCACATAACTGCAATTTTACATAATGTTGTTCAATCCAGCTTACGGATCATCAGTTGTTTTACTCCGGGGCCCAAAGTAATAGAAGGGCAACTCCGGGGCCCAAAGTAATAGAAGGGCACCTGAGGATTTCCTGCACCATATGACCTATACTGTGATGGGTTATGTAAAATCCAACAAAAAAAAAAAGTTCTTATGAGGTCATTTCACAAGTAAAGTCAGACTGCATTCTTGTGGCCTGACAGTTGATAGGTTTGCAATGGGCACATTTTTCATAAATATTTCAAATATTGATAAAAACAATAGAAATGTATCATATGAATATTCTTATAAAATACTGTTTGAAAAAAATTGTGTTCTACTGTAAAACACTTATTTTTCGCGAGAACCTTATTTCGCGAATTTGAGGCAAAATGTCCAAAATAATTATTTCGCGTCAACATGAATTCGCGTCTTCTCGAAAAATGTGAAACCTGAAACCCGATGTCATTCGGATATTTTCTGTCCTGTCCGTTTACTAACATTGCGTCGTTTATTGTGCGACGAATGCATTTAATATATCTGTTTTGTATCGATTTTTAGCTCGACTTTTCTATGAAAAGGGGAGCTATCCTACTCGCCCCGGCGTCGGCGTCGGCGTTAGCGTTGGCGTCACACCTTGGTTAAGTTTTTCGTACCACCCCACTTTATTTCAGAAGTATTACAAGTATGGCTTTGAAACTTACCATACTTGTTCACCATCATAACCTCCATCTACAGACAAGAGTACATAACTCTGTCAAGGTTTTTGACAGAATTATGGCCCTTTTTTGACTTAGAAAGTGTATTGAGCTTGGTTAAGTTTTTTGTACCACCTCACTTTATTTCAAAACCATTGGAGGTATTTGCTTTTGAAACTGACCATACTTGTTTACCATCACGACCTTCATCAACAGACAAGAGGACATAACTCTGTCAAGGTTTTTGACAGAATTATGCCCTTTTTGACTTAGAAAATACATTGAATATGGGTAAAATCCACTTATTGCCTTAACCCTTTGAGATATTGCTTTGAAACTTTTAATGCTATTTCACATCATTACCCCATCTGTACGCAAGAGAAGGTAACTCTGTCAGGGATTTGTTTTAAAAATTAAGGCCTTTTATCGACTTAGAATCTTGGTTAAGTTTTTTTGTACCAGTCAACTTTTTGACTGAACTGGTTGAGATATTAAATTGAAAGTTGGAATACTTGTTTACATCATGGTCCAAACATGGGCAGGAGAAGGTAATTCTGTTAAGGATTTTATTTGAATTATGGCCCTTTTTGACTTAGAAACTCAGTTAAAATTTTCATTCTTGTCCACTTGTTGACCTAACCATTTGAGATATTACTTTGGAAGTTGGAGTTCTTATGTGCCATCATGAGACCTATCTGTAAGCAAGAGAAGATAATTCTGTGAAAATGTTTCTTGATTTGTACTTAGAAATTCCTAGTTAAAGTCTTGTGTGCCCTTAACTGTCAAAGTTTTGTTTTATAGGCAAGCACTAAAAAAGTCGAGCGCGCTGTCCTTCTGACAGCTCTTGTTCTGATAGCTTGCTAATCTTCTTGTTACGTGAAACCGTCTGTCAAAAAATATGTCAATAAAGTTTAATAATTATTTGATATGTGTTCACTGTGTTTGTCAAAGTGTTAAAGTTTCACTAATTAGCCATTCAAAGGCAAGCAGACGAAAATCAATTAAACGGTACTGTAATTTGCCTTACCTGTAGTAAACAATTATGTTTACCCTCCGGCTTAAACTGTAGTTCAATACAATAGGATACAATAAATAAAAATGTTACAAACAACTCGCAGGTGCTAAAGAATTTGTACCAATGAGATGAGAATGAGATGATCAAGCGAGGGTGGGTGCAGGCCGGGGAGTTTCACATTAATTAGAACAATATGTAAAAATACCATTTAAATTTTGTGAGACGCATATTTTTAAAAATTTGTTTATACTTAATTCTGGTGCAAGTCACAGTTACCTGCCTTGACACAGGTAATATGCAGCGAAGAAGGTTTTTTCCAATTCCTCATTAATACCAAATTGTTACAGGTAAAAATTTCATACTAGTAATCTGAACGATATGTATATTCTGCAACACTTAAATAGGTACATGCGCAGATATATATCCATGTGTACGCATTTTCGGATAGTGTTCATTTTCGGACAAGTGTATAGACAAAGTGAAATATTCGCGACAAATATGAATTAGCGTCTTAGAAAACTCGCGAATAATAGCGAAAATAAATTTCTCGCGAATAATAAGTGTTTTACAGTATCTAGAATAATTTATTATTTGTTTAAATATGAATTTATGTAATATTGGATCATGTTTATCACTTTTGCTAACAACATTCATACATAATTTTTTCATGGTTGTTATCATAGTTATGTCTGATACTGTATATTGTCTTCCTCCCCCGGTAAAGTTGGAAAGTCGCCATTTGATCTTTACTGTGTTGGTGCAACATTTAAACCCAACCAACAAAAAACATTGTCTTTTAAGCATTTCAATTAAAATGGACAGAAAGGATTTTATGGCAGTTTAGAATAAATACATAATACCAGTTGTGTTTTGTTTCATTCATAGGAATGTTTAATGACAGAATCGGCCAATGGCCTGATTGTAACCTTGTTTATGATGACTGTGTCTGAACAGTGTCAAGTAACCGGTAAGTGTACCATAGCTTGTTGACATATTTGCAATAATATGTTACATCGTTTCTAAACAACGACATGATCAATATTTCTGTAATTGTAATTTCTGTAACTGCATGTTTGTAACATTGCTTTTCATTGGATAATCGTGATGTTTGTATAGATTTATATTCAGGGCTGCTGTAAACTTAGGAAGAAATCATTTTTTTCTGTGTTAAAAATTTGTTATAAATATTCCCGACAGGTTATATGACCGTATGTAAATGGTTGTTTTCAATATAACCATTTATATGGTTTCATATAACCTGTCAGAAATCTTTATAACTGATAATATACATGTATGTAGATTTAGAATTAAGTCACCAACAGGATAGAAAATACAAACTAACCAACTATTCATCTTACAGGGAATTCCCCAGACGCTTTTAGTGCATCGGCACTGATGCACTAAAATTTCCGAACAAGAAATCCCGATGCGCTTAAAATTATCATAGCGCTATAAAAAATGACCGATATTCCTTCCTATTGTGACTATAAGTTAACCCCAATTAGCCAAATATACAAGCCAATATACATGTCCTGTGTAGATAATTAATTACCCGAGGCGTATACACAACCCGACACACTGATTGCCTTGAGACTGTGTGAAGTCACAGACACCTGTCATCGATGTCTGCAGACGACTATTGGTGCACTTTCAGGTGTTGTCAATTACCGTGTATTGAGATTGGTGCAATTTTACCGCGGCATGTGTGATATTTACATGTTTCAGGTAGGTGTAATAACTTTTATTGTTTTGATAGTATAATTCGCATTAATTGACATGCGATATAACAGTTTGATATTTAGGGATGAATGGGTTATTTATCTTGATATAAGTGTAATGTTCAATTTCATCTTTCACTTTCTTACGATCGTTACGTCTAAGCAGTACTATAGTATTAAGATTTCAAAAAATAATATGCACCTAGTTCACTATCAATTAAGGGTTTTTTGGTGAGCAATGTCGTTGAAACTGTCTCAGGATCATTTTGCTTTTTAATATATACATGATAATCGTATTTTACTTGGATAAAACTGCATAGATATTTAGAAATAAATTTGATTGATGGCTACTTTAACTTTGAAAACATTTACCGACTGTTCATTATCAACTTGCAACTGAGTGAAAACAACAACAAAAACGTTACACCAACAATCCCACTTAGTGACAGCCCATTGGTCATTTTCTCTTTTAATTGAAAAAAAAGAGTAAAAATATCTTGTAAACTGTTTCTGTTAACTGAATCCCCAAAATGAAAAAAATATTAATTTTGCAGGCCCTCTTTAATCGAGCCTGTTCATGGACAGCTTTGTGAAGTGCAATCTACTGTCCATGCCCCTATAAAGCATTGGTTTGTCAGGATCAGTCAGCCCACCAGACCATGACCTTGATTACCGTCAACCTTTCTTCCTCCCAACCTCTACTGCAGGTAATTGTTATTCATTCTTGGACATTAATGAAATTCCAATGACAGTTGCAGATGTGTAACACTTTCCTAGAAGTTTTTCAACATTTCAAATATAAATTTTTTTACTTAGTTAAGTTTAAACTGGCTAGAAGTTTTAAATTTTGAAAAATTCATAGCAAACAAACAAAATAAATAAAAGACATCAGGTTAACATAAATGATTGCTTTCATTTATTAATTTCAGATTGTGAGCGAGGATTCAGCTGCTTGAAGAGAGTTAAGACTGAAAACAGGAATTGTCTCTCTGTTAAAGTTCTAAACTATCTTATTGCCGTCTCCCTTCAAGGACCCCCCTTAGAATCTTTCAACTTTGAGAAGGCAGTTAAGGCATGGTAACAGGCCCATTAAATGTTGATCACATGTTGTGAACTTGTGTTTATATATAATTGTTTATTTATTTGAATTGTTGGATATGGAAAAAATAAATACATGTATTGTAATTAAAATAAGCTTTCATTATCTGTTTAAAACAGCCCACAGCAGTATATTGACACCTAAAATGGCAAAAATTTTCGACACGCGGTATGGGGTCAACACCCCCTCCCCAACCCACCCCCGTCTAAAAAAATGTAGCGCTTAAAAAAAATCCTCAGGAATTCCCTGATCTTAGCATCATTTCTTTATACTGTCCTGTAATAACTTGTGTTTTTATACCCTTTGTAAACTAATATACATTAAACTTTCAAACATTTTCTAAAAATAGATAAATATAAATGATCCAAAAACTTGTTTTGTATATACATGCAGGTTTGACTGAATGATCAAGTACAGACATTAATGTAGAACTGTCTGGATATGTATCTGTTCATAAATAATTGCAATTACAGTGATTATAGGGTAATACTTGGTTGCTACTTGCTATTATGCAGTAATGGCCCAGAGAATTCCCTTATGGCCTGAGGTCACATATGCTTGTTCACTTGCCAATTATAGAAAAATAATGCAAAGTAGCAAAGGGTCTAAATTGCATGGTGACATAGAATTTGCTGTAATAGCCTGGAAATACCCTTAATTTTGTTACTTTATATAGTTACATAGGTATTTATGTATAATTATGACTATAGAAATATACTATATTTTTATTGACAGAAGAGACTATGGTAGAGGCATGTGAAGCATGGTGTACAGGAATAGAGGGCGTACTTCATATATTTGGTGATAATCTGCCTACAGGACTAATGTCTCAGATTTCACAAATCGTGCAAGAAACCGTCACCTCCAAATGTTTTACCTCTACACACCAGTATGTACTCATAGTATTTGAGCCGCGTCATGACAAAACCAACATAGTGCGTTTGCGACCAGCATGGATCCAGACCAGCCTGCGCATCCGCGCAGTCTGATCAGGATCCATGCTGTTCCCTATCAGTTTCTGTACTTGTTATAGGGTTTGTAAGCAACAGCATGGGAATCCCGGACAATCCCCCTCCCGGACGATTCCCCTTCCATATTATTTTCACAACCCGGACATTTCCCCTCTCGTTATTTTAATAGGGCAGACTTTTCCCCTCCCGTTAATTTTACAGGGCGGACAATTCCCCTCCCGTTATTTTAGCAGAGCGGACAATTCCCCTCCCGTTTTTTCACAGAGCGGAGCGTGACATTATACATCCTCCTTAATCAATAGCCGCCTATGCGAATAAAAAAATCTATAAACATTCTTATTAAAAGATGACAGTCTTTACTCTTAACAACAAACTGTTAAAGATCGGAACTTTTAACAATCATTATTTCACAAAGGTGACATTATACCGCCTTTAATCATTGACGCCGCTGCTTAAGATAAACAAACTGTCAATAAAAAATCTTTAATCATTGCCGCCCTTAATTAAATGTGTCCTTAATTGCAAAACCAATTATTGACAATTATTAATTATCGTTAAAGCAGATCACAATAATTAATTTGTAATTAGTGTACAAAAAGTATTTACTATTCAAAATTGTCTGGGTTGTTAAAAGAACGGGAGGGGAATTGTCCGGGTTGATAAAAGAACGGGAGGGAAATTGTCCGCCGTAAAAAAATAACGGGAGGGGAAATGTCCGGGTTGTGAAAAAACATTCAAATTTACTGGGAGGGGGATCGTCCGGGAGGGGAATTGTGGTTGGTCTGGATCCATGCTGGTAGCAAACGCACTACTTTGGTTTTGTCATGACGAAGCTCACTTATATTAAATCTTGTAGTTCATTGTAATGATTATGATAGATATAGGCCACCATTGTAGGACCAGGTTGCACTGTCTGTCTGTGCAGTCTGAGTGACCAGGCCCTTTTGTGTCGGCTGCTCAATTTTGATAGCTTGACCATTCAAAGAATAGGGAGAGCTATTATACTCACTCAGACGGCAGTGTCATCGTCACACTTTTGTTGTTTTTGCATACAAGTTGTTTTCCCCAAACCTACTTGAGGGAATGGAATGAAACTTCACACACTTGTTTCCTGATGTTATCTGACATGAACGTTCCATAGCAGTGAGATTCCTTTTTTAAAGAGTCAAGGTCATGCACTGAGTTGTCTTAGAACAGTTCTAGTTATTTTGCATATATCTAGACCTTCAAAGTATTGATCAAATTGTTAAAAATTCACATCAGGTCTAAACCACAAATTATAAAGAAAAGTTACACCAGAAAAAAATGGTTCAGTTGGTAACCATGATTTATGGTTATGTGCTTATACAGGGTACCAAATGTAAAGCTTCATTTGAAATACTTTCATTAATTGTGGTTGAATTAAGGAGGATAAAAATGCTATACTGATGCCTCATATTTCCGTGGTTTTTAACTGTTTAATACCCACTACAAAAGTTAGAAGAATAAAATTCTGGAAAATATGTTGAATAATGTAGGAAAGACATGCCAATTACATCATAGTTTATTCCTTTTAATGTTTGCATGTAAGAAATTATGCACAAAACATGGCAATTGACACCTATCTGCTGCCAAGTGAGCAAAGTTGTGTTCTCATATTTCCAAGGCAATTACATTTTTACAGTTTCAAAAGCAAAACCAATAGTAATATTTATTTTTCAGTACATCTGAAAGTGGGGATTTTCTCTATTGCATTCATCAAATATCTCAATGGTTGTTTAATTTTTACAAAAACAATTGTCTTAAAAGGTATGAAAACTGAAAGTAAAATGGCAAAATAATTTACTTTGCTATTAATCTGAATAAAAAAAGTGAAACTACTGGCAGGTGCATGAAGTTAAGGAGGCACTTGAGACTGTTTATGCCTAATACCTTGAAAATATGGGTACCACGGAAATATGAGGCACCAATATACATGGTATCATTCAAATTAGACCTATACATTAACCCTTAACCTGCTAGTGACAACATATTTCACCTGTGCAAACAGTGCAGACCAAGGTTTCTGCTGTCTGATCATGGTCTGCACTGTTTGCTGTACAGTCAGTATATAGTTTGAGATTTTCCCAAGAAAATGATGAATGGTTTTATCCAGGTAATCGAAAGACAAGTCCATTGTTGTGTCTGGGCCATTTTTCCTAACTTTTAAAGCTATGGTCTTGAAACTTCATAGGATGATAGATCTCATGAAGAAGAAGTGCAGTGCACAAAAATTGGTTCTCTGCACTTCTTATTTTTGAGTTATTGCCCTTTGTTCTCATATTTCGTTCTTGTCTGGATCATTTCTCCTTAACTTTAAAATCTGTGGACAAGAAACATCAAAGAATGATATATCTTATTGAGAAGAAAAGCAGTGCACAAGAACCGGTACTCTGTACTTCATGATTTTAGAGTAATTGCCCTTTGTTAAATTTTATACTTTATTTTTGTCTGGGTCAATTCTCCTATACAATAAAAGCTATTCAAGCTACATCAATCCTAATGTATCATTGTTACAATCAGTTCAAATGCTACTAAAGTTCAAGGTACATGTACATTGAAAGAGTTGTGTTTATAAATAACCTATATTTAAGAAGAAAATGCCTAAGTCACAGCTATACTGTTAACAAGGCGTCTTGCTGAGTTCTAGTGAGATATTTAATGTGGCAAAGCTTAAAACAATTGCTGTATATACGCAGTTATAAGACACAGTTTTGGTCATGAATATTTTGCAGAAATGTTATTAGTGTGTCTTACGAGAGCAGCCTAAAAGGTGGTATCTGAAAAAATTATGCATCTGGTGAAATTTGAGATTGTAGATGGTCATTCCCAGTCACTAGCAATCCCTCGCAATCTACGCTTGGCGATGCTTCTTGTTTTAAATTATGTATTCTCTAAATTTATTGGAGATGTTTTCTATCAGTAAAATCACAGTATCTAAGACAAAACATTGTAAACTATGCATCTTTAATATGAGCCGCGTCACGACAAAACCAACATAGTGCGTTTGCGATATCATCCGCGCGGTCTGATCAGGATCCATGCTGTTCGCTTACCAACTCTATTACAAGTAGATAAACTGATAGCGAACAGCATGGATCCTGATCAGACTGCACGAATGCGCAGGTTGGTCTGGATCCATGCTGGTCGCAAACCCATTATGTTGGTTTTGTCGTGACGCGGCTCATATATTTGCTGCTATTGTCAAAAAGCAACATAAGTTTTTAACTGTGATTGTTAATATAGATATATATAATTTGCAGAGTATCAGTAGCATTCCAATGTGTACAAACATTACTTGGTGTAATTAAACAGAACTTGAAGGAAGACAGTGAAGAATTCAGCACATTTTATAGCAAATTGTCTGCTCAGCTTACAGGAAATCTACAGCAATCAATTCCATCTAAGGTAATACTGTGCAAGCAAATGGGTAAAAGTGGGCCCTGCTCTATCACATATGTTATACTTTTGATTGATGTCCTTTTATGATGATTAATATTGTTTTGAAATAGATTCGTTTTTCTCTTTGTTTGATTATTCAGTTAGACTTCTAGTTTTGAAATGTAAGAGTTTTCTTTATTATTTTAAGCATATTTAATGATTCAGTATAAGTTTCATGCATTACTGAATGAAATTCAGTGTTCAATGTAATATTGGTGTAATATATATTGCCACAAACACCTAAGAATTAATAGGTAATTATCAGTAATTTCTTTGATTTTTTTTTTTTGCTTTTACATACTTAGTATATTTTTTCTGTTATCTTTATTTCAGACATGGGAATATTTATGTGTGAAGGGAGATTACCCATACATTCCTGAAACAAAGGGAAATGACTCTCCAGTACTTCACACTTTATTTACCTCCCTTTACAACTGCAAGGTTTTACAGCATTTACACTCGCAGATTTCGGTAGATTCAGACAATGAGACAGACAATGATGCCATGGAAACTAGTACAAAATTAAGTAACTGGACAGAGAAAGATCTATGTTGTCTTATGGAATGCACTCAGTCATTGGCGATCTGGCAGTTTGAATCACAAGATACAAAAATGGTATTATTTTTACATATGTTACAGTAGAACTTCTATGTGTCAAACTGTGATAAGCCAATTTTTTCATTCTGTCAAAGTTAAAAGAAAGATTTTTCCTTTTTATAAAATTAAAACTTAAAATTTTGGGAAGTTGAATTTTTTCCAAAGGTTTTTTTATCTGGGATTTTATAAATTTGGGGTAAATTCCCAAGCTTTTTGATGATTTATTAGATATTTTTCATCTTTTTTGGAAAATTTAAAATTTGCCGATCCAAATTTATCAATTAATTTCAGCCCCTTTTTGGTTAAATTTTGAAAAAAATTTCTTTATTGAAAATACATGTGTATTTTTTGCAAAAATATTAAAATATGAAAATGCTGTGTAAATTACTTTTTAAAAAAGATTTTTATTAGTAGTATAAAATAGGATTTGAGCCCTGTCAGACAAAACAACATAAGGGGTTTTCACGTGCATGGGTCCCAAAAAACCGGATACCGCGCAGTCGATAGATCCTGCGTTCGTATTAGTTTTTACTTTTTAAAAAAGTTTAAGCAACGCAAAGGACCCGATCAACGCCGGATGCCAGCTGGGTTGGGGTCCATGCGTGCAAAAACCCTTACTTGGTTTTTTGTGAAAGCGGCCCTTTTTTTTAAAAAAAAAAGTCGAGCTCCATAAATTTTTTTTATGACGTCGAAATTTACGAAAAAGAAATAAAAGGTCCTTATGTTTTGTTAAAATTTTCGAAAAAAATTTGCCTTGAATTTTGAGAGCGTTAAATTTAAAAAAGACCCCCTGGGGGCCCGAGTTTTTTCAAAACAAAATAACTAATTTTCTGTACTTTGGGCAATTGCCCTTCTTTTTTTTACAAACCCTTTTTGTAAGATTTTAAAAGTCAACATCAGAAAAATTTTCATAAATGACAAGGGCCCAGGCCCCCAAATTATTTTCAAGTCCCTTAATTTTTTCAAAATTATTTTTTTAGTTAAAAGGTTTAGTGAATGTATCAAAGCCTAACCCAAAGCTAGATTTTGGGAACGTTTAAATTTAGGGTTTTTGATCCCCCCCAAACAGAAATTTTTGGTACTTATTTAAAAGGTCAAATTTTTTCAAACTTTTAAAAATTTAAACATTAATTTTACAATTAAAATTGTAAATTTACCACATAATACAAAAATTCTAAAATCGACCAGCAATAAAAATTAAAATTGGTAATAAATTTACCAGCATAATACAAAAACTTGCAATATTTACCACTTTAAAACAATGAACTTCTAATATTGACCGCTAAAACTAAAAACCCTTTTAAAAAGAACAGCTTTTAAAAAATAAACTTCAAATTGCCACAATAATAAATAAACTTGGGAAAAATTTACCAGCAAAAATAAAATAAAATTTGGGAATTTTGACCAGTTAAAACAATAAAATTGGGGAAAATTGACCACAGCAATAATACAATAAAAAATTGGTAAATTGACCAGCTAATTAATGCAATAAAACTTGGTAATGATGACCCAGCAATAGTCAAAAAAATTGTAATTATGGACCGTATAATACAATAAAACTTGGTAATATTGAACAGCGATAATAATCAATAAAATTGTTAATATTGACCAGCAATAGTAAAAAAACTTGGTAATACTTGACCAGCAATAGTACATAAACTGCTAATTTGACGGCAGCTATCAAAATATAAATTGCTAATATTGACCAGCTATAGAATACATATGAACTTGCTAATATTGACAGCTTAATACAATAAAATTGCTAATATTCGAACAGGCTTAAATACAATAAACTTGCTAATTATTGAAACGCAGCAATAAACAATAAACTTGGTAATATTGACAGCCAATAATACAATAAACTGGTAATATTGACTCACCTATAATAAATAAACTTGGTAATATTGACCGCTAAGTCATACAATAAACTTGGTAATATTGGACCAGTGCCTATAATGGCAAAAACTTGGTAATTATTGACCAGCAATAGTAAAAAAATTGGGTAAAATTGACCAGCTATAATACAAATATTTAACCTTGGGCAATATTGACCAGCATAATTACAATAAACTTTAATTGAATTTGACTTCAGCAATACATAAAAACTTGGTAAGATTGACACAGCTATAAATACATTAAAAAATACCTCACTGCGTGGATTTTAAATCCCAACATTAACTTCGAATTCAAAACATGTAGGGAATCTTTCCAGGTAGCTTCGGAGCAGGCATGGTTTACTTAGGTGCCTGTTCGTTGCCTAAATAATCAAGGGGGTACCTGAGGTCTTTAGGGCCACCATAAAGGTTAGTAGTGTACCATAATACTTGTTTTGGGCATAAAAAACACCCAAACCCACCCCAAAACCCCCCCCAAATTTAAAAAAAAAACGTCATTTTTATTTAAAAAAAAAGGATTAAGAAAGATCAAATTTCTTAAAGAAAATATATGGTTAACATTAAAAGAAGATAAAAAAATTTTCTACTTGACTGATTTCTTTATGTTTGAACAATATCTCAATTACTATAACTGTACAACTCTCTTATTTTTGTTTGAAAGATGTGTAATGTGTCATCATATCAATATTGTCTTTATTTCTTGATAATTTTTCATATTCACTCTCAGGATGAAAGAAGAGGAAGATTTTGTGCTTGGTGGGAAAGTTCTGCTATCTATTTTGAAAAATGTTCGTGGAGAATCGTTCTATTTGGAGTTGTCTCCCTTACTTGAATGGTAAGCTACAAGTGTATGAAACATTTGTATGACTACGTTTTCCTATTTTTTCTGCTGGGAATTGATTATGTTCTTATTATATCACATTTAGTAGGGTGGGCTTCCGGGACTTTTCCTTTATTTTTCACTATTGCCCTTAATTTAAAGTCACTTTCCCCTTTTTAATTAACCCTCACTTTCCGACTTTTTTATTAAGGTCAACCCCCCATTTTATTAAAAGTCACTTCCGAAATTAATTTTTTGTCTTTTTTTTAGAGAACTAAATTGAGGAAACAAACCCAAAAATTTTGTGATTTGGTTTGTCTTTTATCAATTTTCTCATTAAATTTGATTAGCCCTTTTTGGGCCGTTAAGCTAAAAAAAAGAAAAAAAATTTGGGAAACCCTTTCTAATGAAATAATTGAAAATTATCACCAAACTTTTTAACATTCCCAAGGGAGTTTTTATAATTTTTCCTAATTAAATTTTATTAGGTTGGGTTTTAAACTAATTTGCTTTAAAAACCCCCGTCATTTTCTTTTTTAAAAAATTTTTTTTTTAAACAAATTTTTTTTTTCAAATTTTAAAATTAGAAATATTGACATTCAACACTGAAAAGCAGTTGTTTCTGGTGAGCGACTCATGGCCCTCTTGTTTTTGTATCAAATTTCATGATTTTTTTTTTGTTCTTTAGTGCACTACCAGTGTTGCTATGCACTGCAGAATTTGTGTCACCTAGCAACCAGGTGACCTTGACAGAGATCATTGTTGCTAGGATACTGAGTCTGGATGTGGAGTCAGCTAAAACATTTGATGGTAATGTGTGACATGCAAAATTAATCCTTTTATGCTGGCTTCTTGTCCTTGATTACTTTGTTAAAATTTGTAAGGGACTATGTTGGTAATTGGCTACAATTATATATGCTTATACCGCCCCCGTGGTTGAGGGGTTAGAGTCGATGACTTCTAATCCAGTTATCTCTCTGGCGTGGGTTCGATCCCAGGAGATGCTTTGGTAGTTTAGCACGGAGGAAGGTAGTCTAGTTCTGGTGTTACTCTCCAGGAATGATGGTTAGGAAACTACCGGCCTATATGACTGAAATACTGTTGGGAAAAGGCGTAAAATGAAACGAACAAACAAACAAAACAAACAATGATATATATGCTTACAAAATGCACATTAATCAATTCAATAATTGAATTCGGCATCATTTTGCTTATTACTATGAAAGATATTACAAAGCTAATTTTTAGATAACTTGAAAAAAAAATGTAGAAAATATGAAGCTGGTGTATACATAGAGGATATTTAAGTTTTTTCTATAAATACAGGATTTATTTTCATTTAGTGGTATGAAAATAAATATTTCATGAATTGTGGTAGCCTCAAGTGAAAATGTGATAATTTTCAGTTCACAAGTGAAAAATAAATCATGTATTGGTAGAAAAACATCAATTTTCTGTTTATTATAATTATACTTTTTCTCTATTTAAATTTTACCATTCAAAGGAATTCTACTTTAATTTTATGTATTGGCTGGATTTAAAAGGAAGTAGACTGGCAAGATTTTAGTGAAAATATGGAACATATTTTTTCACTGCAGTGAAAAATATGTTTTTTTTACATTTTATATCATGAATATTTCTTTAATTGAATGAATGTAAAGTTTTTTGCTCAAGGAAACAACGGCTTGCCACTGACAGGGTTTGAACCTATGCAGTCAGCAATCCTTAGATTACTAGTCTGACGTGTAAACCACTCGGCCACGCCACCATAGCTTTGAGACACTGTTGATATTATTATAATTCAGAAGGTATTGATGTTTTTATTTTTCAGGGGGTATTGGTCTATTATGTGTCCTTGCCCATTTGGTAACCATAGTTACTGTAACAAAAGAGGAGGAAGTGTCGGAGATATTACTAGGAGGAGTGGATCAGATTATCTCCTGGAAGGAAGAAGATGATGATCTATTTCTGTATAGCAGGTAAGAAAGCATACTTTAAAGGGTCTCCACTGAGGTCCAAATGCCTAAAAACATAAAATTTGAATTTCTTACATACATTGTAGGTCAACATAGGTACTTAAACAGAATGATATGCAAAAGGTCATTAAAAATATACTGACTCTGAGAAATTAAATCATTCTAAGTTAAATGTAAAGAATAGTTCTTGCCAGTCTAAATTAGGGTTTAAAGGATAGTTATAAAATGAAATTTAAAGGATAGTTCTTGCTTCCATTTAATCCTTAAATCTTAAAACACTGTCTTTCTGAATAAATGTCTAAACAGCATATAATTACCTCCGTAATCCCATTTGATGGTAGACAAACATTAGTCTACAAACATTTAAAAAAATACCTTTCATTTGTAAGTTTTTGCATTTTGTTCTCAGGGACATATCTACCATGTTTGTTGAAATAAAACCCCTAGGGTCAAAACTGGCCCTACACCAGTGGATCAAAGTTGACAGTTCAATCCCCAGCCAGGTCAAATGTTTGTTTTCCTTCTCTTTTTCTTTCATCTTTTTATTAGATCACCTCTCACTTAGTGACATGCTGACCTGTTTAATAAAAGGGCTGGCAGAGTTAAAATTAGAAAACAACAACATCTAAACAACATCTAAACCACTGGTTCAATTTTGAAATGATTTTACACAAAAATTTCCTTGGTGACAGTGTACAACAATTGTTCATATTAAGCTGTCCCTTGTTTTCAAATTGTGCTTTGGGGTGAAAAGGGGCTCCACTTTGACCTTTTGACCTATTTCTCAGGTGAGCGATCCAGGGCCCTCTGGGCTCTCTTGTTGTTTTTTCTTTTGAAATATTTTATTGCTTTTATTAAACAAATAATAGAAATGTAAAATAATTCTGTTTTAATTTTTCAGAAACATAGGTGAAGAGCCTCTTGAGATAGTGTTTTTAAATGGACAAGTTGGAAGATTTATGTGTACCATGGTGGATAGATTATCTGGTAGTTTAACAGATAAACACTGGGATTTTATCATGTGTACTCTTGTTTCCTGGGTTCAGGTAATTTTTGGTTTGTCTCAGTTACTGATTTTCGGGCAGTGATTCAGTTGTGGCATAATAATTACTTCACCCATAGTAATATACATTTTGGTTTATACAGAATTTATTATGCCCCCATTTCGAAGAAAAGGGGGTATATTGCTTTGCACTTGTCGGTCCGTCTGTCCGTAGACCAAATGGTTTCCGAGTGATAACTAAAGAACCCTTAGGCCTAGGAACTTCAAACTTGGTATGGTGATTGGTCATGAACATTAGATGACCCCTATTGATTGTGGGGTCAAGGGGTCAAAGGTCAAGGTCACATTGACCTTGTAAGCAAAAACGGTTTCCGATCAATAACTAAACCTTAAGGCCTAGGAACTTCAAACTTGGTATGGTGATTGGTCATGATCAGTAGATGACCCCTATTGATTTTGGGGTCAAAGGTCAAGGTCACATTGACCTTGTAAGCAAAAACGGTTTCCGATCAATAACTAAAGAACTTGAAGGCCTAGGAACTTCAAACTTGGTATGGTGATTGGTCATGATCAGTAGATGACCCCTATTGATTTTGGGGTCAAGGGTTCAAAGGTCAAGGTCACATTGACCTTGTAAGCAAAAACGGCTTCCGATCAATAACTAAATAGAGGGGGTCTTCGCTAATAGCGATAACATAATACGGGACAATTACACAAGTGTGGTGTTGATCATGCATTACACATATGGATTATAAATGATTGTATACATGTATATCCGTTGCTAAAAAATCATTTATGTTCATTTTTTATGATAGCCACACTTTATCCTTGCATATCGTGGCTATTTCCTTTAAGGCCTAGGAACTTCAAACTTGGTATGGTGATTGGTCATGACCAGTAGATGACCCCTATTGATTTTGGGGTCAAGGGGTCAAAGGTCAAGGTCACATTGACCTTGTAAGCAAAAACGGTTTCCGATCAATAACTAAAGAACCCTTAGGCCTAGGAACTTCAAACTTAGTATGGTGATTGATCATGATCAGTAGATGGCCCCTATTGATTTTGGGGTCAAGGGGTCAAAGGTCAAGGTCACATTGACCTCTTGGGTAAAAACGGTTTCTGATCAATAACAAAAGAACCCTAAGGCATAGGAACTTCAAACTTGGTATGGTGATTGGTCATGACCAGCAGATGACCCCTTTTGATTTTGGGGTTAAGGGGTCAAAGGTCAAGGTCACATTTATCTTGTAGGTAAAAACTGTTTCCGATCAATAACGAAAGAACCCTTAGGCCTAGGGATTTCAAACTTGATATGGTGATTGGTCATGATCAGTAGATGACCCCTATTGATTTTGGGGTCAAGGGGTCAAAGGTCAAGGTCACATTGACCACATTGACCTCTTAGGTAAAAACGGCTTCCGATCAATAACTAAAGAACCCTTAGGCCTAGGAACTTCAAACTTGGTATGGTGATTGGTCATGACCAGCAGATGACCCCTATTGATTTTGGGGTTAAGGGGTCAAAGGGCAATTTCACATTGACCTTGTAGGTAAAAATGCTTTCCAATCAATAACTTAAGAACCCTGAGGCCTAGGAACTTCGAACTTGGTATGGTGATTGGTCATGACCAGCAGATGACCTATTGATTTTGGGGTCAAGGGGTCAAAGGTCAAGGTCACATTGACCTTGTAGGTAAAAACGGTTTCTGATCAATTAACTTAAAACGCTTAGGCCTAGGAACTTCAAACTTTGTATGATGATTGGTCGTGACCAGCAGAAGACCCCTATTGAGTTTTGGGTCAAGGGGTCAAAGGTCAAGGTCACATTGACCTTGTAAGTAAAAACGGTTTCTGATCAATAACTTAAGAACGCTTAGGCCTCGGAACTTCAAACTTGGCATGGTGATTGGTCATGACCAGCAGATTACCTATTGATTTTGGGGTCAAGGGGTCAAAGGTCAAGGTCACATTGACCTTGAAGGTAAAAACGGTTTCCGATCAATTAATTAAAAACTCTTAGGCCTAGGAACTTCAAACTTTGTATGATGATTGGTCGTGACCAGCAGATGACCCCTATTGAGTTTTGAGAATTATCTACTGGTTAAGGTCATGACCAGTAGATAATTGATAACCCTTATTAATTGTTTGATCTCTGGGTCAGAAGTCATGCATAATAACCTTATCACATGACTAATTGGCTGCTGATAGGGGGCATACATGTTTTACAAACATATCTTGTTTTAGTTTGATTGTGTAAGAAGCTATAAGCTTTATAGATACACTAAATTGAATCCGTTTCTGGAACCAACCAGTACTGAGCATTGCTCCAAGGAAACAACGACTCGCCCCTGACAGGGTTATATATATATTTTGTTTGAAATACATAATGGTTTAACTGTCTTAAGGTAATGTGTAAAATCTATTTTTAGCAACATGACATCATTGGCTAAAATTATGCATCTAGAGAAAGAGTCTGTAATCATTTGTAGTAAAAGTTGGAATGTTGCCAAATAATCTGCATATAATGCAGTATTCTCCACTGCTGGAACAAATGAGCCGCGCCATGACAAAGCCAACTTAATGCGTTTGCGACCAACATGGATCCAGACCAGCCTGCTCTTCCGCGCAGTCTGATCAGGATACCTGCTGTTCGCTATCAGTTTCTCTACTTGTAATAGGGTTTGTAAGCGAACAGCATGGATCCTGATCAGACTGCGCGGATGCGCAGGCTGGTCTGGATCCATGCTGGTTGCAAACGCATTATGTTGATTTTGTCATGGCGCGGCTCAAATTACTTTATTTAATAAGTCAGCAGTAACTTTACTTAAAAACATTATCGCAGGTGCACATTTTCAAAGCATCTTCAATTTGTAATGCATCCATTAACAGTCTCTATATAAATATGTAAATAACTGACGTGTATCATGTGAATAAATATGAGGTGTTTCCCTTATCTTCGAGTAAAATCTTTATCTCTAATGCGAAAAGAATACAAATTTAGCTGTTTTTAAACCGCTAATTTGTTGCGGTTAAATGTCTGATTTTAAAATTTATTATACCAATGAAAAGCTTGTGAACTTAGCTTTGTCTTGGTATATACTTTAACACATTCTTTGAAACTAAAGGTATTTAAATTAACTGTTAAACCTACCACAAGTTAGACCATTTTATATACAATTTACACAGTGTGAAAACCCAACCAGTGTGAGTTATCTTTACTCACAAAACTAATGATAAGAATATCCTGTCTTCTGCTAGTTCGGAAACTGTCAATCAGTGTATTGTTTTATAATTGTATACATGTCTAAAACTTGTGTAAAACATACATTTGAATGAAATTATGGCAAAGCGGAATATACATTTAAATATTTATTATTTATTTAATATGATTTATATATTTTTTTTGTCACAGAGCATAGAAGAAACTAAGATAGGATCTCTGTCTAGTCCTAAAATACAATGCTTTGTAGTCAGTGTCCTTGATCTTCTGGTCAAAGTTGCCGTCTGCTTGAGAGAAAAAGTTGGAAAAGTGCCAGGAAATTACCCAGAAAACTTAGTGACAGAATGGACAGAATTCTTTAGTGAATCCATCTTCACAATTGTCCTTCCATTGTTCTTGAGAATTCACAGTATGTTTTATTTTGTTCAGTTTTTAGCCAGCTAGTGTTCTATTTTTAGCCAAATAGATAAGAGTAAATTGAAAGTTCTTACTTAATTTAACTTTTCCAATTTGAAGTAATTAGGCTTAAAGGCCTATTATTCCTCAGAAATGCTTTTATTTTTATTTCTCAAAAGCTTTTTCATTTTGAGAAACTTTAACAGTATCCAAAAAGTAACTCATTGGCCAACTATCTGAACCATCTTTTTCTTCACTTCCTTTTTGGCAAAAAGTACAGTTATAGCCAATGAGTATTTTGCATGGAAATCAAAATACTACATTGTTTACATTTTGCTATGTTAATGACAATTTATTTCACATTTATTGTCACTTTCTTCAGTTAACAAGTATCTAACATTCTCTAAAACCGTTCTCTAAACATTATGAAATTCATGTTTGCCCTTTCTAAAGAAAGAAAAATTTATTTGTTTTTGAGACATTATGTGCCTTTAAGACATAGCAGATCCCTGGGAATATGTATATACACAGTATTTTATGTGAACTATTTTGGGTTATTTAACTAATATTAAAATGAGAAGAACTGGATAATTATTCATTAGACTGGATTTATGTCATGTTTCCTTAATTATTACATAGGTATTTATGGAAGTTATAAGGGGCTTTTAATTTTTAGATATGTTCAGAGATAAGGGGCCAGAAAGAAATGACTTGTGCCTGTTGACCTCTGTGTGCAACGCTGCGGCACAAACTACCAAACCTCAGATATTAGAACACAAGTTACCTCCCTTCCTAGTAGCTGGAGATTTGTCTCCCTTGCCTGACAATCTTCAGTGTTTGATGAATCATATGTGTCCTCTGTTACTTAGCAACCAAAGATGTGTACAGATGTCAGCTTTTCATATTCTTCACAGGTAAGAAAAATGGAAAATATATTTCTTGATTCTCAAAACATCATTTTTCTGATGTTTCTAAATAAACATTAGTAACATCGGAAAAATCATGCTATTAGAATCAAGACATTTGTATTAAAAAATTGTTACATTCAATCAAATTTGAGTTCTACAAACCTCCAAAAGGATTTTTATTCCGATCCAAGTGCCTATGATTTGAATAAGTAACAACTGTTACCAAATAAAGATACGTTTACTGGGTCCACAGAAGGATCCTCTACTTAAAGAGACAGACATTGTCAGTCACAAGTGTCTGTCAGTTACTTGTCCTTTAGTCACAATTGACTTCAGGCATTCATCAATAGTTAATGTGTATATATCTTGAATAAAAATATGTTCAAACCAAAAGTCTAAACTACTTGTAATTCATGTATATACAAACAAGATCCATAATTCCTTGCTTCCATCATTTCAACAATTAAACAATTAAATTCTTACTTTTACTTTTGTAATTTATTGACAATTTAAGCATTTCATTTATTTCCAGCATTATTGATACTTTGCCCCAATATGACAAAGAAGATAAAAGTTTTGATGCTGGGGCTACTGGAGGGGAGAATAAAGAAGAAAATGTAACAAGGTTTGTAATTGTAGATGTCTAGTAATGAATCTTAGGCTCTCAGCTCAAGTAAGCTTTCACACTGCCAATCATCGGGGAGCTTTCATAATTTTGAAAGCGATGTGGATTTAATTTTAACCCTGAGAAAACCAGTAGTGAGTAGGTAATTTTCACGTTTTTGAGAACAAACATGGCATTGTCCATATAGCCAGCAGGTAAACTGGCAAAACAATGCCAGATAAAAATTGAGTCTATAATTTCAAGTTAATTTGTTTAAAATTACTTCAAACAATTTTTTTTTTTGTAACAAAAATCAGCATTTTTGTTTAACTTTCACGGATAACAGTATTTAATGCCTATGTAAAAACTGTTTTGATTGCATGGCTAAAAATAGCTTTCTCGGGAAATCCGAATTATGAAGAAGACGAAACATATATGGTTGTCATCAGATCTACATAAAAGAAATAAGTAGATCTGAACTTTCTCTCAGCATATGTTCTTGTAATATGTTTGTAGAATGCAGATGCAAATTGGGACTTAAGGGAACTCGACTGAGATTCCAAAATCCTAAAAACATAAAATTTGAAACTTTTACATAGGTCAGTTGGAGCAGTTAATACAAGTGATCCGCGTCACAACAAAACCAACATAATGGATTTGCGACCAGCATGGATCCAGACCAGCCTGTTCATCCGGGCAGACTGATTGGGTTCCATGCTGTTCGCTTACCAACCCTTTTACAAGTTGCAAAACTGATAGCGAACAGCATGGATCCTGACCAGAATGCAGGGATGTGCAAGCTGGTCTGGAACCATGCTGGTGGCAAAGGCACTATGTTGGTTTTGTTGTGATATGCATAATATAATTAAGAAATATAATCAGAAATAAAAATGTAAATTGTATTTTTGTGCTATTCTTCACCCAATTTAAGAGGATAGCATTGCAATGCTTTTTCAGTTTTGGGTAATTTTCAAAGTTAGAATTATTATTCTGGAAAAACCAGACCTACATCAGATGGAACATGAATCTCAAAAAATTTATTACCACTCCTGTCATTTACAAAAAAACAAAACAAAAAAAACCCAAAAAAACTCGGAGTTTCTTTAAAGGAAAGGGAGGGACTGTTTTATTTAAGCTAGCCAGCCTAGCTTTATAGCCCTCTAGATTTTGAACAATTTTTACCAATTTTCATAGGACATTGTAAGTTTCTGAAATTTATTTGGAATTATATTTAAATAAGGATACATGTCTTGTGTTTACATAACCTTAGTTAGGCCATTCTGAGCAAAGTTTGGTTTACACTTTGAATATGTAACTCTTTAAAAAAAATGTCTAGATGCAAACAATTTTTGCTAAAATTTCAGGCAAAAAAAAATGTTTTAGATATTGATTGTTTGACGTCTTCTTCTGCAGAAGCCCACCAGCAAAAATTATGAAGATAGTGGATGAAAGTAGTTCTATATTGGAAGTAGTTCTGAGTGATTTGCCCATTGAGATTAGTCAACCAATCAATGAGCTTAGTGAAGAGTATCACTACACCCTGTCATACTTGTTGTCATGGAAACTGGTGTTACATTTCTTCAAGAGTGCTCCACAGGAGGTATGTACTTAGGTTATAACGAACAATTTAGATAAAAAGATGATAATCGTTTTTTGTCACATGTGAAAAGCCACAGTCACTCTTTATTGAAACAACAGATGCATCAAAAGATATTATTTGTAATGGCTAGGGTAATATTGCAAAAAAACATTTATATACGGCCATATAATCTGTCAAGAATTTTTTAACATACTGTAAATGTCCTGTTTTAGAGGGGAAAAAAGGAGATTAAAGTAGTCTAATGCTTTCCCGCCAACAAATTCTAACATCAGCCAATATCGTAGCAAAACGTTTATTTCCGGAACATTATTTTTTCGAAATATTGGGAATTAAATTATTTACAATCACACACCCTTTATCGCTATGTTTGGTTATAAATGCTCAAAAAGTGTTGAATATCGAAGATTGTGAAAAATAATGTTCCGGAAATGACCTATTTATTATGATATTGGCAGAATGATGTTAGAATATTTTTGATGGAAAGCAGTACAGTAAGTCTACCTTCATAAATTGGCAGCAGCTGTGTATAAATTTTCTATAAGCGTGATTATTATCCAATGAAAAGGGATAGATAAATACAAACATGCTGTAGTACATATGTATAATTAAACTTATAAGTGATTTATCATCATTCCAGTATATAACATTTGTAATTCAAGCAATATATGTATTTTATGTACTTAAATAATGGCTGGTTTGAAGTCATATGATAATTGCACTGTCAATAAATATTTTATAAATTAAAATTATCATAGCAATGATATGTCCCCAATTTACATGTTTTTATTAGATTTTTAGCTCACCTGTCACAAAGTGACAGGATGAGTTTTTGTGATCGCTTTTCGTCCGGCGTCCGGCCAGCGTCCGGCGTCAGTAAACTATTTCTTTAAATGACATCTCCTCATAAACCACTAAGCCGATTTCATCCAAACTTCACAGGAATGTTCCTTTGGTGGTCACCTTTGAAAATTGTTCAAAGAATTTAATTCCATGCAGAACTCTGGTTGCCATGGCAACCAAAAGAGAAAACTTTAAATATCTTCTTCTAAAAAACCCAAAGAGCTAGAGCTTAGATATTTGGCATGAAACATCTTCTAGTGAGTGTCTACCAAGTTTGTACAAATAAAAGCCTTTGGGTCAAAATTGGCCCGACCCCAGGGGGTCATTGATTTTCCCTAAATGCAGATAGTAAACACTTAAAAAATCTTCTTTTAAAGAACCCAGAGAGCTAGAGCTAAGATATTTAGCATGAAACATCTTCTAGTGAGTGTCTACCAAGTTTGTACAAATAAAAGCCCTTGGGTCAAAATTGGCCCTACCCCGGGGGGTCATTCATTTTCCTTATATGTGTATTTAACAAAAACTTGAAAAATCTTCTTTGAAAAAACTCAAATAGCTAGAGTTTAGATATTAAGCACGAAGCATCTTCTAGTGAGTGTCTACAAAGTTTGTGTAAATAAAAGCCCTGGGGTCAAAATTGGCCCCAGCCCAGGGGACATTGATTTTCCTTATATGTGTATAGCAAAAACTTAAAAATCTTCTTTGAAAAAACCTGAATAGCTAGAGTTTAGATATTAAGCATGAAATATTTTCTAGTAAGTGTCTTCAAAGATTGTTCAAATAAAAGCCCTTGGGTCAAAACTGGCCCTGCCCCAGGTGTGTCATTGTTTTTAACAATATGTGTGAAGAAAAAACTTGACCAGCTAGACCTTAGATGTTTAGTATGAAACATCTTCTTATGGGTGTCTACCAAGTTTGTTCAAATAAAAGCATTGGGGTTTAAACTGGCCCTGCTATGGGGGCCTATATACAGGTGAGCGACTTCAGGGCCATCATGGCCCTCTTGTTGTATGAACCTATGGTCAAACCTGTGAGCAAAAGGCCAGTCTAAGGAGAGATTGAACATGGCCTTTATAGACAAATGGTCTTTATTTAAAGATTATTGTTTTCGATTTAATCAAATGAAAGTTTGTTAAAGATTGGCCTTTATTTACAGGAAGATCTCTATCTAAAAGTGTTTTTTTACACATTAACTTAAATAGATCGAAATTTAATGATTATGAAAAAAAATGTCCAGTCATCCTTGTTAAAAATAAAGATAATATCAAATTTATATATGGTTAAGTACCCAGTACCCTGAACATATTCTAGGCCATCCTATAGTTCAGTGCAGTCTGACCAGGTTTTATATGATTAGGTTCTGAATTTAAACATGAAATCCTTTTAAAGGCCCATTAAGCCTCAGAAATGCTATCATTTTTTTTTTTTTTCAAAAACTTTTTGTCTCATTTTTTAAGGCATAATGTGCCTTTAAACAGACTGTTCTAAAGTCAAAACTGACAGTGTCTTATCTAGGAGGAGTTATGGGGGATTCACTCATATTTTTGAGAATTTCCCCCTATTTTTTCAGAGGCAGGGGGAAAGTTTCACATAGAGAAAAAAACGAAAAATATCAAAAATGTAATCAGTTCTCATTTTTCGATAAAAATCACCCCTGTTTTTCGAATCCTAGAATAGACACTGAACTGAGCAAATCCATTTCACAAATTCTGCAGGTGAAGGGTTGAAAAAACTTTTAGATTGGTGTGATTGATTGATATATTTCTGGTAATGTTACAGTTAAGACAAGAGTACGCAGGATATCTACAAGACAACGGATTTATAGATCATCTTATGTTTAACATCTTCCGTGTGATGCCAAACTTACCCGGTAAAATGTTCCAGGATAAACCATGCATGGATGTGGCAGGTAATTGATAATGAAATAGACTGAAGAGAGATCAAAAAATGCTCTGTTTCATCACGAATGAGCTAAAATGAAAATATTTAGAAATAAACAATTTAATAAAATTGATTATAGGCTAAGATATTATGCAAAGGTTGCATATATAGAGAATATTTGTTTGTTTTGCATGTAAAATTGAAATATACATCACAGAGTGAACACCAGATGTAATTTTTTTTCATGGGTCGCCTAGACAAGAGTTGGTGGTTACAAGTAAAAATATATGTTGTTCTAACATACAAAACAGACAAGTTTTTATTTATATTTATTTCTTGCCTTTTTTTAGTCATTTTATCAAGTTTTTGCCACATGTGCTCTCATTCATGATGTCATGAAATCATGATGTCACATTTTTGTTATTGAAAAATAGTCTGGTGTATAAATTCATGTTTTCATGTAAATTATCATAATTTACTTATGGCATAGTGTATTTTTGACAATATTTTTTTCTATTTAAGATAATATTCTTTTCTGCATTCAAATACATGTACAGTCTGGCTTCTGTGAAAATTATATTTTATAGTTTCATAAGATTATCAAAATATAATTTCAGTGTTTACTTAAAAGCATGACATATGAAATAAAGACATATTGCAAAATGAAGTGTATTTTAGAATTTATTTCTGTGTGCACAGTATGAAAGAAACTTATTAACTTTTTATTTAATTCAAAAAGAGATTATTTAAAATATCTAAGTCTTAAAAATAGCTGTTTCAATTTCAATGTAACATTTAGAATTGATAAAAAAAAGAAGATTATTTTATTGCAGAACCCAAAAGTAGCTCAGAAATACAGCATATAGCCTGTGCAGTGTACCTGCAAATACTGAAAACAATGCCTGCAATGGCTAGAAACTGGTGGATGAGTCAGGACAGGAAGACGTCTGCTTTTGTTGATGGGTCAGTATGATTTTGTTCAATAGTTTTATTGTAGACAAATGTTTTAGAGCAGCTATATGTTATGTGCATGTCTAAATATAGATTGTCAACAGTGATTTTGTAGCATATTTACACACACTTTCAGCCCTTCTGTGTTCAATAGGGGAAAATACCAGCTAGAATAAATCATGTCACATTGACTGGGATTTCAAGAATGTGTGAAAGAAATTATTAATAATTGAGCCTCCCCATGACAAAACCAACATAATGTGTTTGCGACCAGCATGGATCCAGACCTGCCTGTGCATTCGCGCAGTCTGATCAGGATCCATGCTGTTCGCTTACAGACCCTATAACAAGTAAAGAAACTGATAGCGAACAGCATGGATCCTGATCAGACTGCGAGGATGCGCAGGCTGGTCTGGATTCATGCTTGTCGCAAACCCATTATGTTGGTTTTGTTATGACACAGCTCAAATCATTGCTAACTTTTTATTTCAGATTTACAACAAAACATGTTAGTAATATATTATGTACATCGGAGATCAGAACTGTTCAGAAGACCAACGTTCAGCTACAGGACATGACGGTAAAGTTCAAAGTTTAACTTGTCATTTTCCCTTAACCAGATGATTTTTTGTAGTATATTGGTTTAAGCATATTTTTTAAGCTCGATTCAGTAACAAGTCCTTGCAGATTTATTAATCACTTTCGAGTCTGCTTCCTGGAACCAACCAGTACCGGTTTTTAATATGAAGAAGCATGGTTGTGACCCAATTAGTGGGTCAAACCCTTGATCCCTGGGTTGAGAGGCAGACACCTTAACCACTAGACCACAGCTCCCTTCTTATAATGCATGAGTCAATATCCATATCAGACGGCATGGATGTGAAAAGTATGCATCATATTTGTCAAAAGTTTTACTACCTAAGAATACATAACTCTTACATCATTACACAAACTGTATTGAACATTTGCATGAGGGATCTGTACTACAGAAAGTATTCAATTTGGTCATTTCTGAATCTCACTTAGATTTTTCTTATCCTGCATTAGTTGTTGCCCTTTTATAATGCAGAAATAAGGTAGATTTGTCCATTTATAAATGATCCTTTATGTTTCAAACCAAATTCATTGTTGAATAAATTAAGACAAAAAGTAAGATTTGTATAGTATTTAAAATTGAAATGCAACATATATTGTACCACAGTTCAATATCTTTTTTCCGTATTCCAGATAAAAGCAAGACCTATCACAAGGGGGAATAGTAATAAAAATGATTACTCCCTTCCTCAAATTTACCACGGAAATCTTTTATTATGAGAAACTTTGGGGGAACGGGACCGCAGGGGTAAATAGGGCTTTAAAATTGAAGATTTTCAACTCCCGGGTTGTTTGGTAACAATACTATTTAAATTCTTCCCAACCAATGTAAAAGTTTTTTAACGCGTAAAGTTATAGATTTAGTCAATAAACCCTTTTGCTTGAAAATTTTTAAAAAAGAGTCAACAGATTCTTCCCTTTTATGATAAACTGCACCATATTCAATGGTAGGATACTAAGTCCACACACACCTGCAAAATGCTCCCAATCGGTCTGTTTTTTTGTTATCATCCCATGGATTGGAAGGTAAAATAGGGTTTGATTCTAAGAAATCATTAGAATATAAAAAAATAGTTTAGAGCACCAAAGATTGGCTTAAGTATTTGATATAGTTTTAAAAAAACATTTTAAGTTTTACTGTCTGGTTTAAGCCTGAAATCTGTATAGCTATTGTTTGCGAGTCCGAGTTGGAGCATTTTGGAAAAAAAAATCTAGAATCTTTTTGTTTTGTTTTTAAATTGAGCAATTAAGAATTTCTAATATTTATTTAAAGTTTTTAAAATGAAAAAAAAATCTGTATTCAGTATTTATATAATTTTTTTAAACTTTTACAGAATGGTAATATTATGGATGGTTTAAGATTATGGAAGAACAATATAGACAAGAGATTTGAGGGGGTCGATGAGTGCATGATATGTTTCTATGTGTTGCATGGCACAAACTTCCAGTTACCAAGGATCGCATGTAGAACTTGCAAGAAAAAGTTTCATTCCAGTTGTCTAGTAAGTTGTAGCAAAGAATTTTTTGCGGTTCAGACAAAACCAACAAGTGCGTTACCTAGAAGGATCCAGACCACCTCAATCCGCATCGATCGGGACCATTGTTTCCTTCATTTCTCTCTTTAATGGGGTTGGGTAAGCAAACACATGGATCCTGATCAACGCAGGAGCACAGGCGGGGTTGGCCTTGCTTTCCCAAAAACGACTATGTAGTTTTGTCTAATCGGCTCTTTTGATATTTTGTTGGGGTGAAGATAAGTGGAAGCCCCAGTTCAGTTTAAAAAAATAACAGTTATTTTGAATTTGTAATAACATTTAATTGCATTTGATTAAGTGTTTGAATTTTTGTGGGGATACAGGTAAAGGGATTGGCAGCTTATTAGCTCACCTGTCACAAAGTGACAGGGTGAGCTTTTGTGATCGCTTTTCGTCTGTCGTCCTTCCGTCCGTCGTCCGTCCGTAAACTTTTACTTTAAATGACATTTTCTCATAAACCACTAAACCAATTTATTAAAACTTCACAGGAATGTTCCTTTGGTGGTCACCTTTAAATATTTTTCAAAGAATTTAATTCCATGCAGAACTCTGGTTGCCATGGCAACCGAAAGAAAAAACTTTAAATATCCTCTTTTAAAAAACCCTAAGAGCTAGAGCTTAGATATTTGGCATGAAACATCTTCTAGTGAGTGTCTACCAAGTTTGTCCAAATAAAAGCCCTTGGGTCAAAATTGGCCCCGCCCCAGTGGGTCATTGATTTTCCCTATATACATATAGTAAGAACTTAAAAAATCTCCTTTAAAGAACCCAAAGAGCTAGAGCTAAGATATTTAGCATGAAACATCTTCTCATGAGTGTCTACCCAGTTTATTCAAATAAAAGCCCCGGGGTCAAAATTGGCCCCGCCCCAGGGGGTCATTGATTTTCCTTATATGCTTATAGTAAAAACTTAAAAAATCTTCTTTTAAAAAAACTCAAAGAGCTAGAGCTCAGATATTTAGCATGAAACATGTTCTAATGGGTGTCTACCAAGTTTGTTCAAATAAAAGCCCTGGGGTCAAAATTGGCCTGGGGTCATTGATTTTCCTTCTATGTGTATAGCAAAAACTTAAAAAAATCTTCTTTGAAAAAACCCAAATAGCTAGAGTTTAGATATTAAGCATGAAACATCTTCTAGTGAGTGTTTACAAAGTTTGTTCAAATAAAAGCCCTGGGGTCAAAATTGGCCCCGCCCCGGGGGTCATTGATTTTCCTTCTATGTGTATAGCAAAAACTTAAAAAATCTTCTTTGAAAAAACCCAAATAGCTAGAGTTTAGATATTAAGCATGAAACATCTTCTAGTGAGTGTTTACAAAGTTTGTTCAAATAAAAGCCCTGGGGTCAAAATTGGCCCCGCCCCGGGGGTATTTGATTTTCCTCATATGTGTATAGCAAAAACTTAAAAACTTCTTTGGAAAAAAAACAAATAGCTAGAGTTTAGATATTCAGCATGAAACATCTTCTAGTAAGTGTCTACAAACTGGCCCCGCCCCAGGGGTGTCATTGTTTTTAACGTAAAAACTTAAAAAATCTTCTTTTAAAAAACCCAATGAGCTAGAGCTTAGATGTTAAGCATGAAACATTTTCTAGTGAGTGTCTACAAAGTTTGTTCAAATAAAAGCCCTTAGGTTAAAATTGGCCCTGCCGGGGGGGGGGGGGGGGGGGGGGAGGGAGGGAGAAAGGAAGGAAGGAGGGGGCAGGCCTATATACAGGTGAGCGACCTCAGGGCCATCATGGCCCTCTTGTTTGTTGTTATACTGTAGTTTCTGCATTGGATGGACATTGTCTACTTTTTTTACCTACATTTCTAGCAGTCATAGATAAATTGATTGTGAAACATTTAGTGTTTGAAAGGTGCCAGTTTTTCTAAGTATATCATTATAAGTATGTTGTGTCAAAATATGAAATTTAAGATTGGGCTTTGATGTTTCATACTAAAGAAAGTTATTAATGGGGACTCCACTGAGGTCCAAAAGCTTAAAAACGTAAAATTTGACATTATTACATAGATCAACCTTGGTACTTAAACAGAAAGATATGCAAAAGATCAATAAAAAATATACTGAGAAATGAGTTGAAAATTGTATTTTTGTGTTATTCTTAACGTGATTTGATTGAAACATGTTGCAATGCTTTTCAATTTTGGGTCATTTTCTAAAAATTAGAATAATTATTCTTGAAAGACGGAGTAAGCAAATGATCTAATATTTTGACTACAGAAAAAATAATAATTACATTGAAAGTGAAACATTTTGTTTTTTTTCATGTATCATATAACTGGTGTGTGTACTCTGATATCTTTATTTCAAACTCTCACTTGACCTACATATTTCTGTTGTAATATAAATGATAAATGTTTTCTTTTTTTTTCAGTACAAATGGTTCAACACTAGTCATAACTGTACATGCCCGCTCTGCAGGAATGTATTTTGACCTAGCTCCGCCCCTTCTGCAGGAATGTATTTTGACCTAGCTCCGCCCCCTCTGCAGTAATGTATTTTGACCTAGCTCCGCCCCTGCTCTCATTTTTATTGTATTTTTATTCAGTTTTTTCTCATGGTGTCAGTTGAAATTATTTATCAGTTTTAACAATCATATTATCAATGATGATATATATGTGACTGTAAAAATTTAAATTTAGTGACAATAAAATGTTTAACAAACATGTTTTAATATTTGAGACATTTGAGTAGAGGTTTTAAGATAATCATTCTTTATATCTTTTAACAAAAATACGTGCATGTTAGAGGCTCGTGTTATAACAATTTCTTGAACTTGTTTTTATAATGATCTTTATTTGTGAGATCCTAGTATTTGTCTTTTCTAAACAATGTACATGTATATCAATGCAAGTGAGCATATCCCTTTAATCGGACACTCTATGAGTATTGTTTTACACCTAAATATATACTGCTTACACAATGTCAAGGTCAAATTGAAGACTACTCATATTTATGACATTTTTTTTGTTTGTTTCACTTTATTGACATAAAATTGAATTTATAATAAAAAAATATTAACTCAGAAGTTAAATATAAGTCATATGAAAATATGTATAGTGTGTTGTTGTTGATATATCTGTAAAGAGGGACTACAATGTTGCCATGGTAATATATATATATATATATATATATATATATATATATATATATATATATATATATATATATATATATATATATAGAATAACCTATAATCGTCATCTGAAATCTTGCCCCATCTTAGTTACTAAGTTTTCTTAAAGTGACCTTAACAGTATCGATGTCACCTATAAACCACCTTCAAAAATTTAACCTTTTTAGCAATGTGATGAATTTCTTGATACCCTCAGAAAGACTTTTGTTGTAATATCTTTAGTGATTAAATTCTTGATAAAATATATAAAAAATCTAAGCTGTATATATTTGTCATTTGAAAATCAATGAGTATTTAGTTAATGGTTGACAAGTTAACATCGTTGACTTCAAAGTTATATCTTTTTGTCACCTAAAGCTTTTATGGACTCAAGAGACTGAAAGTTAAGTTGTGTAGTGATCACATGGTCTCAAGTTTAGTTGATCACCTGGTCTGGTGTCAATTTTCGTAGGTCACCTTGAGATAAGATTTGAGTCTTTACACAGTGAGAGTATGATGCTCTGATTTAATAGGGTAGTATTCAATGTCAAGTTGGTGGTTATTAAGTGAATGAAAAGCATCAAAATGTTTTTAAAAAAAAATCGAACAATTTCATTGGACAAAACCTAATGGAAATCACTGAATGGTTGAAAGTACGAGGTTTATTAAACTAGTCTGGTCTAACGACGATATGAAATATGATCTACAAAATAATATAAATACAGTCATATATGTTCGCATTAAAAACAAACATTATGAATTGACATGACTCAGAGTTTAGATGTTTGATGTGTAGTACAGGATGCGCTGGTGAATGGTTTTCTTATTAAAGGTTGAATTATGTTTTACATATATTAGCATCTTTGGTTTAACAACTAAAATTATCCAAAATGAAAACTGAAAGGCCAATCGGACTTTATCAAGTTTTTACTAGTTGTATCCCGCCCTCCTGTACCATCATTTTACAATGCCCAGTTTCTAGAAGTCTTAATTATGCCAGAGACATAGATGTTATCTATGTCTCTGGTTATGCCCATATTTAGCTTGACTATACGAAGTAGACGCAATCGGAACTTTCTCGGCTATTATCTATAATAACCGAAGACTTACGGAAAGGGCCGAGAAATTGCGATTGGAAGTAGGAGAGGTTTTTTTCTGATTGCCCAGGCTTCTGAGTCCGCGTTCAGACCGAAAAGTAAAGTATTTTTACTATTACTTATATATTTCTCAAGGTATCTACTTCAGTCTTCATATATATGTTCCTTATCGCCAGCCACAACATATGTGACGCGCTTCATATTGAAGCAATATTTCCAGCATTATCCCCTTTTACTTTTTATTTTCCTTCAAAAATGTTTTTTCCCTCTTACTTCTTTATAATCAAAATTTGCACATTAAAGTACATGCATAATATACCGTGGGAAAGATTATTGATTTTTCTAACCAACAGTCTATTTTCGTACGATTTGCACGTGCAATGAAATTTTAGCAGGTCATTTGAATACATGTGGTTTTGTATACTGATTGTGAACATGGCACAGGAACTTGACATTCTATAGGTAATTTAAAAAAAATAAGCAGGTAATCAAGAATTAACAATAGGTAAATAAACAAATGTTAAGGATGATTCCCGCCATAGGCGGCCAATTTCCGCTATCGCTGAAAAAACAACAACAACATGACTGTCAAAACCATAGTTGATCAAAATGCAAGATATACCGTGGAGAAGAAAAGTGCCATATCGGGCCTTTGTGCGTCATATGTGTTTTCCATATTGAAAGAAAAGTTAAGGAAAAAATGCGCTCGTTGAATCCAGCAATTGCAAACTTCTGACCGGAAAAGGGAACGGGTTAAAAAGCCTCGGCTTTATTGATTAGGTTCAAAGATCGAGACCCTAGACGCCTGTGAGAACTTGTCACAGGGGATGAAACGTGGCTTTATGGTTTTTTTTTTGAGCCCGACAATAAACTCGGTAAGAAAATGTGAGTAGGTGAAAAAAAGCGATCGCCAAGTTCTTGCTCGACGTAGCAAGAGCGTTGAAAGAGTTAGTACGAGGGTTGTCCCAAAATGTCGTAGACTACATTATTTTCTCTTCAACCTGACGTCATAACTTAATAAAATTTACCAGATATCTTCCTTGGTCATTTGTTAATTTACCTACTTAAAGTCAATAGCTAATATATTAGGTAACGCTTTTTATCAGGGTTTTATATTTAACAGTACAACATAACCGGAGCACGATAAAATATTAGTCAGTGTTGAGAGCATGCTTTTTAAAGTAATGCCTTTAACTTCTAACATAATAATAATTATGGGATTTACATTCATGTGGAATTACGTCATTCATTTTTACGTAATATCACCAACAGACGTTTATGTAACGTTAATTTGAAAAAGTCTGTAGCATAATACGTAACAGCAGTGCTACTTTGAAAATGCCCAAAATGGTGACGTCAGATGAAAATGCGGCGCAACGCAATGTCATTGAATACTGTGTTAAGTTGAAGAATTGTCCAGCATTAATTGACAACATGGAGAACATTATATTTTATCAAGATAATGCACCTTGCCATAGATCTCAGGAGACACAGATTGAACTTGATGTGATAGGTTTTCAGAGACTTCTGTACGCCCCAAGACTTTGCAGTGTTTCCTTATTTGAAATCACAATTACGAGGTCACAGGTTCGAAAACTTCAGCGAACTCCGCCAGGAAACTCAACTCTGCGAGTGTTGAGTACATTGAAGCAGGACTGTTTTGAAAACATTTATGATAAATGGTTTGCTTCACACTGACAGTGCATTGCGAAACACGGTGAATACTTTGAAAAACATTTTAAAAAATCTTATAACGTCATGACATTTATGACGGCGGGCGCCGGGTATGTATAGGTAGCATTCTTTAAAGTTTGATAACTTGGTCAATTTTGGAGGTATTTTGATTTTATTTCGCAAAGACACACATAAAAGGTGTATTGACTTTTCCCTAGCTGGAGGACTCTATTGTATTATAATTGATTGAGTAACAGACTTTGTCTACGATATTTTGGGACAACCCTCGTACATTTTATGTTTGACAGTGATAGAATAGTGGCCCGTGTCGCTGTGCCACTGCTGTAATCACTACATTACAAAGAGCCAAAGGTCCGGTTGCGCAGGATAAAAATACTCCATGTTAATGCACCTGCGCACCGGTCAGCCTTAGTTCAAGCTTATTTAGAGGAGCAGAAAAATTAGGTTTTACTACATCCCGCTCATATTCCTGACCTCTCTCCTTGTGACTTTAGGTTTAATCCATACAACAAATCTTGCCTTCGAGTTCGCCGGTACGAAACCCGAAGTGCCGTCGGAAGCGCTCTCTACCAGTGTATAAATAGTGTACCCAAAAGAACAGTTCAAAAATGCCTTTTTGGAATGGATTCTGAGGCTGTTAAAATGTGTAGAGGTCCATAGTGAATATTTTGAAGGACTCTACTAATCCTTTTCCCCGAGTATGTCTTATTTATAATAACGCGCTGCCGTTGCCACTAATTAAAATATGCCCCTCGTATGTTCTTTTTTCACCAACCACATCATATGTGACACTTTCCACAACTAAATAACACCACTATTTCCAGAATTATTCCCCTTTAACAAAGAGTTTTCCTCTAAAAAATATTAATTTTAATATCGTTTCCTTATTTTCTTAAGGCATTTCAGATTGATTCACTTTCATTGACATGGTCACATATGTATGTTAGTTACTAGTATGTGCTTGCAAAATTGTTGAACTTTTAATCAAGTGTTTTTTTTCTTGATACTGATACACAAATATATAATAACATCATAACTGATTTTTATTACATAGGTTTGTCTTCCTTTACTGCGTACAGCATTAAATTAGCCGATCTGACAACATAGATACTACTTGACTTATATATACCTGACCTATGACAACATAGATACTGTTTTATTTCACTTGACTTATATACACCTGCCCTATTTCCATTGTAAAATTACTCAAGTATAAAAGACATTCCACCCTGTTGAATGATTTCACTATTAGCTTAAGGTCTTCAGCGTACCCGTTTATATACTAAGACATGGCGTGAATGCCGCATCAGATGAAAAACAAAAATGTTAAAAAGCGGCTTATACAGTTTCGGAAGCCAGAACTATGTTAATTGTATTCTGGTTCCCGGCATCTAACAAGTATTCTTTGCGTAGCGAAAGGGGAAGGAACTCCAGACTATGTTAATTGGAGCGTTCTATGACCTTACAAGAAAAGCATTGATGCAAAGCATCAAAGGGCGACGCCAAAAGAATTTGATCCAGATTTGCACCTAAATACTTAACAAAAGATGTGTACTTTATAGCAGTACCATTACATGTGACCTGGAGGCTAGGGCCAGGTTAAGTTGAAACTTAAACCAAAAAAGAATAGACTCTGTCTTGCCAAGATGCAAAGGCAATTTATAGTCAATTAAGCAATCTTATAAGACTCATGTTATAAGAAAGAATTTCTTCAGATTTAATTTATGAGACACAAGGATTCCTGAGTCATCAGCATATAATCACTGGCACGAGTATCGGACCTGGGAAGAAAAAATATGACCAGATGACCAGATTGATAAAAAAAAACTGTGTTTATAAAAACCAAAACAAAAAATGTAAATAATGATCCCCTTTAAAAATATACTTTCAACTTGAAGTATTTTTTAAAGGGGGTCATTATTTACATTTTATTTTGGTTGTTGACACTTTTAAGATGAACACAGGTTTTTTTTATCAATCTGGCCATATTTTTTCATCCAAGGTCTGATACTCGTGCCTGTGCATTATAATAAAAGCTTATTGCTTAGGGTTGAAGACATGTAATTGACATATATTAGACATAAAAGAGGACCTAAAATGAACATCAGGGGGACAGCATAGGTACTCAGAGCAGTAGTAGAATAAGTACCAGCCACATCAACCAGCTACTATCAGAGATAAGACTTAAACCATGTAAGAATGTCATTATATATGGCAGATGCTTGAAGTTTCATAAAGAAGAAGAAAAACAACTTCTTCAAGTGCAGGATAGTGTGTTCAACTGTATCAAATGCCCTTTGTAGATCTAAAAGTATCATGCAATACTGCCTTTGTCCATTTCAAATAATGCAATCTGTTAAATGAATCAAACATGTGTCAATTGAAAAACCACTTCTAAACCCTGACTGAAACTGCCTGACCATGACTCAAACCCATGACTTTCAGAAGACCAACTGAGCTATCCGTCCTGCTACACATTTTCTCTTTAATAATGAAACAGTTCTAAACCACAACATATTTCCCCACTATATCGATTTGTGTTCGTGAATTTCTTATGTTACAGAGCATAGGAAATTTAACTCATGCTTATATGCAGTCATAGGATGAGAAAAACTTTGAGCTTGACCAGAACTCATTAACCTGTGACCAACATAAGAAGAAATTTTATGAAGGCTGATTTGTATTTTGCATCAAGGGCACCGGGCAAAAACATGAAAATGCAACAAACAAACCACTTTGTGGTAGATTGTATTTTCATGTTTTCATCTGGCGCCCAGTTACTTTTTGTACTATGTTGGTTTTCATGTGGCACAAATCACCCACTATAAATTTAGTGCACAAATTTATTCAAGGGCAAGTAACAATCTACTCTATGTACAGTCTGTTGTCGCGTTGACTCAGGAGACCTGGAGGTTGAGACCGGTGTCTCTTCATTACAAATAGATAAGACAGAAGCTGTCCTTTTCAAACTTTGCACATGTTAGAAAAAAATAGAATAACTATTCAGAATATGATTTTTTGAGACTTTATTAATTATATTGCTTGATCCAAGTTTAAGGACATTTTCAATCAATACATGTTTTATCATTTATAACTTTAAATGAAAGTCTCATCCCTTTAATAATAATGACATAACTGTAACTCTTTAAATGCAGAAAAATTATAAGTCTCAACATATCAATATACTACTGTCTAAGATATACATGTACATGCACATAACATTAATAATTCCCAGTTTATATTAAATAAATATGAAATCCTAACATTAACATTAACATGCTTTTGATGACCTTACAACTGGTGAATTATATACAACAAAAATAGTATTATAAGTAATACCTAAGATAGACAGAAAAGAACAAATAATTTAGTAAACATAAGTTACTTCCCCTTAAAATAAAGAAAACCTGAAACCCAAAAGAACAGCAAAATTATGAAATGTTGCAGGTTCAATTTTATCAAGCCATGCAAATTAATGGTAAAGTATTCATAAAAAAATAGATGGCCATGTGTCAGCAGTAATTGCAGAAAATCGGATAGCTTTCAACGTCCGGATACTGGTACACTTTGTAAAAACAACCATTCTGCGCAACAGATAAATGTAATAAGGATAAAATCAATAGGATAATCGTTTACAACAGTTTCATTACCTATCCTTATACTCAATTGCAGGTGAACTTTCTTCTTGTAGGAAAATTTTGAAAATGTATAAATGATACGGCCTCAATCTAGACCACAACGATATTCGAAATCCGGGTTTTAGTATTGTCATTAAAACTAAGGGACAAGCTGTTAAACTTAACCCGCAATTTCGTGAAAATAATATCACAATGCACATGCTTTTTACATAAAGTTATTAAATACAAATATAACAACACATTTGTTTACTTGATTTTTACGAATCAAAATAAAACTAATTTACACAACATGAAATTAACTGCTAATAATAACAGCTCCTTCCATAGGCAAAAATAAAAAGCGTTCCATAATAGACGACGCCGCTCACCGGCGTCGCCAATAATAAACGTGCGCGTGCGCGTTCTTTGCAAACAGCTCTTGTTATGTTTTTATAACACAATAAACTAACTCTTTTAAACAACAAAAGTGTTGTTGATACATAGACGACACATTATTTTTTTTATAATTAAGGGGTGTTTATACATCGAGTGGTTTGAAAATAAATATTATATGATAATCTTCATATCATCCTTTTTTATTTTTTTTTTAGGGGGGGGGGGGCTGAATTAAAAAAAAAAAATGTAGTCCGACAAAATAATAGTGAACCGACAGAAAATCTGTAAATATTAGATGTTTAACTGCAGTGGAAAATAAATTTGTACTGTGAAACTACGGACAATGAAAGTTTTCATGTTATGTAATCATTTTTTCTCAATATTTCATTTATTGCATTTAATATATAATAAAAGTAAGACGTCTTTTAAAGCAGAAGTTGCAGACGTGTTTAAAAATAGAAAAATAGTGTAAATCGCACAGATCACGTGCTCGTCTATACTTAAGATACTATTACACAAATTTACATAGATTGTAAGCGGAAGTTAACTATCTCCCCGAAAATATTATTAAAGTGTGACATATAATAACGTCTTTGACAAAATGGATGATATTATTTGTAACTGACACAAGTAAGTTTTTTTTCTTTTAATATACATGACAGTTGATACTTGTTTGTTTTTATAGAACCACCGTTGAAATCTTGTTTCACATTATATGAATTAATGAAACGGACTTTGACCTTAGCGTTAACTTTAACTTTAACTGTTTAACTTCTATTTATTTTTCGGGTGTAAATGGGATTATAGATATCGAATGGAAGACCGTGAAATTATCATTAAATAGTCTTTTAACAATCAGTATGTTGTGTTTAGATGTAGATAATCAACACGTCTATATAAATGTGATTTTAGACGTAAGTTTTCACCATTTATAGCGTAGAAATTGTTCTTCCGGGCTCGAAAATAAGGTCAACCACAACAACAAACTGATCGTTACGATATTAACACGCTTATTATTTATTATGGTATATATAATTTCAGTGCGTTATATTCTGTTTTACAGTGTAAGGCATTGGATTTTCGTATTTTTAACAAATAAAAACTGGGAGACAATAAATAATTTAATATTATGTCCTTGGATACATTTATATCGATTGATTAAATGGACGTTAAAAATCAAATGTGTACATAAAAGTTATGTCAAGCAAGATGTAGAAGGTTTAACGTGTTAAGGGTAATAATTGAGTTGAAATGGATTGCGGTTTGCTTACAGTAAAATGGCAACGAATAAATTCTAAAGGGGGGAGGGGCGGTGGCCTAGTGGTTAATGTGTCTGCCTCTCAACTCAGGGATCATGAGCCACGACCATGTTTCTTCATATGATACCAGAAGATCTACTGGTTGGTTCCAGGAAGTGGGCATTTTTGTTTTGAAAATTGGAGCGATTTCATTGGTCGGCAAATGATATTGAACACTAATATAAGTTGCCAGAACTTGTTTCGAAATCGAGGCTAAAGGAATAACAATCACTATACATTATACATTATAAAATTTGAGCCGCGTCATGACAAAACCAACATAATGGGTTTGCGACCAGCATGGATCCAGACCAGCCTGCGCATCCGCGCAGTCTGATCAGGATCCATGCTGTTCGCTTACAAAACCCTATAACAAGTAGAGAAACTGATAGCGAACAGCATGGATCCTGATCAGACTGCGCCGAGGCGCAGGCTGGTCTGGATCCATGCTGGTCGCAAACCCACTATGTTGGTTTTGTCATGACGCGGCTCAAATGTTTTTTAAGAAACTATATTACAGTTCAGAATTCAGTGTTAACTTAATCACTGTAATTTATCCAAATTTACGGATTTAGTTAAATACTTTTTGTTTAAGATACATGTCCATTGTATTTAATTACAGTATAGGGTTAACAGGGCTTAAATTGTCATCGACAAAATTATGTAATTATTATTACAACACAAACAATCTTAACACGAAAATCTACCATCACCTCAACTATTCAAAAGAAATAAAGGAAAAGAACAGACAAACAATCAAAAAATGAAATAAGGAAATTATTTAAAATGAGTTAAACGTATTCGCAATATTTGTGTTTTACAAGATTACGTCCCTTAGCCGACGCATTTTAGCCAAATTGAAAAAAAAAAATCGAATAAAAATGTGGTTTTACAATAAAAAAAACCCCGATCAGGTTCCATAATGAAATTTGTTTTATTTCGAAACCTAAGGTAGTCTTATTTATTAATCAAACAACAATAGTGTACATGTTATAAAGATCTTGTATTGTTTCTGTTATCATTTTTTTTAAACATTTTGTTTGTTTACCCCTGTCACCCGGATGAGTCATGGTGTATTCCTGTCCGTTTCTAAATTAACATGATCATGGCGGGATTGACTTCGGAATGGCTGAAATGCAACCAGTTTATGCTAGCGCGATTTTGCATGTCTTTTCTGGAATATCGGAACTGAATTTTACTTTCCACTATTCATTTCCTGGTGGTCCGAATTTCCGAATTTTTTTAGTAACAGTAATTTAGGGTAAAGTGAAATTTATTATGATAAGATTTGAGCGTTAAGTAAAATTCAAAATCAATTATAGCTGATTATTCTATACCGTAGTTATCATGGACGCTTCGCGGTCCCGGGTATTATTATTGTGAAAACGGTTTTGTTATCGTCAATGCAGTTTAATTATTATGAATATTCTTTGTTATTGTGAATGCAAAATCGTTATTGTGAATGTGAATTCGTTGATATATACTACTCAACTTTTGCTAAGCACCATAAGTTTTTTTATGGTTTCACCAGTATTAAACATATTTTTTTCCAATTTTTGAAAATTCTGATTTAGCAATGTTTTGAGATAGTCCCCTGACATGAATCCGTGTTGACTAGTCCGTTACAAATCGACAAAGTAGCATGGAAAGTATGCACCCCAATATTTTCATGTTTTTGATAGGGTGTACAACCACATGTCTCTTGTTATACGGCGACATACCGGCTTATTGTCATTCACACATTTCTTACATATGCGAATTTCCACTGCAACTTCTCTTCGAAATGACCTTGCTAATGCTGCGAGGGTCATTGTTTCCACGCAGACGGTACGTAGAAGGCTGCATAACGGGGATTTTTGGTGGAGAAGACCTTGCATACGTATCCCCTTGACGCGTCGACATCGCCAGGCCCGTTAGGAATGGACCATGGATCATACACGATGGACCATGCAACACTGGAGACACGTTCTATTCACTGATGAGTCCAGGTTTTCCCTATACTTCACAGAAAGGCGTGCCAGAGTCTGGAGAAGACGCGGTGAACAGCTGCAAATACTGCTGAGCATGACCGCTACGGGGGTGGGTCAGTAGACGACATCTTAGACAACCAGGTAAGGTTGTATGCTGGGGCAGTCGGCAATCAGTTCATTCTAATGGACGATAAGGCTCGCCCCCATAGTGCCAGGGTGGTCCAGGACAACCTAGAGCGGGAGTTAATTGAGCACATGGACTGGCCAGCTCGCTCACCTGACTTAAATCCAAAAGAACACAGTAGGAATGAAATGCAGGTTAGAATTTCAGCTCGTCAGCTGCAACCCAGAACCAGCTGAGAGCTTGGAGCCATGTTGGTCAAAGAATGGACAGCCATACTTGTTGGAATGATCAAAAACCTAATAGGGAGTATGAGAAGTCATTGATAGTCACGGGTCACACACACGGTATTTAATCTAAAACTTAAAAAAAAAAGGGGAAAAAAGGAAAACACGCTGTATGTTCTGAAATCTTCAAAAGAGTGGGACATCCTCTTCTCTGGCACAAACTTAGTGTTAAACTTATTGATAGGGTGATATTCGTCCTTCAGTTGTATTGATAAAACAGTAAATCAACATTAAAAACCTTTCGCACGGCGTTAATAAAATTAAAAAAATCACACTCAAGCATATGGTGCCTTACAAATGTCGAGTAGTATAAATGCTGTCTCGTTATTATGAATGTGGACGTGATATCGTTGATATGCATGCGGTCTCGCAATTGTTAATTGGATCTCGTTGATTTGAATGCGATCTTGTTATTGTGAATGTGGTCTTGTTTTTATGAATGTGATCTCGTTGATATGAGTGTAGTTTCATTATTGTGAATGCCGTCTTGTTATTATGAATGCGGTCTCGTTATTGTGAATGTGATCTCGTTGAAATGAATGCGGTCTCGCAATTGTTAATTGGATCTCGTTGATTTGAATGCGGTCTTGTTATTGTGAATGTGGTCTTGTTATTATGAATGCGGTCTCATTATTGTGAATTCAGTTTCGATATTGTGGATACAGTCTTAAGAATCGTAAGTGTGAATAGGGTCTTAATATTGGGAAGACCGTTTCTTTATTGTGAATAAGGTCTCTGTTTTGTGAAAAAATATTTTACAATTGTGGAATATGGTCTCAATATAATGGTGCTCTCGTTATTGTGAATTGTGTCATGTTAATGTCAATTTGGTCACGTTCTTTGTGAGGAAGTTATCCAGCTAGCTTACGGTTCTATTCAGGTGCCCGTTTGTGTCTGAAAATGATGCACGAATGGCACGTGACAGTAAAGCTGGAAAGTCATCATATGATCTACACTGTGTTTGTGCGATGTACCCATCAGCCATTATTTGTTAAATGATATAAAAAATAGTGTTTTCGTTTTTTGTTTCAGTTCAAACTCTCTGACGCATTATGTCGGGAAAAAAGGAGAAAAAGTCCCTGTTTCAAAGTTTTTTTTCAAAGAAGAAAGAAAACAAAGATAATGCGACAGGTAAGCAACATAATATAGATTTGTTTAAAAAACAATAGACAAAAAACCACTTCCCCTTCCATGCGTTTTGGCATCACCCTATTTTTTGTGTCGTTTATAGACATAATATCGTATCCAGGAATTAGTTCGAAAATGAGTTTGAAATGCATATCATATAAAGAATGTGTTATTTCGTTTGTTCGAAATAGTAACGGCATAGCCGAGCGGTTAACGCATCGGAGGATAAGTAATATAAGGATTGCTGGCCACGTGGTTTCAAACCCCGTTAGGGGCAAGCTGTTGTTTCCGTGAGCATGAAACTTTACACTCATTGCTTAGCACTGGTTGGTTCAAGGAACAGATTCGAGAGTGTTTCAATAAGCTTTCAAATTCCAAGACAAGAAAAAAACAACAACACAAACATAATGACAATTTTGTACATGTTTTGCAAGTCTTCGTTCTGAATAATAATGTAAATGGACATAAGGAGTACCGAACTACATTCTTGCGCGCATGGATAATGATTGTTGTTCTGGGATCGGTGTAAGGGTTAGCAACAACAACGGAAGACCAAATAAAGGTGTCATATATTTGTGCTCTTTTAGCTATAAAATAATACAACATGTAGTATTACTATAAAGGCATGCTTGTTGGTTAGACTAAATGTTGGTTAGACTAAGTGTTTGTTAGACTAAGTGTTGTTTGTTGGTTAGACTAAGTGTTATTTGTTGGTTAGACTAAGTGTTGTTTGTTGGTTAGACTAAGTGTTGCTTGTTGGTTAGACTAAGTGTTGTTTGTTGGTTAGACTAAGTGTTGCTTGTTGGTTAGACGAACTGTTGCTTGTTGGTTAGACTAAGTGTTGCTTGTTGGTTAGACTAAGTGTTGTTTGTTGGTTAGACTAAGTGTTGCTTGTTGGTTAGACGAACTGATGCTTGTTGGTTAGACTAAGTGTTGTTTGTTGGTTAGACTAAGTGCTGTTTGTTGGTAAGACTAAGTGTTCTGCTAGGTTTATCTTCCAGCTCAACAGTTCAATGTTGATTTTGTACAAGTATTGAAAGGTTGTTTTTTTTATTTCCCAAGAAACTCTATATATGAACTTAATCATTGTACCTGTTGCTGTCAAGAACATTGTACATCCAATACCAAGTTCGACGGAAAGGTCCGAAAAAATGCGATGGTTGTTTTTTTTAGTAAATCTAGTATATTGATGAAGTTTGAACGTGCATTCGAACACATACTTATAAGCCATTATGTTATTTATTCAGATTCAGACTTATCACCGGTTGGCTTATATACGACTCAATACAGATCGCACCATCCTTCAAGTCACGTGACATTAGAACAGATTAAAACATGGAGTGATTTCTATACAGAAGTGAAGAGTTCAGGTAAGACATAGTTTAATGGCGGCATTTTGTTTGTTGAATTATCATAATTACTTGGCGAAAAGTATATTCCACCACGAGACAGTATAAATGGTAAACCACTGTAAGGTTAAAATGTTTCACAAATTAAATGGCACAAAATTAACTTTATCTTACATAATTAGAATGAAGAAACGGTACTTTAAATAAACTTTGATCCTTAGTCATTATTTGGTCCATGTCAAGGCCACTAAAGCTTTGGATTTCTCATCATTGAATATTCTGTTACTTATTTACGTTACAAACCTTGATTATCACAATTTGATGGTATTTGAAATTTCTGCGGCCAAGGTCGCTGAGGCTATATTGTTTTTACCTGTCGGGTAGCATTCTGCGTTTTTACCGATGTTCTTATTTCTTGGAGACACCACATGCTTGGAAAGCGCTGAGAGAATAAAAAGACCATTGATAGTTTTGATAGAAACATAGAAACATGGGAAACATATAAATACGAAAAACGCCTTGATAACACTTGATATTTATGTTGTAGATAAATCAACGTCAACGTCACACTATGACGTCAATGAGTTTTTAAATCAGAAGGTATCACTTTGGGTTGGAGACATTACAACGCTGAAAATCGACGCCATTGTAAATTCTGCTAGTCACGACCTCGTGCATTTCGGAGAAGGTAAGCTTTTCGAAACTTTGTTTCGTCCTGTCAAGTGACATCGCAACAAAGCAAACTGTTTTGCAAATTTAGTATTTATTTGCAACTTTATGATTATCGAAATTTAGACGTTTAGCGATTTATTGCCAAATGAAATTACATGATTGATAAAAAAGGTTTTCTAAATATGTAAACAAATGCAACAAAACTGTATACACTTTAACAGACTACTAACAAAGTGGACAAGTTAGGATTTGTAACGCTCTGCTGGGAGAGACCAATTACATTGTATTTAGATATTTAGCGTTTTGGAGCGCCTCCTTGAAAAGAGGTATATTCCAGGAACTGATATTTTACAATAAAATCTTAGCAGAGCAACATCATTTGAGAGACATGTTTTTTCTTAATCAGAGGTGTTGCTGAAAGACAGTTTAAATTTAATGTGGAATCTTACTTTTGGAAGGAAGAATGGATACTTTCTTGTTATTGCTTTTAAGAGGGCCGCTCTACATAGGTTACAATATATTCAATGTTTATATCATAGTGGTTTGGTCGTTTAAAAAGGGTTGCTAATGTGTTCTTTCAGTTGGAGAAAGGATACATCTAGCCGCTGGTCCGGAGTTAGCAAACAAGTGCGCTTCTATTGGACTCTGTGAATATGGCAAGGCGGTAATTACCAAAGGTTTGTGAAATCAGATGTTTTGTTACCATGTATAATAATCATAATGTTCATATTTCTGTCTGCGATCAAAAAACGGGCAAATTGGCTAAAGGTCTCATGGCCGTGAACGAGACGAACTCGTATGTTAACAGGGTACAATTCAATTTATTATTTATTATTATAATTGTATTGTTGTGAATAACCATTTGTTAATAGTTAAAAATGAATTATTGTCAATCAAATGCCAACCTTATATGCACTAATTTAGAACATAAACTGATTGAATGATACATTATGAGTTTCAGCTGGGATATATGAAAAAATAAAGATTGCATTTATTACAATGTGTTTTCTTGTGTTCACAATTAATAATCAGTCAAAATTGAATTGATCTTTGATAGAGGAAACAGACATTAAATTTATTATTATTATTGTTATTATTATTATTATTATTATTATTATTATTATTATAAAAACACTTACTTTTCAACGGAGACAAATCAGGCTTTTTGTGCATTTTTCAGGTTACAGGCTTCATGCAAAGTGTAAGTTTTTTTTCAACTACTATGTATTCTTATACAGCAAGACCAATGTAAATCTGGTTTGAAATAGTTTGAAATACTGCCGCATTTTTTTGTATGTTATTAACTAGTTAATGCTAATAATACAGATAATAAAATAAATGTTCACTGTTTAACTGGTCATTTGATAATACGTTTTTATTATAAACTTATAAATGAAATATTGAAAAATATTGATGAAAGAATATACATGCGTATTTTTATTTTCCATATTTTCACTGTGAAGTTATTTTTACCTGCAGCAAACCATATTTTACATTTTTACAATGGTGTCTTGCCGGATTACTTTCATCTTAAACACAATTAAGAGGGAATTCTTCCTTGTTATTAGGTTAAAAAAGAGAAAAAGTATATAATAAACAGAAAATTCAAGTTTATTTTTTTATTTAGTACAGGATTAATTTTCATCTTTTTGTATGAAAATTATCATATTTTATTTATTTTTAAAATATTTTTTCATACCACTCGATGAAAATCCTGTTTTTTATAGATGAAACTTAAATATTCTCTATTAAGTGATTTTCTCCATTTGTATCAATATATCATTGTATGCTTTAAGCCTCGGTCTCACTTACTCCCGGCAGAGCCCAGGACCATCCCGGTAAGTTACCGGGATGATCCGGGACGATCCAGGATGAAATTATTGTTGCGGTCACACTTACCCCGGCAGCACTACGGTAGTACCCTACTAACCACCCAGGATGCGCTCCGGATCATCCAGGCAGAGCCCAGGTGAAGCTACGGTTCATGCCGGTGCTTCCCCGGTCGTTCCCGGATGACGCCGGAAGAGCCCCGGTTGACCCAGGCAGAGCCCCGGTCGATCCAGGCAGAGCCCCGGCAGAGCCCAGGACGATCCAGGCAGAGCCCCGGTAGAACCCCGGTGGATTGAAAACGCCCGAAAATGATAACTTTGATACATAATTTTTATTTAATATAATATCTATTGTTCAAGAATAGTAATTCATGATGATTTCCTGAAAAATCCTTATGCCATACTGGATAGAAGGGAAATGGGAAGGCTTTTAATACAAACAAGTTCAATCATCGCAAATTGTCCTTATTCTTATGAAATGATCCGGGCTTTGCCGGGGCTCTACCGGGGCTCTACCGGGATCAACCGTAGCTCTACCTTTATCCTCCGGGGCTCTGCCTGTAGTTACCGGGGCTCTGCCGGCATATACCGGGGCTCTACCGTAGCTCTACCGTAGCTCTACCGGCTATATCATACCCCGGATCATCCCCGGATTGTGCCGGCAGAGCTACGGTGCTTTCCCGTTATAACCCCGGTCGTTCCCGGCAGAGCTAAGGATGAAGCCGGCAAAGCTATACCTTCCCGGATCATCCCGGACCACCCCGGTGATATTAAATAATTTATTCCATCCGGGGTCGAATGCCGGATGTTCCCGGATCATCCCGGATCATCCAGGACGTTGCCGGCAGAGTTACGGATGTACCCCGGTTGTTCCCGGTCGTACCCCGGTCGTTCCCGGATCACCCCGGACGTCTACCGGGGCTCTGCCGGGATGTAAGTGAGACTGTAGCTTTAATGAGCCGCGTCATGACAAAACCAACATTGTGCGTTTGCGACCAGCATGGATCCAGACCAGCCTGCGCATCCGCGCAGTCTGATCAGGATCCATGTTGTTCGCTATCAGTTTCTCTACTTGTAATAGAGTTGGTAAGCGAACAGCATGGATCCTGATCAGACTGCGCGGACGCGCAGGCTGGTCTGGATCCATGCTGGTCGCAAACGCACTATGATGGTTTTGTCATGACGCGGCTCAAATGCTATTGATCAACTATAATTTCATTGTCATTACTTATGCTGCAAACCAATATAATTATTTAACCATTATTTTCGTAGATATCATTCACACGGTTGTACCACGTATGGACCGGAAAAATCGATTTTTGTACCTGAAGAAATGTTATAGATCATGCTTAGATATGGCACGTGACAGGAATATTAAAACAGTAGTAAGAACTAAATCTACTTTCTATATGCTCAGTTTTAAATAACATTACGCTCTTCATTTCACTGTCGAGTTGAATTAGTAATATATTTCAAAAGATTGGCCATTATAATAATTGGTAATGAAAAACGTTTATAATACAATAAATAAAACTATCAAAACAATGAAAGAGACTGTCCCGCTCCTTGTTTTAAGAATTGAGCGTTACTGATAACGATATTTATAGAAATTTTCATTGGTCACGGGGGGATTATTTGTTATCTTATCATAGTAATATATATTAAATTGAATAAAATTATGACAAGAGGTCAAGTTATTTTTAATTTTTACCTGTTCAATAAGCAATTACACTTGGATGGGCATTATGTCACTTTTATTATGTCACAGTTTATATTGAAATGTAGATAAATTCTAGATGGCCATCTGTTTCATTTACCTTTTAAAACACCTTTTTAGATATACTATGCTTAAATTTTATATTAGAAAATCTTAAAAATTGCTTGACAGTCTCTTTATATAAATATAACATAAATTTAACATGTTTTGACTCTACACAAAGTAGATATGTTATGTTTAAAACTCTACATATGCACTATAGGTAGCCACAATATGAATATATAGTGTCATTAAAAAATGGCATTTTTTTTAAAGAAAAGACCATCTTTTCTTGACCTGTAATAGGGAACACAGCTTCCAATACATAGTTTATTCATTCTTTTATTCAAATTAGACATAATTATTCAGTAAGAATTTCATAGATTTCAATAAATTTCTTTGATAAAAATATTTTACTCAAGGATGGGCATAGTAAATATTTTTAACATTCCTTTATTCAAACTAGACATACTCAGTGAGAATTTCATAGATTTCGATAAAAATAGTTTACTAAAGGATGGTCATAGTAAATCTGTAAAACAAACAACTGAAATGATTGGAGTGGACGACCAAGTATTGTTAAAATACGCAAGCCTTTAAATTACATTTGCTGGATTCTCATTATTTACTTGTAACTAGGAAAACCTTGAACTATCACCTGCCTAGGTATGATAATCAGTGTGTTCCTTAAAAGACCATTGTACACGTCCGTTACCGACATTCAAAAGTATCCAAGGTCAGTTGGTTATGGTTGCTGAATATGAGTCACTTTCAGGTCCATTATGAAGTGTACTCCCGCCAGGGATGGTCTCATGTGCGAAAGCAATGTTACAATGTTTACAACTGCCCCCCCCCCCCTGTATATATATAACCTCCCCATGTTCATAACTCTTACCAAATAATGTTACCCTCTAAGCATTTTCTGTTGCGCTTTAACGGGTAATCTAATGGAGCTATATTTTTGTATTTAAAGGCCAATTATGCAACCTAATGTTTGTATTTTAATTTCTCAAACCCTTTAATTTTTGGTGCCCTGTTACAGTTTCTAATAATTAGCTCTTTGGCTAATTTCACGAACCATGCAATAAGTACAGTTATAGTGATTCAGTATTTTGTATCAAGTCACAATACCACTTTGTTTACATTTTGTTACTTTTATGACAAATAATATTCACATTTAGTGCCATTTTCCATAGATAATTGTTTTTAATTAAGGATGATAATTTAAGTATCCATTTCGAGGGTTTATAGCAGAACTGTTGTAAGTTATTCTTTATTTCATATAAGTTAGTTCATTTTGCGACAAACCCTCGATTTATGCGTAAAAATTCCACGGGAATATTAATAATTCTCGTCTAAAGCTCGACCATATTTAAGTATTAATATGGACGATTCCAGAAAATTATATGCTAAAATAAGAGGGCTTTAGTGTCAGGAATATTTTGAATTATGTCCGGATTGATTTGATGTTTGTTTTATTCCAGGCATTCCCAAGCATAGGTACACAATATTGTGGTAAGTTTTACGAAAATATGTAACATTTGATTGATACTTATTAGCTATTTACTAAAACATTTGAATATAATTAATTAAATCAAATATTTTGTAGCATAAAAATTTCGTCTTGGCTTGTAATAGAAAACTTTGTCTTAGTAAGAAAATATATATTTTCTACTACCGTTTCACTCTGTTAGATAAGATTTTCTGACCTACACAATTTCCATTTTTGTAATGCTTATTGTTTTATAATAGAAGCTTTTCTGTGAAAATTTCATAATTTCAAAATACTATTATTATGCTAACACTTTAAAGACTCATTATTCTCGTAAACAGATTTCATTTCTATTTCTCAAAAGCTTTTTTAAAAATTGATGTATGTGATTTATTGTTATGTTGAAGTTTCCGTAACAGAACTCGTTTATTATATGGTAGAGCTTTTTGAGCAACTTGGCCATTATTAAAGTTACACTGATAAATTATTTTGATAGAAGATTAATGACAACATTTAAAAACATGTTTTACTAAAGTTTATTTCAAAATTTACTAAAGTTTATTTCAAAACAGAATGTGCAGTGCTGGTATTTCTTTTTCTTTTAACCCAAAGGCTTTGCTGTGAAGGATGCAGCCCAAATAGCCGTATCAACTACGAGAGAATGGCTTCTGGAAAATGACAACATACATCATGTAAGTAAAGCTACCAAAGCTTTTTATGAATTTTTGTTTTCTTTCGGAACTATTGTTTAAGAAAGTGTCACTAAGCACAACCCAGATGGTCAACTTCTTACAGATATGAAAATTTAATTGCAAGATGATTTGTCAGAAATATTTCTTTTTCATTGTTAGATTTTTTAAGCTTCGTTTATACAAAACATATTCGGCAAGTATACATTAATACACATGCTTACACGCTTCACACTATTTTTATCAGACAGATCGGGCAATTAAGTACATTACACGGTAAATTCCCATAAAAAGGAATACTTACTGTACACGTCATATGACGTCAATGTCAAAACAACGAAAGTCGTCAGGGAAATTACTGCTTAGCTCAATGTTGTTCAACATGTTTTTTTATTAGTCTACTTTTTTATGAGCACAATAGAATGGAATAAAACCCACAAATTGTTCATGCATTATAGTAGAGTAATACATGGTTTATACTTTAATTATTAACTCTTGCCTGTCGTCCTTTGTGATTAAATCTATATCACTACCCATTTGAACTCGACCGTGCATTATTCTACAACAATGCAATCAAAATTGATATCTTTTTCCTTATTACAAATGAATATGAGAGAAAGAAAACATACATGTATAAATGCACATAATAAATCTTTATACAGAATATGTATATAACGGCATAGGAGAAGCTGAACACCATGACCACGGTACATATCCATATCGGTACCCTCTTTGCGAAATCTACTCAAACGGTACCCTCTTTGCACATGCACAGGCTATTCTCTGCTAAAAACAAACCAGCGATGGATAACAATTCACCTAATGCTCCTTCAAATGACGAAATGAGGTATGTCATGTGGAAAATATGTATACCACGGAACACTAGAATGTTTTATCTTCGAGTGTTTATTGCAGTGTGTCCATCTTCAATTATTGCAACCCCACAAGCTACATAAAATAGACATGTCTTGTCTCGCCCATCACCTTGACCATATTGTTTCGGGCTGAAATGAACCAGTGGCTTGATTATATATTCATCATACCTATTACATATGTTCATTCAGGTAAATAGCAGTTATTAGTCAAAAATAAATGTAGAATTAATAAAATCACCCTACTTTCGGGTTTGCAGAGAAACAGGCCATCTCTTTATTATTATTTTTTTTATATCACAGGTACCCTCTTATTCAATGTTTTTGATACACGGGTATCCGTCCTAACACAGTACGTATAGAAACGCGAAAGATCGAATTAGACTTTATAATACAGGTAGTCGGAATTTGACTTGAATGGGCAGTTCTTATTTAAGACAGGCGATTCCTGCCACTGACCAGTTTTAAGATTAAGCATCATAAGTCTATAAATGTGTTCTTCTGTTTTATATATTCACATTTGTGAATTACAGAATTCCGTATCATGACACTAAGGTATATATACGTACATAAAAATAGGAAATATTGCATGCTTAACGTTTAACGCAAATAAAAGCGTATGTCCTGCTTTGAGGGTACCCGTGTGTTAAAAAATGAGAGGGAACTTGTGATATAAAGAAGTCAAAAGCAAGAGGAAGCCCGTGCCGCTGCAAAACCAAAAGTAGGGTGTTTTTATGAATTTTACATTTATTTTTGATACTATACTGCCATTTGTCCGAAGATGATATATAAATGAACATATGAAATATGTATGATGTATATATAATCAAGCCACTGGTTTATTTTAGACCGAAACATATGTCGAGGTGATGGGCGAGACAAGACATGTCGATTTTATGTAGCTTATTGTGAAGTTGCGGTGACAAATCAGCACATTAATTAAACATTTTAGTGTTCCGTGGTATACATCTTTTCCACATGTCATACTTCCTTTCCTGATTACAATGAATTTTTACTGGCTTGTTATCCATCTCTGGTTTGTTTTTAGCAGAGAATAGCCTGTGCATGTGCAAAGATGGTACCGTTTGAGTAGATTTCGCAAAGAGGGTACCGTTTGAGTAGATTTCGCAAAGAGGGTACCGTTTGAAGAGGGTACCGTTTGAGTAGATTTCGCAAAGAGGGTACCGTTTGAGTAGATTTCGCAAAGAGGGTACCGTTTGAGTAGATTTCGCAAAGAGGGTACCGTTTGACTAGATTTCGCAAAGAGTGTACAGTTTGAGTAGATTTCGCAAAGAGGGTACCGATATGGATATGTACCGTGATGACGTTTTAACCGCAAAAGACGAAATAACATAGTTATAATGTTCTGGAAGTGACGTTTAATTATTCTTTTTTGTCAGTTACCGTCGGAATACGCCATAATGCTCGTTGCATTTGCACATTTTTAAAAAAGATAATGCATACAACATGTTTCAGATCGAGAGAATCATCTTCAGTGTGATAACAGTTATCGGTGAGAAGACTTACAGACAGACACTTAAGACTTACTTTCCAGTTGAACAGCAGGAAACAGGTTAACACTTTTTTTGATTTTAGCTAAAATGAGCTGTAAATGTTGAACTGTGCGATGAGTGTTCGACGCTGGTAGTCCTCATATGGAGTATACATCGTCGGTTACCTACGGTATATATTCCGTACATACTACGTTATCTGGATATTGTATTATAGTTTGGGGACCTTTCTGTTGAAAATGTGCCAGAGTTAAATCGTATACATATACATGCACAGTGCGTTAACTGGAGTGCGGGTATTAGTTACCCGCTACTCAAGAGCATGCCCATTAATTGGCGTATTTTTGCTGGGGTTTACTTATTGTTACGGTATTTAAAGGGAAAGCGATAGAAATATCATATTCAGATGCTCGTTCATTGGTTACTTTTTTCTGGGGTTTCATACTGTGACAACAGGGAGCGTGTTCAAATGTTTGACTATGATACAAAAGAGAAAAAACATCAAAACACTCGGCAATCTGATTCATACTCAGGGGGCTACGCCCCTCGTACAAATCAGATAGCCTGGTGTTTCGATGCTCTTTCTATTACATGTAGTATGTACGGAATATACATTTGTATACCGTAGGTAACCGACGGTAAATTTTGAATACTTCCCCTATAAACTTTATCAAAATGTTGTTTTTTATCCTTAAGTTCATGGACAGGTTTTAATATTGGATAGGTGAAACTATGACTTATCCATACGTTCAGTCCAGTTATTGTTGATGATATCCTCTGTTCTTGGGAGGTTTTAAACGTTATGGTGATAATGAAATAAAATGTTGATGAGATGGATGCATCATGCTGGATTATGTCATTATGAGTCCTAAAATATACGCAATATCTTGTTTTGTTATAATACATTGCGTTTTTATTCCTATAACATTTTACCAGACAGAATGGACATTTCATACATAGTTAACAGGCCTTTTGTGTTTTGCTTTTAAATATCTTTAAGAGACTACGCTATTTACGCCATTTCCAGAAGACTTGTCAGACTATCAGTCAGCATTTACTTGTTTATATACAATATGTTTTTTTCTCAAAACAGTCGATTTTAAGTAAAAAAACTTCATACAGAGTTTAGTAAAACCGAAAGAAAACCCAATCAAAACGTGAAATGTAACTTAATTCACGGTGTTTCCAAATGAGAAAAGGTTATCATTTTATGTATTTTGAAAGATCGTATGGTTGTACTGCTTTAGACAAGCTACAACCTTCTCATTTTCATGGTTTATGATATGTTACTACTTAAATTACCTTCTTTAATTTATATTAAATTCATGAATATTGCTGACTTCAGAACAATTTTAGCCTCTTTAGTTTTGTTTTTGAAATAAATATATTTATGTGCAAGTTTGAGTTTATATTACTTCACACATTATGTGTCCCTCTCCTTTCGCCGCTCTAATGTCCATTCCCGGTTTTGGCCCTGCTTAAGTGGGGGGGGGGGGGGAGGCTACATCCCGTGAACGTTGCCTTTGCCTTGTTGATCTTTATTCTCGTTTTTTTAGCTCGACTATTCGAAGAATATGAGAGCTATTGTAGTCGCCCCGGCGTCGGCGTCGGCGTCGGCGTCCGCGTCGGCGTCTGCGTTGGTTAAAGTTTTTTGTAAAGTCAAATATCTCAATTATTACTTGAGATATTCAATTGAAACTTACAATACTTATTTATAGTAACAAGGTACATCAGATTGACAAGTTGGATAACTCTGCCTACAATATTGACAGAATTATGCCCCTTTTTAACTTAGAAATTTTGGTTAAAGTTTTTTGTAAAGTCAAATATCTCAATTATTGCTTGAGATATTCAATTGAAACTTACAATACTTATTTATAGTAACAATGTACATCAGATTGACAAGTTGGATAACTCTGCCTACAATATTGACAGAATAATGCCCCTTTTTAACTTAGAAATTTTGGTTAAAGTTTTTTGTAAAGTCAAATATCTCAATTATTGCTTGAGATATTCAATTGAAACTTACAATACTTATTTATAGTAACAATGTACATCAGATTGACAAGTTGGATAACTCTGCCTACAATATTGACAGAATTATGCCCCTTTTTAACTTAGAAATTTTGGTTAAAGTTTTTTGTAAAGTCAAATATCTCAATTATTGCTTGAGATATTCAATTGAAACTTACAATACTTATTTATAGTAACAATGTACATCAGATTGACAAGTTGGATAACTCTGCCTACCATATTGACAGAATTTTGCCCCTTTGAAACTTAGAAATTTTGGTTAAAGTTTTTTTGTAAAGTCAAATATCTCAATTATTGCTTGAGATATTCAATTGAAATTTAAAATACTTATTTAAGGTAACAATGTACATCAGTTTGCAAAATTGCATAACTGTCTGCAATATTTGCAGAATTATTTGCCCCTTTGAAACTTAGAAATTTTGGTTAAAGGTTAACGGTCTTCAAAGATATTTACTTGAAACTTTACACATGCACTTAGGGTCATAATTGGAGGGTCATAATTGTATGTCACTGACCAAGTTCCATAACTCTATCTTGCATTAAGGCTAATTTATATCCCCTTTTCTACTTAGTTTCTTGGTTAATGTTTACATGCAAGTTTTACATATCTCAATAACTATTAAAGATATTTATTTAAAACTTCACATATGCAATTAGGGTCATAATTGTAGGTCACTGACAAAGATCCATAATTCTATCTTGCATTTAGGCTGATTTTTCTCCCCTTTTTCAACTTAGAAATTCATGGTACAGTTTTGCTTGTAAGCTGTTATCTCAATAACTACTGAAGGGTTTGTGCCTTTTTTGGGACAATTTTATGCATTCATAATAATAAAGCAGTGATTTACTTGATAAAACATCTTAATAACAAACCTTTGTACCTTTTTGTCAAATTTATGTATTCATAGGTAATTAGTATTATTATACTCAATAAAAAACCCTTGTGACATTACCTTCCGAATAGTCAAACCAATTCTGTATAATTAGACTCTCTCTAAGGCCTATAACATGAATTTATAAAAAAAAAATTAGCCTTTTTGTGAACTTAAAAAATTTAACAATATCAAGGCTCTTTTACTATCAAGCACTTAGAATAGTCGAGCATGCTGTCCTACAGACAGCTCTTGTTTTATATAAAATGTATACATTTTATTCATTTCAGTGCCACAAGTTATAAGCGTAGATCCACATGCGTTATCACTCTACCAAAGGGCCATCAAAGAAGGAAAGGAATGCGATCCTGCCATTCGTGTTAATATCGTTGGAAATTATGGCCAAGGCAAGTCATCTCTGAAAAGAAGACTAGTTGGGCATAGTATTGAAGGAGTTACAAGTACCAATGGCATTGATGTTGCTCGACATAAATTTAAACGATCAAGTGACGGTAGACTGTGTTTACATGAAGAAGAAGAAGGGCGAGAGATAGTTAGTCGTGTGGTAGAAATTGTACGTAAAGCAGAACTTGAAAGTAGTCTAGAGGATTCTCACGAGCAAGAGTCAGTGGAAGCTGTTGATGAGGTAGATGCTATACCTATTGGTAATGTAGTTGACTTATATAATCGATTACCTACCACTGATGTAGATGGCTTAATTAATGTTCAGGAATTACCAAACTCTGCAAAAGAATCTAATGTCAAAGATGATCATAGTCTTCCAAGCTCTGAAGGAAACAATAATGATTTAAGTCTTTCCATCCCCATCAACGGAACACCCAGACGAGTTCTTTCGGAAAATGAGATGATTTCATTTATAAATGACATTAAAATTTCTGATTCAAAGAAAGCCTCAGATGCAATATTAGACTTTTGGGACTTCGGGGGACAGTATGTCTTCTATGCTACACATACAATGTTTCATAGTCAGCAAGCTATATATCTACTTGTTTTTGATTTGACAACTGATTTTAAGGATGTCGTTAGAGATGAAGAGTTTCCAGGAGAGACTGGCAATAAAACAGTTGAATATTTCATACGATTTTGGATGAATTCCATCCATTCCTTTGTTGGCGATTGTGACGGATCCTTACCTAGAGTTATATTAGTCGGCACACATAAAGACAAGATAAAGGCAGAAACTGATGATGAAAGAACTCAAATCTGTGAAGAATACTTCGATAAAATTCGGCAAATGTTTGAAGACACGACAGTTTTTCAGCACATACATCAAAACGATTTTGCTGTTGATAATGTTGAACAAAATGATGAAATCATTTCTCGGTTACTTGAGGAAATCGTAGGGATTGGCGACGAGTTGTCAAAGAAAGAAGAAATTCCGGCTCAATGGTTACCGTTAGAAAGAGAATTGAAGAAAAGGCGGAGTCAGAAACTTATCACATTAGATGAAATATTGCACATTGATGCAACAAATGAATTTCCATTATCAGATGAAGACCAGGTGAAACTCTTTCTGCGATATCATCACTCTAAGGGAACCTTGTTCTACTTTGACGAAGAACCAATTGCAGATCATGTTATTCTAGATCCACAATATTTAATTGATGCTTTCAGATGTATAATTACATCAAAAGCTTTTTGTAAAAATGTAATGAAATGTCAAAGCACTCGAAAATCCTTTGAAAGACTTGTTCATGATGGCAAGCTTGAGAATGCTCTTATAGATAAGGTATGGGATGATAACTTTATTCAGCATAAGGACGTTCTGCTTGGATTTCTGAAAAAGCATTATGTGATTTCAGAAGCTATGAAGTTTGACGATAATACAGGAAAAACAGAGCGTCTTGGTTGGTACATTGTGCCAAGTCTATTAAAAGACCACATCTCAACAGATGACGTCGCTGAAATAATAACCGACAGAAAACAGTCACGGACTCGATTTGTGATGTTGTTTGAAGACTCGTCTCTCCTGCAGACAATATTTAGCCGCCTTATGGCCGCACTTTTGGGAAAATGGTCCCTTGTTCCTTTACCAAAATGTCCAAAGAAACACACTTTATTTGAAAATCTGGGTATGTTTCAATTAGACAAAGTTCACTTGGGATTAGTTGAAGTAAAATGTTTTACTATAGAACTGCTCATTATTGGACTTTGTATTTCTAAAGACATAGTAAGAAGAGTGGGAGACCGGTTTCGGCGGTATTGTGAATCAGTCATTGGACATGAATTTGAATGTCTTCGTACCAGAACCGAATATGTTAGCAAGCCATATAAGTACGCATTTAGATGTAATCACACAACACATGGCATAGATGGTAGCAAAGGACTGATAGAAGAAATAGATGATGAAGTATTGCCGTGTCCAGATCTAGATAAACAACATGACGTTTTTGTTAAAAGTGCCAAATCAGAATGGTTTTTACAGGAGCAAGTAGACACTTCCAATCAAAATAAAGGATTGACTGACAAAAAATTAAGTAATGTGGCAAAAGCTATTGGAAATAACTGGCAACTTCTCGGCGTTGAACTTAAACTAACACAAACGCAAATTGATCAAGCCACCTATGATGGTAACACTATGGTAATGAAAGTGTTCAATATGTTGATGACGTGGAAACGTGAAAATGTTTGTCACGACATGAATGTTCTTGGTGAGGCATTGAATAATGTCAAAGATAGAGTGACAATTGACTGGGATGTGATAAGGAACATTTGTGACAGTAATGACTGAGAACTTTTGGTTGACTAAGATTTGAAAGATTAAAGGATGCTATAAACCACTCTTTAACGGAGACAACTGCACATGCTAATGCCATGTTTAAAGGCAGTGGCGAGTAAACAGAACTTTTGACTTTAGTGAAATAAAAGGGTGATCTTAGGAATCAGTATTATCTTACTCGACAATCAAAACTGTCACGAACCGTATATGCACATTAAAATTTGAAAGGTGTTTCAATATTGTCTAATGGAATGTTCATATGCCATACTTTTGACATTCTGTACGCGTTCAGCAATAAGATGATACTGTTTAGTAATGTAAATAATTACTAAATACATATCAAGGATAGTATATCTACTCAAGTGCCCGCTCGTGCGTGATACTGTTTAGTAATGTAAATAATTACTAAATACATATCAAGCTAGTTTACGAAAGATCTAAAAATTAACAAAGTTTGTTTGATTTTCATATGATCAGGGTAGTTTTTTATTTTTAGCTAAAATGAATGTTTATTTATATACGTATTTGAATAAAATACCGTTATTTTTTACGGTTTAGTTATCGATATTGAAGTGACAGACAATAATTAGCCTGCGTTGATGAGGTGAACATTTGTCTCTTCAATTACCATAATTACAGCGTGCACTTAATGGACAATATTAATGTTAAATAAATGTTTATGGTTTAGATTTGTAAAATCAACTGGTCAATCTTCAAACTATGAAACTAGTGTGTGCTTGGTTTGATTGTTTTGTTCTGATTTACAGCTTTGTTTGATCTGTAGAAATATATGTATACATTACACTTATAATAATACTGGAAACATTCATTTAGGAAAATCATAGGTACAAATGTACCTGTATGAACACGTTTGTCATAAACCTAAAAATAATTCCGTGAATCCAATATACTAATTGAGTATAATTACGATATTTGAATAAAAGATTTCAGTGTTGTTACATTTTTCTGGTCCTTCGGGATCATTGATGCCAGCACTATAAAGTGTTGAGAATTGAGTACCGCTCAAGCCTGTGCTAGGGGGTGTGAGGGATGTTGCATTTATTCATTATTCCTCATTTACAATTTCAATCAATCCGAGTTTGCAATTTTCATGTAATTTTGTTGTGATTAATGCTTCCGATGGATCACTTTGTTTCCAGATTTTAAGATGGCATTTGAATATTTGATTTCCTTTGACAAACCGTCAGAACTGTCGGGCTGACCATATCCATATTTCTAAAGCATTCAGAATTGTTATCTTTTTTTTAAAAAAAAAAAAAAAAAAAAAATATATATAATACAGAGATAGTTTATTTCTTCAAATGTCATTACAATATGTACATGTATGCTATTAAGTTCGACTTAGTTATGTATGTGTGGCGAACCGTAACGTAAGTGGGGCGAATTTTGTGGCGAGTCATTTATTATTAATCCCGAAGAAAAGCTCACGATTTCTGTGATAACAAGCCAATAGCATTTTCACAATTCTTCCCGTCTTGAAATAAAATGGTGATTATGTTTGAAGCTATAATGGCGAAAGAAAAACAATATTTGGACACATTAAATATTAAGTTTTTGTCACAATTAAAGTTGGTTATTGTTTAAAATGAAATGTTTAGGGAGAAAAAAAGTTAAAACAAGTATGCATTATAATACGTCCGAATAAATTTGGGCTTAATATTGCATACATTTTAGTGCGCATTTGAATATACGATATAACTCGATGGTTTACTTTTGGTACGATTGTTTAATATCTCATTCGTATAATAGCATATTTTCAATTTTCAACCTAGGTCAATATTTCATTCCTATTATAGCATAAATATCAGCCTAGGTCAATATTTCATTCCTATTGTAGCATGAATATTAACCATATTTTCAACGTCTATATCAGTATTTCATTTCTATCGTTGCATGAATAGTTATCATATTTTACAACAATTGGTCATTAGTTAAAGCATTGTTTTACATAAATAGCAGGTTCGAATACATGGCTTTAATAGTTCAAATGGTTCGAGGCACCCGTCCATAAACAATTTCTTTTACGAATTATTTTTGTAAATAAAGTAATAGTAATTGTAGTCTGTATTCAGTATTGAATTGACGGGTTAATAAAAATGGTAAATATATGTTTGTGAAGTTTAAATTGTGTATCCATATATTTAGATATTTTTTTTTCTCTCTTGCGATCACTTTTAATTTTATATTTGATGTTTTCTTGTTACGTTTAGTTTTCGTGTGAATTAACCAAGTCATAGCCATACGCATGAAAACACATTTGTCACAGGAGCGCGCTAAGCTTAGAGCACGCGCTAGGCACGTGCCGCGTCCAAATACGGCAGCGTTTTTACCGATTATTTTCTTGGTTTCCCTCCGAATGTAATGAACACTGCTGTAGAGCGAACGTGTGCTAAGAACATTTATTCGGCGAATTATGCTCAGGGGTTAACATGGTATATGATTATATGTAATCTTAAATGAAAAACACCATTCCGTTTTACAATTAATATCTAATTTTCATTTCGTTTAGACTTTCACCACTTTTGTCTTTAGGAAATCATGGCCGCTAAACACTTGTGAAATTCTCACGACAATTTCGTCCATTTTCTGGTGTCTCGAAGCTATCGAAAGTCTTTTCTCTTTTTGTTTTATTATTTGTTTATTGTCAACTTATCTATAGATTTAAATTAAATATGGCTGTAAATGAAAGTACAAAAGGTGGAGTATCTAAAGCGTGAAATTCACATTTAGACAAATTAATATTTCAGTTTTTTTTCTTTAATCGCCAGATATCAGTTCTAGTTATCTGTAAAGTGTTATTAACCCAATGCTGAAGTTTTTATTTTTAAATTTGAATTTAATTTTTTAGCACTAGTATTGAGTAATTTTTTTTTATCAGATATCATCAAATTTTACCACAAAAACCATCTATCAGTAGTATTTAACCATAACGGATATGGAAAAAACAGTATTTAATAGCTACTAATGACTCTTGTTACTTAAAACTGAGGAAAATAACAGCTACTTCCAGCCTTAAAAATCAAAGGACCGTATCATTTGATAGAGATAATGCCTGTAGTGGTTAATTTTCATCATGCAAATCGCTAATATGTGATTTTTATCGATAAACGGATAATGAAAATGTAATCAACTCACAATTAACGCAATATTACAATTTAACTGATTCTATGAATGACGCATGCGCGCGCCTTTGATTGCTTCCGCCATGACTTCTGAAGAGCGCGCGTCTGTAAATGCATGGAAAAAACAAATACATCCACGTGCTTTCGAGGTCCAGATGTGACACAGTCGAAATTTTCTCACATATATCCCCATAAATTCTATTTAAAACCCGGAGCAGGTTCTTTTCCATGGTTATTTCTCAACCGACCGTCTGAATCCACAAATTGCTCTAAATTCGTAAAGTATTGGTGAGGACATTAATATTATGATATTGTTTAAATTTGTTATAAATTGACATGGAAGAAGTACGTGAAATTCCGGTAAAAATTCATATCATAGCAGGTTCATTCATACCATACGGAAGTTGGTACGGCCCTGTCCAGAAAATAGACTTTCTAAATGACGAAATACAGAAGGGAACGGATGAATTTACTTCCGAAATAAAGGTAAGATTTTTTATTATGAATATTCGAGTGAGATACATATCAATTCCAAATAGTTTGTCTTTCGGTATTTTCGGAATCAGCAGTTATTTGATTCATTATTGTTATTTAATTCAATGCCAAAAATATTAAGAAGCACAGCGGATATGACATCTAAATAACACGAATTCGCGGTTTCGATCTCACGAATTTACGATTTCGACATCATAAATTCACGATTTTAACGGCACGAATTCATGTTTTCGCTATTAAAACTTCATAAATTGACTGTTTCACTTTCACGTTTCCAACTTTCGACTTTTTTAAATTCATAAATTCACGATCACAAATTCGTGCAATTGAAATCCTGATTTCATGAAGTTGAATTTTTGAAATTGAAATCGGAATTCGTGAATCTGAAATCATGAAGTTATTAACTTAAATCGTGGAATTCGTTAAGTTGAAATCGTGCATTTGAATTGAGAATTAATGAAGGGAAAAGGTCTCTCCGGTATTTCGTTGTAACTAGATACACGTCTGAATGTCAAATGCGACTCAAATCCGTGACGAAATCTATCGGGATTTGCTGTCACACATATAATTTTCTTGAAATAGAGGTTAATTTCAAACATATTTTTCACATCAATTACCCGATTTTCTTACTAAATAGAATATTTAAGTGAGCAAAACATATCGATTTTCTATGAGTAAGATAAATTTCTATTAGAAATTATGAAAAGAAATGTGTTATCACTTAGAACTACTTAGTGTAAATGTACTGTTTTTGATTCATAACATCGATTCTAATTATTGAACTGTAAACGCCATTAATAAAACTTACTTATGGATGATTTTGTCATTGTCATTATTTTGTGAACTACATAGTTAAATACTTTTCTTCTGAATGCTAGAATGTTATGTACGCCAGGATTACTTTGCAATGGACATGTAAATATCATTTCACATAAAATCTGTGTGAAATAGATATGTAACATGCCGTTGTTTATTCAATTCAAAAATTTTCTGTCTTAAAATGATTTGGACATTGTCCGAACTTTGATACGATTTTAATAATATATTTTGATTAAGAATATGGCGCATGCATGCATAGTTATTTTTTCATATCGCAACAAAACATAAAGGGTACCGTAATCAAAACTAAACTAAAACAGTTACAGTTTCGCTATAGCCAAAATTCGTTATAAGCGAGTTCGTTATAAGTGGAGTCGACTGTACATAACTTTGATATTTTCTCTAAGTCTGTCACATCGAAACTTTTGCCTGGTATGAAATAAAATAACTAGGTTGTTAGATAAAAACACGTGTTAATTTGTATAGTCTGTGATAAGCATTAATTAGATTCCTAAATGTATAATGTCATATATATATCTGGATATAATATAGGTGGTTATCACTGCCAATAAATATGATCGACATTTAAGCCGCGCCATGACAAAACCAACATAATGCGTTTGCGACCAACATGGATCCAGACCAGTCTGCGCATCCACACAGTCTGATCAGGATCCATGCTGTTCGCTTACAAACCCTATAACAAGTAGAGATACTGACAGCGAACAGCATGGATCCTTATCAGACTTGTAACACCGCAAAACGTCCGTACCGCAAAACGTACGTATATGGACGTTTTGCGGCGCATATCGTCCACCTTTTTCTGACGTACATTTTGCGGTAAAAAGGCATGGTCCTGCCGCATAACGTCCATATTTTAAAATTTAAAGTTTATATAATTTTCGTTAATTTTGACCTGT